AAATGGAATTTGACTGAAGGTGCTGATTTGCAAGTCAATGTATCAAAAGCTTAAGTGATTTGCCTCCGCGGCAATAGAATTAATTTTAGCTCGCAATCGCGTCATAAATTTAGTAGGAAAAAAAAACCTAATTGAGTTAGAAATGTTCCCAACCTGGACAAAAAAAGCCGAAGCGCTAACTTGTCGTGCACAATTTTCAGTACATCGACACTGAAAGCAAGGAAAGATACTGAATCACACTAGTCTGGTTTGACTTTATCACACAAATGTCACCAAAGAACACAAGTCGCTAAACGTCTCTCGTCTGTGAAGATACCCATACCAGAATCTCTCTCTAATTAAAATGAAAATACTTTGGCGCTATTCTTATCCTTAGACTACTGGAAAGGTTTAGTTTTATTCTAACTAAGTTCTATTTTGCGAAAGGTTTTATTTAATTATGCACATTCGGCTTGGTTTGTTTGTTGACCATTTCAAATCACAAGACGTCTATGGAGAATTAGTCCTTTTCAATTCTAGTCATGCACGTGCATGCGAAGGAATAATTGGAGGACAAAAACAAAAGAACAAATTTCCAGAGAACGTCTGTGATCTGAGACAGGCAATCAACACACAAAGCTGAACGAGCCTCAAACTAAGTAATAAGCGAAAAAAAAATATATTATAGTAAACCTAGGAAGTTTTTCAACTAAGATGCGCTGATTATAATAGCGAAATGGAAAAAAATACCTAAAGCTCCTCTAGTTTTATTTATTTATGCGATTTGCATCGGCTTCAAACCCTAGTTTGGTTAGATATTTTTAATTAAGGCGTAAATGTTCTTTTATTATTCTTGTGCTTATTCCAAGGGATGTTCCAGGCACAAAATTATCTGTGACTGGACCATTGCTTAACGAGCCTACGAACGGCTACGTGAAGGCTATTTAAAGTAACAACTATATTGTAAAATTATATGAATATAACCTAAGTACCTATCTTTTTATATCAACACTAAACCCTTATTATTTATTTTTTGTTAAGGAAAACTAAATAAGTTTTATCCACAAAGGAATAAGGAAAGTCCTGAAACTAAAACTATTCCCAAATGGAAAGTTACTCCGTTAATCAAAAAGTAATTATGGGTTTTGCCTATTCATGAATAAATCTAGTGTTTATGATCATGCTCTTACCCTGTTAAATGAAAAAAAAAATTACACACCACTAAACTACTCCTAAAATTAAAGTAGAAATAGTATAATAATTTCATCATGAAAAGATTCTCCTTTAGGGAAAAAAAAGAAATTCTTTGGCTATAATTTGGCATAATTTTCCTGAAATAGCAATAAAGATAATTTTTATCATAACAAATGCTATTATTTCCTCTAACAAATATGCTACTTTTATCAAAAGTGAACAAATTTTCCCTATTCCTGAAAAGGCCTAGCTTTTATAATTTTTAGTAGCTGTATAATTATGTGAAAAATATGATGATCCTAAAATAATAGTATCTATGGTAATGTGGTTTTATAAATGCTACTTGATTAAAAAAAATTGTTTATTTATGTCTATGCCTATTGTTAATATTTTGTGCTATTTTTAAGTTATAATTAAATGAAAAACTAAAGAAGCGAGATTCTGGATTCAGTATCAACCCATCAGAGAGACCCCCAGTAACTATTAGCTCAATTTGATGTCATTTATGTGAGTCCAATCAAGCCAGACCAGAGAAATCCAGCAAAAATCCGCACTCCCAATGTAAATGCACCTAAATTGAGTCCTACAATTCAGCGCAACTGTTTTAATGATCCTTAGTTGTGGAACATTTCAAGAGATACATTGAATGCACAAAAGCACCTTCTGAGGCCAAAATGTGTCAAATTGATGGTGTGATTCCATGACAAATTAGGCAAAACCCCAAAGACAAAAGAGCAAACTCTCACCTTCCTCTACTCTGTCCTCCCTACTTAAGAGCAAGAGGTCAACTCTTCCAAGTGTCCAACTGTCCCCAGCTTGAACTTCAGGATCAGACAAAGCATCACAGGATTTCTCAGTTGGAATATTTTAGAGGACATCAGAAACACTTCTTAGAACACACAGAGCTTCCACAACCCAGCAGGGATGTGATTGGCTAAATTTTTTTTCTTTGTTCTTGCCTCTAAGTGTGTGTGCCACCACCAATCTGAAATTAAATAGTATCCTAAAGACTTAAGTTGATATGCAAGCTCATTACCATTGTAGATGACCTAACAAATTAAGATAATGATGCTAATAGCTAAATTATGTCTCTTGGTGAAGCAAGTTCATGGCATGAAATTTAAACTTACCTAATTACATTAAGATCAAGCTTGCAATACCAAGCTTAGAAAAACTAATGTCCTTCAGAACTAAGTTCTGAAAAAAATGTAGAATCCTGCAAGAGACCCTAGAAGATATCATGACTTGCAAAACCAGAAAATAGTTAAAGGGGAAAAAGAAATTAAATTAAATGGAAATGTAGCCTACCATGTTTACTCTAAGCAGAAAAGATATCTTCTGTGAGGCTTAATATTGTATAGTATAGCTGGTAATACTTACATGAAATCATCAAGAATTTCACTTTGCATGAAATGAAATTCAATCGAACTTTGCAATAAATTTAAATGAAACCTTAACTGTGGAAAAGCTATCTGCTTAAACAGTGTAGATATCAGCCACATACACAGCCTACAGGACAAAATGGTGAGCTAATGAAAAGCAAACTAAAAGTACTCCTAAAAGAAGTTTGTGGTAATGAGCCTACTGATGCCAGTGTACTCAATTTAGTAATATTACCACAAACATTATCCCAACCTAAAACCTGGAATCCTTAAAAATCATAAAACACTGGAAACCCTTAGGCCAGAAAATCCAACAATTACATGTTTCCCTTAAATTCTTAGGACAAATGCCAACTTAACTACCCTTAAATTTGAAATGCAGAAGTCCAAGACCCTCTTCTGCCCCCCAAAAAGTGTATGAAACACTATAACCCAGAAAACAAAAACTGTGAAGCCTAAGACTCAGAAATCTGAGACCCAGAGACCTTTAACCCTTATACTTACATACTTACTATGAAATGATAGGAATATGTTAAGGACTTTGAAATCTGAGACCCTGGAACCTAAGACCAAAATCCAGGACTCTAATACTCAGAACTTAAGGCTCTTAAACCCAAGACCCAGAAATGTACTAAGACCTGGAAATCTGAGATCTGTAAAATACTATCACCCCTGGACTTAAAATTGGTTAAACCTCAGCCCTAGAGATCCTGGGCCCACAAAAAAAAGACCCAAAATATACCTTGGACTGGGAAATCCAAGATTCAGAAACCTGAAGCCCAAAAAAAATTGATAACTGGAAAACCTAAGAAAAGGAGAGCCATGACACACCAAACTTAGATTTGAAAACCCTAATACACCTTGGAAGAAGAAAACCTATAGTGTGGAAACCTTAGACCCAGAAATAAAAGAAAAACCTGTCAGCATAATGTTGGTATTAGAAATTAACTATTATAAATATTTATCATACCACTGAAACTAAATCTCAGACCCAGAAAACCTGAAATCCAAAAGTCTTGCACCCAAAAACCTGAGACTTAAAGAACCCAGGGCTCCAACGGCCAAACACCTAAGAGACTTGGACCTGGAAAAACCTTAAGCCCAAAAAAGATTGGAAAAATCAGTTACCCAAAATAACCAAGAAATCTTATTGCTCTCAGATATTCCTCAGTCTCCTAAAGCTTTTGGATTATTTGAAATTAGAAGTATTTTGAACTATTTCTCCCTAAGATGACAAGCCTTGCCTTAAAGATTTAGCAACTCTTTATACGAATGTGAGAACAACCGCCTCTGCTTAATATGTACCTGCTCCAATTTGAAACTATATCACACACCTGTGGCTGGAAAATTGAATTTGGTAGATGAAGGATGTCCAATAATGCATTAGACCTTAAAACTGAGATTATGATAGGATATATCGCAGTCTATTATGCAGCAATAGTGACAAACAAATCTAGTGTTAACTTACCCAGAATTTTGTTCAAACAAGTGCTAAAATTTGGTCATGCAGGCATACAATGAATTCTTAAACTTACCTTTTGTCTTTAAAATCATATTATGATTAAAAAGACCCAAAGTAAGGAGCAAAAACCTAAACTGAGCACATAGAAAAATAGTAAGGACCAAAAATCCCACCCAGAAAGGACTCAAAAAACCTAACCCTAAGACCGCAAAAACCCAGAATTAAAAAGCCCAAGTCCCATGAACCTGACACCCTTAAAACCTGAGACCTAAAAAATCTAGGGACCCCTAAATATGTGAGACCTAAAAAACCGAAGACCATTAATTTATATGACCCAAAACCTAAGACCCAAAAAATATAACTAAAAATACCTGACACCCAAATCACCCTATAAACCAAGGACCCAGAAACCTAAGCCCATTAAACCTGAACCCAAAGAAATCTAAGAACCAAAAACCAGAGGCAGGAAAATCCTTTGACCTAGAAACCTAAGAAAAGAAATCTGAGACCCAAAAACCCAAGGCAGAAAAATCTTTTGACCCAAAAACCTGAGAAAAGAAATTTGACACCCAAAACCTTACCACCCAGAGATCCACATGTCAGCTGAAAAAATTGGAGATGAAAACCAAGACCCAAAAACCTAAACCCATTAAACCTGAACCTAAAATAACCTAGGACCCAAAAAACTTACCACCAAAAGAACCCAGGACCCGAAAATTCTATGCCCCAGAAATCTATGCTCTAGGACCTAAAATTCAATAAAAACTGAGACCCAAAAACCCAAGCCCTGGAACCTGAACCTAAAATAACCTTAATGACCCAAAAAACTTACAACCAAATAAACCCAGGATCCAAAGATTCTATGAGCCAGAAACCTAAACTCTAAGACCTGAGATTCAATAAAAACTGAGACCCAACAGCCTAAGCCCTGGAACCTGAGACCCTTAAAGCACTTGTTTGAACAACTGTGGCACACACACCGTTTCTCATTATTATGAACTAGAAAAAGAAAGAACTTAATGAATGGGGGTGGTGGAACAACAGCTGGGTGAAAAACCTCCCTGTACATCCACTTGCCCTTAAGAGGAAAACCCCAGGCCAGCTGCACCCCTGTTCAATGACCTCCCGGGCTGGGCCTGAAATAAAATCTAGAATTGATGGAAATGATAAATAATCTTGTACTTGCTTCCAGCGCCAATCGCCAGGGTTCTTCCACCAAGATGGGTCTGTGTCATTGATGTTTGTACTCTTCAGTTTTGTTGCTTGGCTTGTGCTGTCCAGTTGTGATGCTTAGGGTTAGATCTAAGATAAAAATATCAGAACAATAAAATAAATAATCTATTCAGTACAAAATAATATAATTGTATTCAGATGAAAGTTTCTGCTGCTACCTCTGAAGCATTTTTTTTCCCTTTCTCTTAATCCTTTACACCCTAACATCAGTATGCATATTCTCCATACTCTTCTCTATACAATTACCATGGTCCTGACAAGGAGAATTTGTTTAACAATAAAGTGCCTCTTTAGTTGGTGATTGTTCCCATCATTCTCATGACCTTAACATTTGATTCAGTGGTGACATTGTAAAGAGAAATTAGCTATTGGTCACTCTTGAGGGCTGAAGGGTTAAGAATAGTTCTGCAGCTCCTTTTCTTTATGAGAGATTTATCCCCTTGGAGTTATAGTCAGTGATAGCAAACCAAGGCTGCTTCTAATGTTCAGGAGACACCTTAAAGAGCCAAATAACACGTCAACTAAATAGAGCAATTTCCTGGAAATAAAAGGAAAAATTTCTTGGTACATATAATTTACATAGTACAAAGGAAAATTTCCACTTCATTGTCACTGTCTGTTTAGAGTCAATGATGTCCACTCAAGAACTGCTTTGTTTATTTGTGAAATGTTCCGAGTGAATTTGTAATATTACGTTATTCTCACTACTCTTTCTATTCTGGGCATGATTTTTTATCCCTTCAACTTACATGAGTGACCAAGACATCATTTCTCCTTACAAAATCAATTCAAAGTCAAGCAGACCAGTGATAAGAATAAAGAAAAATATTAATTACATTATTATCAGTTGATCCAATACCAAATTCTCCAAACTAACAACATACAAATTGTATGACAAACAATAAGAAGAATTAGTATTTAGATCTCAGAAATGAAAAAGTTAAGTGGTCAATTTGCAATTAGCAAACAAGCTCTTCACCCAAACTGTGGTTAATGGTGAAACTGCAGAAGTTTAGTGGGGAATAGAACTTGGCCCCAATTGCAGTTAACAGTCAACAATTACGTGAATATGAAAGTGACCTTTGCAGTAATGAACACTACTTGAGCAGTAGTGAAAATAAGGCCTGAAAAAAATTCAGGTCTGTACAGGATTTGAACCCATGACCTCTGCGATACTGGACAGTGTAGCACTCTACCAACTGAGCTAACAAACCAACTGGGAGCTGGTCATTATGTTGGTTCCAAATAAACCCATAAAGTGGTGAATATATTGATATATATAACATATTCATATATTCACAGTCGTTTAGTCAACAATTAGTTTGCCAAATTCTGCCAAACCACATATAATGATCATAAAATTAATGCCAGAAATAAAATTCAGCCAAAAAATGTAGAAACTTGCAATCAATAACTTTGAAAAACTGTAGTAAAAAGATGCTTGTCACTACTGCTCCCACAATTTTTCACACCAAACTGGCACTCCTGCAAACTGGCCTCAGAAAAAAATGAACATGTGCAAAAGGGAATTTACTGCACTTTATGAAGAATATGCTCACTGATGTTAGGGTGCAAAGGGTTTAGTAATAGAAGCATTACACCGACAACTACATGACCAATGAACATAGGTTGCTGAATCAGTGAATTTTGTTGCAAATTTAGTTTGCAAGGTCTTTTCTACTCTCCTTGGTGACTAAAGCAGCCACAGCCAGGAGCCCTTAAATTTATTTGTAAAGAACAAGCCCGAAATCCAAGAAGAGAAGCCATACTTAAAGCTGCTCCACATTACGTTGACCAGGAGAGGCTCTGGTAACTAAAGGTATATGCTCATAATGCTCAACCTCAGTTTGGTTTTAAATATAATGCAGAAGTCAAGAACAACAAGACACAAAGATTCCATTTGAGCACTAAAAACTATTTTGTTTGACTTCACAGATCTGGTTCAGTCATCAAAATGTTTATTAAACATTACCTATTGCACTTTGGTCCTCTGTTTCACCACTTGGTATCCAGCTCCCTCCACTGACCTTTCCCATCCAAGATCCAACATTCTTCTTTTTCTATAGCTAATCTTCCAATCAGGCGGCCCTGTGGTAAGACTTGCCTACAGGCTACCTTCCAAGGCTTGTCCATAAGCCACCATCCAAGGCTTTTTCACAGGCCACCATCCAAGGCCAGTCCCATTCAAAGGTTTGTCCTCAAGCCACCATTCTAAGACTTGTCCATGGGCCACCATCAAAGGATTGTCCACAGGCCACCATTCCAGGGCTTGTTCACAGACCACCATCCTAGGCTTGTCCCCAAGCCACCATTCCAAGGCTTGTCCAAAGGCCACTTAATTCCAAAGCTTGTCTGCAGGACACCATCCAAGGTTTGTCCACAAGCCACCATCCTCAAGAGGGTTGTCCACAGGCCACCAACCAAAAAAGGGTTGCCCACAGCATATCTCTACTGACTAGCTATTCCTTGAATTAAATGTGACAAATTAGTAGTGATAGATACATGCATACCTTGCCATGTCATTCCATAGCATTTGGGAATTATCATGCAAAGAAATAAATACTAAGTACATTGTGATTGGTCATCACCAACAATTTATGAGTGTATAGATGATGAGCTGAATGATGCATGCATTTTGATTGGTTCTAACCTATAATCTCTTGGAGGACAGAGACATAAATGGCACCACAATTAAAAAGATTCTGCTTTTTCATCATGTAAAAAATAGAATTCCATGTTGCCATTGGGTCTGCACAGTAATAGATCACAGAAAACATCAAAATGTGGTAAGAAAATCAGTGAAACACTCAGCTGTACCTTATGCGTTATTTTTTTTTAAACACATTTTGATGTCATCTGTGATATGTCACTGAACAGACATATGGCAACATGGAATCTAATTGTTAAACTGATGGAATGAAGAGACAAGTGAGACCCTCTTAATAAGAAACATGTTCTTTTTAATGAGCTATTTTAATTAACTGTTTTTAACACATATTTTAGAACATTTTATCGCGCCATTAGTTTTCATGCATCCTACTGCCTCTCTTCTTTCTTGAATGCTTTAACCTGCTGCTCTTTATGGAATACATCAATTCATTATTGGCTTTTACACTATGCTAATTTACAGTGGCACCTCCAACGTTTAAAACCATAGTGCAAATATTTTATCGTCCTCCCTGATGATGCCATAGAACGGCGAAAGCTCGGAGTGAATAAAGAAAGAACCACAGTAGCACTTAAAGGCTTCATTTGATCAATATCCCACATCTAACAAATTACCTCATTGCATATTACATCCAAAAAAAATTTTTTTTCATTTGAGCCAATGTAGGCTAAAATATTTAACTTTCTTGGATAATCTTAAGCAAAAAATATATTTGTCATGGTAAATCACGTGGGCAGTACTGTGTGCCAAAAGTAAACACAAATTTGGATTTTTCCGAATGATGAGGTTGATGATACTCTCGCCACTTCTATAACCAAAATATCCCAGAAGTATATCTATTCGTACATTTATTTATTTATAACTTTTTTTAAAAATTAGATCTAAAATCCACGCGCAACGGCAAAAAATGCAAATTTAGGGTGTTGAAAATGTTTCACATGAATCCTGCACAATAAAGTACTTTTTAACACCTTTCACCCTGAAATAAGGAAATCTTTAATTAAAGTCAATAATTGAAGTTTGAAGGCAGCGAGCTCGGCCGCTTAAAACAAGAGTTTTGAACAACTTCAAAACATCACATCACATTACGCACGTGTTGGCGCTTCTTATGCTGAATATTTGAATTTCCCGCAAAATATTGTGTACAATTGTAGTAATAGGGACTGTGTTTAAAGAATATCACGAGAATCTGATCAGATTACGAGCTTACTTTTACAGCTGAAAATAACAGTCAGCAGAAGTAATTTGAGGTATTCTTATCGTAGAGTAAAGTAATTTTTCAGGTTTAGTCCTTACCTCTGAAAGTCGATGTCACACAAAGTTCCCATTCCACAGATTTGCAGCCCCTGTGAGGAGATTTCTTTGATCCAATCACCATCAAATAAGAGCTAAAATGTACTTTAAGGCTTTTGATATTTGATTTTACGTTTTTCCCCTTGAATTTAGCTTCAAAATAGGCAGTGCATTCTATCGTTATCATAAAATCTCGATATTTACGCCGCCATGTTTGTTTTATGTTCAACTAGTTCTCAGTGCGTTTCGTCCGAGAAAACGTGTCACGTTACACGCGCGGCAAAACGCCCCAACGAGGAGCTTAGCAGGAGTGAACTTTTACGTATTGATTCGGAGAGGATGCCATTAGCTTCAATTAAATTCCCCAGCCTACCCAGTCACCCGTGAAGAGAGAGAGGCCAACGCTGAGTCACGCAAGGAACGAGCGAGACAATCCCCTCACGCACCCCTTATATCAGCCTTTACACGAGAGGAAACGACATAACTCGAGGCTCCCTTACTCAACCATAGTAACTTGGGACTTGCATCTATTTGACCATCATCATCATCGCTCATTTCGCCAGAGGGCGCATAAGGCCATCACATTGTCCGCCCAACCCCCCCCCCTTCTTGTCGCGTGCTGCCGCCTTAGCCAAATTCCAGCTCTTCCACCCCGCCTTGCCTTCTCTTTCGACAGTCCTTCTCCGAGAGGTTTTTGGTCTCCCTCTCGCCCTTCGACCCTCTGGTGTCCACTCCAATGCCGCAAAGCGGTCGTTCACACTCTCTCTGTCACCTCGCAGCTAATTTCATTGATCTCTGCCATTTGAAGTACTCTCTTGTTTGTCATTCTTTGCTGCCATCTAATCCTCAATATCCATCATTAGCATTGGCATTAGAAAATGTTTAGTTTTCTTTAATCGGTCTTTGTGATTTTCCGTGTTTCACAACCATAAAGCAGGACCGGTCGGACTTAAGTCTTGAATAGGCGTATCTTGGTTCTCCTTTCTATTACAGCAGTCAAGAGATAATATAAACTTTTTACAGCAGTCAAACGAGAAAATTTTCCAAAGTATACTCCTGGTTTAAAATAAATTTACAAACGTTTGTTGAATTGTTGTACGAGGGATCAAACTTCAATTAAGTCTTCATTCAGTCTTATTCGGGCGGCCAAAGTAAAAAATCTTCAGTGCGGTTCCAGCAAAAAAAATTTTTCAGCCATCAAACAAAACTTTACGAATACTTTTTTTGAGGCAGATTTGTCAGTTTTCTTATTCTATTGTCATAATTGTTTTTTTAATTTTTGCAATAGATTAACGAGGTTTGATTTTTGGAAGCGATATTATTTACGTTTGAAAAGCATAAGTCTGAACGTGCATTCCGAACTACTAGAAGGCGTTTTGGGGGGGCGGGGACACTTTAGACATTCCCGTGGAGTTACCCAATTTAACCAAGGAGCTAGCACGACGAGGGGGTAGCTAAAAAGAAAACACACCGCTTATTTTAAAAAGACAAAAAATATTGTCTTCGTACCCCTGGAAAGAGTTCTTTAAGCCCTGACTCGGGTTTTCACCACTTCAACCTAGAGAGTTCTTAAGGCAAAATAACTTCAGCCCCCAAGAGTGACCTGCATCTAATTCCTCCTTATAATATCACCCTAAAATCAAACATTGAGGTTACGAGAATATCGGAAATTATCTCTAACTTTAGAAGCTCTTGATTGTCAACAATTCTTTGTCAGCACCATAGAAAATTAATAGAAAACAGTATAGACAATTTACATACTGATGCTAGGGTGTTTAGGGCTAAGTGCTGTTTTATATTAATACATAGATAGGTAGTACACATTTAGTATTCCGAGCACTACTGAATTGTAAGATCCCTTTTTGTGTGTAGTGAACATTACATTACACACACATTGAATGAATATAAAATTCTTGGGGCAGTTTGTGTTGTTATGGAAAGTTCCTCTGAATTTAAATAAAATAAAACCGGTTGTTATGAAGAGCAATCATTTTATTCCATACTTGCCGACATACAAATAGCATGGCAATTTTTAACCTCTTTAATTACTATATACATTTCTATTATCCACATAAAGAAAAGGACATTTTCCACACTTTAAATATTGTATGCACTGATCTGAAGGCATTTTGCCTTCAGGCTAATCAAAGTTTACCTTAACTTTCTCTAAAACTGAATTTGATTTTAGGCTTCTATTTTATCAAGTAACTTGCAAAAAATGAATACTTAGAAAAGTATTCTTATGACTTATCATACAAATAATTCTTGTGGAAAATGTTTGAACTACCTCACAATTGCATATAGTTTAGAACTACCATGTAATAAAAGTATACTCTAAGATTCGCATAACATTATTTGAACTTCAGAAATGTTGAATGAGGGTAATAAACTCTATTAAAACTTTTTAACTATCAGGTTCCAGCAAGTTTCAGCATCAATATTACCAATAGCTTAATAATAAAATAACTAAAGGTGCATTTCCTGAATACCAGTACCGCAGAACTGAAGAAATTTGAACAGTCAAGATACCATGATACAAACATCGTAAGTAGTATGAATAATATCAAAACAGAAACCAAAAATCAAACCAAAATCACATAGTCTGGACAAGATGACAAACTATTTTTGTTCAACCCTAAAGCGAGACAATGTGAAATTTCCATCAAAATAATATTAACAAAGGAGAATAATATGAATATGATCAGATTTCTCGGTAAAATATACAAACTGCCTCCAAATTTAAATGTCAATTTTCTATTTACAATTTACACTTTCACCATATGCAGTGTATTTGACATAATTCTTCTTCAGGGCCCCTATGGTTTCTTGTCCTTTTCGCCTGTTCTTTAGGAAGTTAAAAAACAAATTTGCGACAAGGGAAGAACTGGTTTGCACATAAATCAAACAATTGAGCTTGTCCAAATACAGAAAACATTGTGAAAGAGTTGCATCACATAAACTGTAGCATGTTCAATTTTGCGATCGCTATGCTTTCCTTTTTTTCTTGAAAAATATTACTGTAGAAAACAAAAATACAGCCTGACATGGGCTATGTTCATTAGTATCCTTTTGTACAGCATATTAAATAAATAAGACTGCAATCTTCCTTAAACATTTCAAAACTAAGACCTGTGTCGGTAAATGTTTTCATTGTTTTAACCAGCTGCAGCAAAATATTTATATATATTCGAGGTGTTTCATATCATTAGAAATAATTATCTCGCAGCTGGTGCAATTACATACATTTACAACACTTTAAATCTATGTGTATACGAGGGTATAAATCTGATCTTTTTACAGCTGATGCAATCATTTAGAATCATTATCATCTCCCATGTTCCTCTGAAATGTTTGTGAGCAGATATTTCCTGTGTTCTATGTATTAATTTCTATAATACTAGCCTTTATGTCCGTTAAAACATATTAACCTGATTTCTTTATATTTGAGTTTTCAAAAAGAAAATGTGACTTGCCCTTGAACAAGAGTTAATGAACAAGGCAACAGCAATCATTGCAGTAAACACTTTCATTTGCTTGATCAATTCTTTAGTTTAAGGAAGGTTCAAAAAGCCAAGATTCAGTTGTTTACACAAATCAAAAACAAAAATTTCATGAGAAAATAGTTATAACACCTGCTCAAAAACATCTCAGTTGAAACAAATCAATAATCAGGCCAGAAGAAGTCTTAATTTTTCCAGATGCTGTGTTGAAAAACAGCCAAATTCTTACCTTCTTAATGTCAAAAGGAACAGAGAAAAAATAATGTGGAGTTTTTCTAAATCTTGGCTCATCTCAGCAGTTCTTGTGCATTATTTGTCTGTTTCTCTCACTCTTAGCCACTTCAAAAATATTACTCCCCGTCCCCCCTTCCCCCCCCCCCCACTTCTTAGACGGAGGCAAAAACAAGAACTATTGTTTACAAAAAAAGCTGTGTGACATTAGTAATCACATCACACAGCAATCAAAGAGGCTTCAAATGAGTTTTCCCCAAACAGACAAGTAACACTAGGAACCTTAACACAAAAAAATTACAATTATTTAAATATCACTTATACAATCTGCATGCCAAGCCATATCATCTCCAGGATGGGCTTATGAATATCTATATAACTAGATGTATATAATATATATATTCTTAATTTGACAACCTATTTAATGAATTATTACCCACTTGGCAAAGGCTGGTCAATCTTTAAAGACTGGTGCAAAAAAAAGTACTGGTACTTCTAAAGCAGAAAACATATTTTTTTTGGTAAAAAAAGGGAAGTTCATGCATGTTATGGTACAAACATGAACTTCAAACAAATTTTACTACTCCTTAAAGGCTGAAATGTGCATTATCAGCTTTAAAATATAATTCAGTTCACAATGCTCTAAATTCAGACAGATAGCAGAGACAAGAATGAAAAAAATATTTGCAACAGTCTCTTCAAATTTTCTGGCCTTTGCCATTTGGATAACAATTGAAATGCTAGCAACTGTGAATTTCAACTTCATTCCGGAATGAGCTCTGGAAAAAAGAGAAAAGGAAAAAAGTCAAAAAATGCCACAATACAACATAAGTTTGAGTCTTGGAATGGTAGCTTATGGAATAAACTTGAGACTTGTTCTTTACAGGTAGAAACTGCTTTAGTTATCATGGAGAGTGGAAACATCTTGGGAACTTTATTTGCCACAAATTTCACTGATTCAGCAACCCATGTTTAGAGGTCATGTAACAGGGTGTAATATTGTTATTACTAAACCCTATAATCAAACATCAACTCACCAATAATGACTGACATTTTCCGTGAGAATGACCAAATCTTATACTTATTCTATCCAGTGAGCCATTAGATTCAGTAGTTTTCTTATACACAGGGTTATCAAAACTCATTGATCTAAGATTGCTGAAAACAAATACAAAATCATTAAAATTTCTACATGATCATCAAGTAACAGAACAGGATTTTGCTAACAGAAGACTTTTCACCACATCCCTTAATATTCTTGGTTAGTCTTGTTCTCTTTATTTGACTTTTTTCCTTGTTTTTTCAGGACATGGTATATTATATTATATTTCATTGAATCAAACAAACCCCCCAAAAAAAACAAAGTTTCAAATTCCATGAGCACAATAATTACTTGTAACTGCTGTAACACAAATACTCAGAATTGGCTTAGCAAATATTTTTCTAAATTAAAACTCACTGCCATCTCTCAGCCTTGCTCTAATCACATCTAGGAATGAGGGACTTAAAACCTAATTGATCCAGCAAAATTTGAAATGTGGTTGATGGTGATAATCACTCTTTCAGGTGACAGGGCTCTGAAATTCTATTGTTACTAAATGATAACAACAATTAAATTACCCTGACTTGGAAACACTTACTTTCTACGTATTCTTCTATAAACTAGCCATCCGATCAAGCCACCCAGAGCTAAAAGGACTACTACCACAGCAACTGATATTGCTGCTGTGACACCTGCAAGAAAGAGACAAAGCATCAGTTGTTAACTTCATAAAACCATTACGTTAACAAAAAGAAGAAACATTTCCAAGAAATTTTCCTTCATCAGATAAGGGTTATTTGGTGCAGACCATTCTCCACCCTTAAAACCACCCAGGCTAGGTACTGAGTAATGTAAAGCCAAGACCAAATAATCTCAACTGCATTCAGGTCAAAGAAAACATTGCAAGGTGCCAATGAGAAATTCTCAGATCTAAAGTTATAAGAAGTGCATGGACTTTGGTGTAGAAAATTGATGATGAGATCTTGGGAGTTTAAGACAAAGCTCATCTAGTTTACTCACCAGCATCCTCTCCTTTAAGTTCATGCAATCCACTCATTCCAGGTGTAGTATATGTGGGACTGGCAGTGAAAGGAGGTAGGCTGCGTTTTATGCTACAATCCTTTCCTGTAAACTCGTAAGTACATCTTAAGTAAAAAAAAAAAAAAAATTTAGTTTTAGGCTGGCCCAGTTCAGCATTAAAACTGATTTATAAGGAAGCCTGTATAAACAATAAAAAGCCAGACAACAACACTAAAAGCTACGTTCCCAACTCTTCGCAACAAGTGTGTGGGTTCTTTAACATCCCCTGCTAACCAGTACAGAGAAGATGAAGGAGACGGAGTTCAGAGTTGTCCAAGTAATATTAGAATCTTGGTTTTCATTTTTATCCATGATAATTATTCAAAAATAACAGGACAACAATACAAAAGACAACTTTCTTCCTGATTGTAAAATGCGAGGAAAAAAAAGACTTACTCGCAAGATGGTAATGCCCCTTCCTCTTTTATTACACATGTTCCACCATTACGACATGTTTTATCTGTGCATTTGAAAGCATCTAGAAAGATAAAAAAAAGTATGATGAAAACTTCACTTACTGGGATTTAGGGTACAAATCAGCCCAAACTTAACTAATGAGTGAACAAACATTCCTTAGTCCTAGAGTTTTCCTTTCAATATGATCCTGATCTCAACTTTTATTAAAAAATAAAGACAAAAGACTGATTCTATAGAAAGTTTTAAACTAAAATCTTTCCAAGTTATACAAGTGTTTTTTTCATCTGAGAGCAAAGAATGGTTTGTCTTTTTAGTTGTTTGAGCGCAAAAAAGGTTTTCCAAGCATAAATAAATCTTGCAAGCCCTACTGAGACAACATTTTGTCGCCTTCAATTAGGTAAAAGGACAAGGTACTACAGGAAATTAAGCTGCTCTGGAAATGGCATTGGGAAAAAGTATGAAATAAATTGCTCAATTGAACAAGAAAGATTTCTTCCCTAACAAAATACGTAGACAAGAGCTTTGATACCTAGCATTCTGAACTGTACTCTTAAAAATACATTACAGCAGCTATGTGAGTGAGCCTGGGTTTATGAAAGTAGATCACCAAATGATCAATTATGTCACAGCTAGAAACACTTACTCCTCAACACAAAAATTTTTCATAAAAGTGTACTAAATATTTTACTTTACTGATGGAACCTACCAGATTTGTAGGAGGGGAGAGAAACAACAAAAGCACACACACAGAAAAACCTCATCAAGAAGTTTTAAGATTAAACACCAAGAAAAAATACATTAAAAGTTCTTTTAACCAAATGTTTACAGACATGACTGGTACCTGTTGTATTGCAGGTCCTGTGATCGTAAAGCAGATTAATACCAGAGGGGCAGTGACAGGAGAAACCATCTGGATATTTTTTAATTTTGGGAGCTAATAAACAAATATGGCTGCAGCCGCCATACTCTGCCACAACAGTGCATGGATTCATTCCTGTTTTCAAAGGAAATTGAAAAAGTTCAATTAAGATATCAATGATTTAAGCTACAATTCAGCTGCAATCCAGTCAAGTGGTCTATATTTCACAAGAGCATTCCCATGATTCATCTGCATCAAGAAACTCAAGGGAACATAAATCCCCTTGCCCACTCAGCCACACGCCAGTTAGGGGGTGTTCATTTAGTATGAAGGTCAGAGAATTCTCCACCTACTATGCAAACGGCCTAGGCCAATTTTCACTTATACTTAAAAAATAGTCTTCTAAGACTTCACACTGTTATCTGTCTACTGCATTTCAGGGCACAGGTGCATCATAAGTTACCAAAAACATTTCATCATTTCCTTGACACTTTGCCAGTACTTCTTTGCCTTACTGATACTCTTGGTATGAGAATGAAGTACAGAGTAACTTTCCCAAAATGATATATATATATATATTGGAATTGTAAGGAGAGGTTGCATGTCATTCAATCATGTAAGTAGCTAAAGTTACCTATAGGTTGTCGCTGTCTATGATGGACATGAATATCCATTGGTGAAAACAGATTCTCCATCACAATAGATCTCTCTTCACCAGTAAATTTATTAGCCTTGTGGATTGCATTAAGATGCCAGTCTGTCCAATAAATGTAGCTCTGGAAAATGGTCAATGCAAATGGATGGTTGATGTTCTCACTCAACACCAGCCGTCTGTTTCCTCCATTTAAATCTGATGATTCTATAGTGTGGAGTTTTGCATCTGCCCACCAAATTCTGTCAACAGTATAATCTATTGCAAGTGCATTGGGCCACAGGATACTGGTATTAACTATCTCCAGCCTTGTTTCAAGGTCTCCATTCATTCCACACTTTTCAATCTTTGCCTTCTCACCCCAATCAGTCCAAAACATAAAACTGAAAAACAAAAAGTAATCAAATTAAAGGATTTAGACATAAATGCTAACTATTCTAATTTTGACTGCAGTTACAGCAAGCAATAGCGAAAAGAAAAACAATTTAGTTTACACATGTTTACAGCTATGACTAAGAACAAAAATTAAGTCAGATTTGACATATTTTCTCTAGAACCCTCAAATCAGCCTAGCAAGGGAGATTTGAGGAAAATCTCTCATTCACAGCTTAAATATTTTTGTTATGGTGTGCCAACTGCCTAAATCATATCACCAGAATTTCAATTTTTACCATCTGCCATGTCTCCTAAACCCCATGCTTAACCTCTCAAGTGTCAACTGATAGTTACCAATAGGTTAAAACCTGCAGCTGCTCAGCAAAAAAGTCAGTTCATAATTCTGAATTATAAGGATAAGCCACACATAAAGTAACTGAGGATTCCCACAAATAGAAAACCATAAAAGAACCACACTACATTATTTACTTCCACATACCCAAGAGAAGGATGCACAACAATAGCTCTTGGTTCCTCCAGATTTGTTGTTACCAATTGAAGACGATTCTTGCCATCAAAATCAGATACCTCAATCATGTCTACACCAGTGTCTGTCCAATATAACTTCTTGTTAATCCAATCTACAGCAATTCCATCTGGTGTATGGAGGTTTATCTTCACCAAGTCTTCAACTACAGAACTGTCATGCATCTTAGTTCGCCTGATATTTTCATCAATGACATCTGTCCAGAATATGTACCCACTTTCAAAGTCATAGTCTAACGCTATAGCACCCCGCTGCTCTGGTACCATTTCTGTGTAGTCAGAAGAATCAAACAAGAGGCGGCGAATGTCTTGACGATTGGCAAAAATGAGGAAGCCTAATTCACCTGTGAAAAATGAAAAAGTCTCTTCATCACAAACTTGAGTTGAATGGCTCTTAAGCAATGCTGAAACCAGACAAAGCACAAATTCAAAGCTAAACTTTCTCCCTCCTTTCCTTCCTATGCCCTTATGTTGAAGTCCTTAGCCATTCATCTAAACATAAGGTACACATTTAAAAGCCAAGGCACTATGTCCACTTACCTATCGCTTTACAGGTTCGGCGATCTGGCTCCAGTTCATACCCACTTCGGCAATAACATTTGAAACTTCCTTTTGTGTTGTAACAAGTTTGGCTGCACGACCCTGGAATTTCACACTCGTCCTTATCTAGAAGGAATCATTAAAAAATCTCAAAAGAATTTCCAATGCAAATACTGAAAATAATTACCACTAGGTCTCTAACTTCTGTATAGCTCCTGTGAAGTCTGTTAAAAGTGTAATTTTGTGCTGGAGGGTTAATGTTAACAGTTCCTTTTCCTCAAATTCCTCTGGTTCATTTGTGTGATGCAAAATTTTTCCTTGGAACTAGTAAAGAGAATGTGGAGTTACCCAAGGATATCACCTTCTACCTGATAAACTTGCCTCTTTTATCACCTGATTAACAAATAATGTGCTGACATGGTAAGGAAAATTTTTACACTTATCACCTCTAGGGGTTAATAATCACAGGCCTATCAAAGCTCCCTTAGTCTATTTAAAGCTACCTAGAGGATACTGCAGAACCCCTCCCTTGAATACTAGTCTACAAAAGGTGCACTGCAAGACCCTAAATGTGGAACAAAAAAGGACAATATATTTCTAATTTCTAAGGTAATACCTCTGCAAATTCTTGGATCTTCCTTATCTACTTCAAAGCCCGGACGACAGGAGCAGAAGTGAGATGTTTTGGTATCATTGCAGATTTGTTGACAACGGCCATTGTGATCAATACATTCATTAATTGCTGTTCAAAAAATAATTTAACAGGATCAGCTATTTAAAGTTCTTAAATTCACATTAGAATACTGTCTTACACCTTTGCTCTAGATATAATACTTTTTCAAAAACAAGATTCATCATGGATATGAACTTTAAATACTAACAAGCTTAAACCTACTTACGATTCCAACATTTTTGTTTAGCAATACATGAGATGCCCTTGTAATAAATTTTATTTATGTGAAAACAGAGTCAATTAGATGTGACCAGGAAAAAAGGAGTTACTTACAACACGTAAAAGGTTCGTCCAACTTATTCTTGCAGTCCTCATTACCATCACAAACTTTACTGTATGGAATACATTGGTCTGTTTCACCACATTGGAATTCATCATCCTTGCAAGGCTTTGGTTTTACAGGAGCTAAAAGGGGAAACATACATCTTTCCTGATTAGACAACAAGATGGTACTAAAAATTCAAAATCAAACTGAACAATACATGGAGCAATAGAACTCATCAACACACCACAATTCCGCTCATCTGAGTTGTCTAAACAGTCATTTTTGCCATCACAATGTGAGTGAATAGATATGCACCTCCCATTGGTACAACTGAACTCATTAGTACCACAGGAGGTAACATCTGAAGAAAACAAAAAAATATAAGCAGAAGTTTTAGTCAATCAACATCTTCACTGCTTGCCCCTTCAGTGGATAATCTTTAAATTACACCAGCAGCCCAAGGCTAAACCTGACCTTGTGATCAAGACAGTCACCTGTTAATGACCTGGCTACTATTTTAGGGAGTTTAAGATGTCACTACAGCAACGTGTGATAAAAAGTTGCAGAAAAAGTGTAATTTATTTTCCTCTAAGATTTTGGCCAATAGCTCGATGCATTAACTGTTTCATGTTTTTGCTTTGTATGGGATGGTTAAGTACAAAGTTTTAGAACTCACATGTTTCGCTATTGTTTTGCTCATAAGATCTTTTGTTTCACTAAGTTCTTGTTGCCATTGCTTTCTTAAATTCTCTACCGTCACATGGACAAAGGGCTTACATTTGCATTCATCCAACTAAGGTTTCTTAGAAACATGCACACATTAATTTAACCCCAAAAGGCAATTTTCAGCAGAGTGTCAAAAGCATTCAGGAATTATTTTTGTTTTGCTTTGTTTTGCTTAGTAATTTGTCCAGAAAACTCATGCAATCATCTTTACCAACCAGCTTCAAAACTAAAAGGAAATTCATCCCCACCTAGTCAGCTGCATTTCCCTGCCCTTCAAGCACTTTACTTATATTTCTCTCCATTTTCATAGGCTCCTAGTGTTTCTTTGTTTAATCTTATGGGCAGTTCTTATCACTTTGCTTTTAGATTTACCACAAGCATTAAAATTCCCAAAAAAATACTTTACTGTTGCTTTTTTAATTCAACATCAGACATTTGAAATTTTAATACTCACTGCATCCTTTTTCATCTGAGCCATCACTGCAATCATTTTCTCCATCACATACCCAACTTTCATGAACACAGTCATGAGAATTGCACTGAAATTCACCATGCTTGCACACAGGACCAGTGGTTGGACAGCCAATTTCATCAGAGCCATCCTGACAATCATTGTCCCCATCACACTTGTAGGACCCCTTTATACACCGTCCACTGTTACAAGTAAACTCTGTTGGTTTGCATGTCTTGTTAGCTGTAAGGGCCCAGACAGAAACATAGATTACATGTGAGTTACCTTTAGGCCCTTAGCAGGGATGAGTATTTAAGGAAATATAATTAGAGAAAAGTAGTGAAACAATCACAGTAAAATATCTATTATTACAAAGTTTGTAATTAAATTTTGAAACCCTAATTAAGAAGATACTCTAAACTCTAGATACTCTACTCTAGATCCCTAACCCCTGCAACTTTTCCCTATGAAACACTGTGTCCCATACATTATCCACAAACACATAATAAGAATACTCAAAATTAGCAAGAAGAAATATTTATCCTGATCTAACATCAAATTCTGGTTACTAATTTACAAGGAAATATATAGCAGCTAGAGAGGAGAATTAACAATCAGATCTCAGGAGTTTAAGGGTTAAGAGTAATTCTGCAACTGCTTGTTCTATCACAAGTAGTGCTCACCAAAGAAAACATATACAACTTACGACAATTTTTTTCATCAGAGTTATCTTTACAGTCGTCATCAAGATCACACCGCCAGCTACGCGAGATACACTTGCCATTTGAACAGGTAAACTCATTACCATTACAAGTCTTGTTACCTGGAGAAATTGGTCCTTTTTTTCAGAGAAGAGTGGCAAAAAATAAAACGAACAAAACACAGATTAATGGAAATTCCATCACCAGACATAGAGAGGATGACCTTGTAAGGTTTAAATGCTTATTTTTTTATTCACTTTTACAGGGAGTGTTTGTAATGAATTGTTTGGTACTTGACTGTTTAACTTCAATTTTTTATCATGGCCACAGATATTAATGAAACAGGTTACTTTGGGAACAAGGGAAATGTTTTAAATGACAGAAAATAAAACCTGAAGGTCAAAATTTCATTTATGGGAATATCCAATCAAAATATTTCTCTTGTCTAGGCATAAAAATTACATTTAAGAATCTAAATAACTAAATGTCGATGACAATGTATTACAGACAAGGCATACAATTATATCTATTATCTAATCAAACAAGTTTAATAAATTAAACATACTAAAAAAAAATAGATAAACCTGACTGTTCAACGTGAAAAACATGTACAGTAGTAGCAAAGTTAACATTTAATCATACATAATACCTAATTTTAAAATTAAAACATTACTTTGGCGAAATCACAAATAATAATGATCAAAAGTTGTGAAATAGAGTTATTTACCAGACATATGAACCACTTAGAAGATGCAGACATTTGAAATTTGAATTAGGTAAAAATGAAAATTTTAATGAAATCTGTTGCGCGTGACATTTCCAAGTAGTAGCTTAAGTGACAAAAGTTTTACTTGCTGTGTTCAAGATTCCTAAAATTTCTCAAGACATTGATTCAAAGGCTGATATTGAAGATGACTCATTTAAAATTCACTTCTCAAAAAAATCAAGGATCACTCAATTTTAATGTTTCAAATTAGTTCTTGACAATTTCAATTGACGTTATCAAAACTAGAAGCAATTCGCACTCCATTTCATATTATGCTTAAAAATCTTTTAAACGGTTTAATTTTAATCGGCCGCTTTGTTAATGTCCTCTCAAATGTCTGGTGTGCTGCAGATAATGACACCTTACCACAATTTCGTTCATCACTACCATCATTACAATCCTTGTCCCGATCACAGCGCCACCGCATTGGAATGCAATGACCATTTCCACATGCATGTTCATTCTCTGAACATGTTCTTTGGGCTACAAACAAAAATGTTTCAGATTAGCATCTACTGTGATCCAAATGATGAAAGACACTGACAATACACAAGGTTTTACACAATATTTTGAGAAATGGAACTGTAATACAAAGTGGCACAATGCAATGCTTCCATGTGAAAATTGAGCCAAAACATTTGGAATAGCTGTCCCATTTTCCAGGGTAGAAGGAAAAATGCACCAACTGCCATATTATTTCGACAACCCTGAGTATGAGAGAAATTTATACTTGTCCAATGTCATCAGCACTAGATTGTTAATCTACATTTGTACCTCTAGCCCTTTTAAACTAATGCAAAGCTGTTCTCTTAGCATTAGTTTTTCCTAAGGCTATACACTCAGTAATGGACAAAGGGTCCCCAATATCAGTCTCTAATCAAATTTATGTAATTTCTGTTTTATAGAGTGGTCAAGCAAGTACAGAAGCTTGTACATGTGTGAATAGTGATAATGCTATTTTGTGACAGTTAAAAGATATGAATTTAATTTTCTCATAATAAAATAGTTTTCTTCCTGCAACTGCTTAATATACTGTGTTACATAATAAGCTGAAATATGTACATGTTTGATTGGTTCTTACATATGTTCTATCAGAGAATGGACACATAAATGACATCACCATTAACAACATCTAGTTTCTCTACTACATGAAATAAATAGATTCCATGTTTCAAGCATCTGTTCAGTTAAAGATCACAGGGGACAACAAAATTTGGTAAGGTTATCAGTAACATTCTTTGTTCTTACCACATATTGACGTCACCTGTGACCTATTGCTGAACAGACATGGCAACATGATATCTATTAGTAAATCGATTTTCAATTACATACCACAGTTTGCAGGTTCGTCAGAATTATCCCCACAATCATCAGCGAAATCACACACCCATCTCAGAGGAATGCAACGGTCAACAGTTTTGCACGCAAAGTTTGTGCTTAGATCACAATGTCTAACAGCTATAAGACAAAAAAATTAAGTTCTTTAATACACAACTTAAAATAAATTAAAGGAAAGACAAGAATAGCATTCCAACCAGAATGATAATGCTATTATTTATCTGATGATAGATAGTAAGTTGGCCACCAGTGAGAGATTAAGAACAAAATAAAATAAACATATGTGCCAGTCTTGTTATTATGCTCTGAACAATATTTATCATGCCATAGATATCTCTTACCCATAATTGAATGCTACATGGTCACTAGCATCAGTGTTGAAGATAATTTACAGCCTCACTATCCCACCTTCTGTTCAACCAAGCTGACTTGGTTTTCAAAACCTTAACACAATCTTTCCCAGGCTAAAAAGTTTTACTTTATCATAGGAAAAGGAAGTCTGCAAAAGGTGCCAAGATCCTGGTTTTACTCCACAAAACAAAAGTAACAGGGCAAGAACATTTCTCATTTTCACATTCTAGCCTAGCTACCAAGACATCAATCTCCATTCCAAGGCAAGAGAATTTCTAACACAATTACTCTGCTTGGTTACCGAAACAAAACTGGAGTGATTGCCCTGAATACTTATAGATAGCTTTCGAAACAAACTCTAAATAGCCATTTACTTTAAAATTTAACTAATGGCTTTATAAATGGCTTTTTGCACTCTGGCACCTGAGACTGATAAACAACTTATTGCTGGTGTGAAAATGGTTCAATCCTCCTTAGTTAAGATTGAGAAGGAAAAACTAAACCACTTAACAAGCTTTTTCTCTTTAGCTGATGTTTTCAAAAACAATTTTTCCTAGTTAAAAAAAATTATTTCAACTCTTTCACTCAAAGAATCATTTATATAAAGTAACGACCCCTTGTTCAGTTGTAATTATAAGTAAAAACAATATTTAGACACCAGTAAGCTACAAATGAAATATCAACCTTGAGTCACGTTGCAAAATCACGATTTCTCTCAGGAAATTTTCATATTGAACGGAGCATGTATTTCAAAGTTTACAAGCTGAGACGGTCATGTGATTCGTAGTCACTAGATTAACATTTTTTCTTCTCCTACTTAAAAAGAACAACTTCATAAGATAGAAACATAATTCATAGAGCACTGTGTGAGTGGTGAACACAGATTTCCTTTCAATGGCATGTACCTTGGCACTAGTCTGGATTGATGTATGTCTAGGAGACTTAAGTCAAAGGTGTCTTTTACCATTAAGTTTAATAAAAAGGACTGAACAGAGACCTTTGAACCAACGCTGGAATATTTCACGTGAAAATGTCACATCTCGCTATCAGCAAAATAAATATTGAACATTTTTTGGTTAGCACGAAAGCAATTCCTTCTTCGGAACGTGGGGTGGAACGTCAAAGAATCAGCGAAAGTATCTTAAATGTTGAAACAACATTACGCCTCGATCTTAGATTAAAACGCCTGCAAATCATTTGTTACCACAACAACTAACTCCGAGCGCAAAAATGGCGTGGGAGACGAAAAAAATTGGAGACTAAACGTCGCAGACAACGAAATTCGCAGTGAAATGAAGGAGGGCGGTGGGGCTTTTGTGTAAGTTCGCACATTTAGCGTGAGAACAAAAAACCCCATTGGGCAAAGAAATAATAAACAACCTTGCCGAACTGTTTACCAATGTTTTTTATTCTCCCAGCCAATGAAGAATTAGGAGTTGTTTGAAGTTCCGCCTGAGCTTGTGTCTTGTATGCAAATAGGAAAGTGACTACGACGAACAAAAACAAGTGAAGACTCGTAAACTAAAAATCACTGAAAATTGCCTAGTTTAATCGCGATTGTCCATCGACGGCCAAAATCGACCACAAAATCTTTGAAAGTAATCGCAGAGAACGTAGTAAAAACATAAAAAAATCTCTGGGCCGTATTGTGGAAAGCAAAATCACAGACGCAACTAGTGCTTAGATAATCCACGTACCCACGAAGGAATGGAAAACGTTGATTCTACACATGCTTATTCTGTTTCTCTGAGGATAAAAACCAAACTAAACATACTTCATCCCGCTAAAAGAAATACATGAGATATTCTAAGTGAGACATAAGTAAATCTTCTGATAAACTTTTCGTTCCAATCGTTTTTCATTCATATACTATTAATGGCGCATTTCCACGTCCAAACAGATGGACACGCTCTTTTGCGTTACGACTCTTCTTCCTATTACATCAAAAGAAGAAATTCTTCATCCTATCTTGAAGTTTAAAGCCTATCTCGTTAATTTAAAGGTTTAAGGTGAGAAGAAAGGAAAGAAAGAGAGAGATCTACCACGGTTTCAGCAAACGAGTGAAGCAACGCACACCACTTCAATTCACAATAACAACAAGCGGGTTCTATTTTACACATCATCAAAAGAGCGAAAACTTACGACAATTCTTCTCGTCGGAGTTATCTCCGCAATCATCTTCTCCATCACATCTCCAATTTTCAGGAATACATAACTGATTGCCACAAGCAAACTGATCTTTACCACATCGAAACTCTGCAACTGAAATCGAAGGACGGTCGTCAGTGAGTACTGTACGCAGTAGTACGAGACTACAGGGCAAACATATGATACTACTTACCGCCGTTGAATCATTGTAATCATGTAGAGAACATCAGTCGTACATGACTTATTCTACGCTTCGTAAGGAAATTATGGACGCTGCTTATAGAGTGTCTTCAAAGGAAGACAATGAAAGAAAAGAAGGGAAGTTGCTATATTCGAGATTTTACGATCCCACGACTTCGTGGCATAACCATGTCTTCTTGAATTCGCTGTTTTCCATTTTCCCACATGATATCAATGAAGATCATGAATTAAAGTATGTAATAGAAAGAAAGTTTATTCGTCATGATGGCAAAAGACATCGAGATCCATTTTGAAAATTTCATTTTACGACAACGAAAATCATAACAAAACATAACTACCGTAGAGAGATTATCGATATACGCTCACCTATTGTTTGAGCAAAATCCAAAGCGATACACACACAGACCAAAAGCTTGATCACGTTCCTCCACGATCTTGCCATGTCCAAGATTCTCTCGAGGAAAGCGTATTCTAGGGTCGAAGGAACAAGATTAACCACATTTAGCCCGTAAATCCGTCGGAATAACACATGAACTCTAAACTCGAGTCTGACGTTTGTTGTTGTCACACATACCAACCCGTTGGCGGGAAAGCTGCTAAAACACGAAAAACTGAATCCAAATATGGTCAAACTTAGATCATGTGATCTCAATTTGACCAATGGAAAATCATGAAATAGACAGCGGTTATCGCTGGTATTTCCGGAATGTTCTCGTGTATTCCTCGGGGGCCGAAGATGTGTGAAAACGCGAAAGCCAAATGGAGACGAAAGTAAACAAATTACAACGTATTTGCGCATGCCAGGATTTAAGCCAGGTACACTCTCCAAATCCTCTTAATTTGTGGAAAAATTTTAATTCTACATCCACAATATTTACTCGAACCTTAACGTGATAATTAAAAAACTTATGAACTAATTTGTTGCGGAGAAAAATAGCAATATTCTAAATGATGAAAAGTAATTTCGTTGAGATGTCTCGATGCTGAAGTTCAGATTGCTTTGGATTAACATTCAAATTCTTGTGCCAAAATAATTTCCTTAACTTATATTAAACTGGCAAAACGAAATATTCAAGAAGTTGGATGATGATGAAATCTTATGAAAGGAGCGAAATGCACGTGTTTATTACTCATAGAGTCCTATGATTGCCTCATGAAATGATGAGCCGATAACGTTAGGGATATTTATGAAGATGCTACCATTTCATTGCTTATTCAAAACATGTTAGTCAGCAAAATTTTGTGCAAATGTACAGCACGCTTATGAGCTCGTAACATACAGGTTTTTTGAAAAAAAAAACTTTCAGTTGATAAAAAGGGGTTCCATTAGATCGCTTTTCTTTCTCTTTTCTATTGCATCCTTGTATTCCTGAGTTCTAACAATTGCAAAGAAGACAAAAATTTAATTTATCCGAAAACATCAATGTCAAAATGTGACCATCGCGTCAATTCTTGTCAAAGATGCACCTGTAAACACATACAAATTGTTTGTTTTCTTCCACGAAGATACGTCATAAAACGCCGAGAACTCACGGGATATTTTTTGACGTTCTATGTCGAAGGAATTTATTCACTATAAAGCGCTTTGGTTTGAGAGAGACATCTCAAAATAGCTATCATCCAACATGGAAAGAGATATGATCTTTGAAACTAAAGCTACTGATTACTTTTCATGTGGAAAATAAGATCTTCCCTAAGCAATTTCTGTAAAAATAAATATTCCCACATGTCAAAGAAAATTTATCCAAATTCCACCCTTTAAATTTTGATGACATTGACAAAATAAAACCATTTCCAAAATAGTTTATTGTTAACTCTTCAACTTCTGAATTAAAGTTCGACCAAGTTGCGTTCAGTTGTTCAGATCGTTTGAATAGAAATCCAGCATCTTTCTTCAACTCATTTTATCAGAGTAAAATGGTCAACCCTATTAGAAGAGACACAAAAGTGTCGGAACAAGTAGAAATTTCAACTCATCGATTACCATTTGAATCATAAAAAAATCACCAAAAATAAATTCTATTTTTAACTTACTAAGAGACGAAAATCACTTGCATCACAACGAGAAGACGGAATTGTTCCAGAAATTTTACTAATATTTTTCTAGATGTAAATTATAACCTTTAGGCCGACGGGCTCGCGACCTAAGCTGCCATGTTAATAATACTTCAAGTAATCTTGTCAAATCCACTTTTCAGTTAACTCTCTCTTATGAACGAAGTGTTTATACCTTAAACGCTCATTTCATCTAATGCATTAAGCTGTAGCACACATTTTTGTCGGTTTTTCAACATGATAAATAAAGTTTCGGACGAGCTTGACGGATCGAAAGCGGGTATGCCACACGAGGTTCAAAGACGGCCATTTTGATGACACCTATCCCTGCTTGACCGGCTTTACTTGTTTTTACGATGTTGTTTACATCGCCATCGAGTGGTTCGCCGACACACCGGAAATATCTAATGCGGTTTTATGCAAATCCAGCATTTTGTACATCATTCTGCTCTTCACAAACTTAAACGAAGAGTTGAGAAGTTTTTGAAATTATTATGGCCCAATTAACAATTTGTAGACAATGTTTCCACCGGAGTCACAAAACATGAATTGAAACATATGAAAAAATTCCAAACATTTTTCACCCTCGCTAAGTACTTAGAGGGTCACTTATGATCAGATTGCAAGAGACAGCAAAGGAAATAAAGATTGTATGAGAAACGATAAAAAGATTGTTAGATAAAAAGGTTTTTTGATCTAACTTTTTAATCAATAATTAGTTATCAAGAGAAAAAACCGATGATTAATCTGCAAATAAATCGATCATAAGGAACAAAGAATATTTGCGATGAAATGCTGATCAAGTTAACAATTACCGCTCGAGATTGTAAGAATTTAAGCAACTGTGACCAAAAACTTGCCGAGTTTGCGCTAATTTCTCCAAATATCAGAGTTGCTTCGTGCACAGTGATCATTCACAAGCAAACCCACGAAAAGCGAAACCTCGATCCGAACTTCCTAACTCATAATTCCTATGCATAACTCATAGAAAATTGGGGCACCTCTGCTGATAGTATAGTGACTTATTGAAATCTAAACTTAGCAGATGTACGATGAAAGTCACCAAGGCGCCGCTACAAATACATCTTTTACTTCGCCATCACGTGAGTAAGATATCCATATTGATGTTGTTTACACAATTTATGAAATCTTATCCTGAGGAACATTTGTCCAATTTAAAAGAACACATTCTCCAAAAGACTTAAAGATATTGAAAGATTCGACCACTCCTTTGCTCAAATGCGAAATATTCAGTCTGTTTGAAGAATTTTCCTGTCAGTTAGTAAGATTTATATCTGGGAGAACGTCTCATTTGAAATATCTTGGAAGATTTAATCATAAAGTCGTCGTCAAATTGTGATAGTTTCCTCGAGAAGATCATCAACTTGATGCTAAATTAAAGAATTGGACATTAAACCACAGATGAACTCGTGATTGGTGAATACGTTGAAGTTACAGCGTTACTTAAGGCTAAATTCGTGCATTCCGTCTACAATCAAATGGTATGATTTTGAGAACACTGAAGTGGGGCTCTATAACTTTGCGCAATTTCGTTATTTCGTATCTGGCACGAAATAGAATTTAGCAAAGTTTTCAATCCACCGTTTACGAATAAGATCGTCTATGGGACTAACAATGAAACACTGGCCCTAAAGAACTAACCACGTACCTTAAAAAATCGATGGGACCCAAGATGAACGAGTATTAAGACACAAGAACGACGTATTCACTGCTGTCCAAAATCACGTGCAATCACGAAATCGCCAGAAAAAGATTTTGACACTTCGGAACACCAGAAGAGTTTTAATCCAACGCTATAACCTTAAATCGATGAATTGACCAGATGATTCACACAAATACGAGATGTAATCCAACGAAACTCGCTTAAAATCAACGACACGAAACGTAATACTGCATTCTTGTAGGTAGCTATACGGTTCACTTCCCGGGGGCCGCTATAGGGTCTATGACGCAAGCATTTTAACATGATATGATAACAGAACGATTTCGTAAATGACATTTGAGGTCATGATATAAATAGTCTAAATAAAAACCACGTCTTGACCAGTCAGTGCATAATCAATCAAAACATTAAACCCTCAGAAACGGTATGCGGTAATTTTGTAGAATGTTTGACCAAGGCTTTTTAGTAAAGGGATATTTCTCAAGTCCGGCATATGTATAAACTAAATCACGAGGTTTGCTAAGTATCTGATAAAACAATAACAAGTCTTAACGATTGGAAAATTTTTTAACATACCCTGAGTTTTAAATGTAATACTCTGTTGATTATAGCAGCGAGGAAAAACACGAGACTTTGGGTATCTCCGGGATTCCACTCACTCGTGTTATGGACAACGTCTTAGTATCAATTGTTCCACGAGTCTTAACGCATCTTAATACAGCAAATTCATTGAAAAATCATTGAGTATTTGCTGCTTACAGCACACGGACAAGCCATGCCATGTATGCCATGTGCTGATTTAAATATGCATGAAATGACTGATTTGGTTAACAATAGTCGGTACGGCCTCCTATTTGAAATCTACTCACGTACCCACAACTGAGCCGGGGTCTCCACTGTTTTGTCCAGAGGTCATTTCAAAAGAGTTCACTGCTCACAAGCGCTCGACTATATAAAAGATTCTAAAGAATTTCCACACTTCAAAATAATAATGCTTTGTCTATGTTTGCGATACAAAAGATCTCTAAGGTTTTGTCTGGAAATTTATCAGCGAGCAACCTTCGTTTTTATCACCACTAATATGAAAACCGTAAAGAGAAAAATAATCTAAAGTGACATTAAACCTGAAAATTCTTCATTATTTTTGAGTTGTTATAAATAAATCAAGTACAGAAATCCTGCGGATGTTGGCATGAAAGTCTCGATTTGCATTTTAGTCATAACTTATGAACATAGAACATATCCATGTCAAAATAAAGCGATCTCGACGATATGAGGATTCCCCTCAATAAATTTAGAAGCCTCTGCTCAGTTCAATCATTTACTCATTATAGCTTCGGATGAAAAAAATTTCGTAAGTGTGAATCAAATAAAAGTATTACCTCCAAGATTATTCATCAACTCCTAAATAACCAATTTATCTGCGATAACTACAGACTACACTCACCAATTTGCCAGATTTCAATGCCGTCATTAAACGTTTAGTGTAAGTAGTATTTCTGTTGTGCCCTTTATTACATAAAGGCCGGCGGAAATGGTTAAACACTCTAAAGCATAAAGGAAGTACTTCTCGTATTTCAGATGAATCCAGTCTCAGAGACCTTTGGTAATTTGTCCGAGGGCAGTGCGAGGGCGTGGAATGGTTGATTGAAAGACCAAGTTGGTTTTGTTAGTACAGCTGTTAGGTAAAACTATCAAACAGAAATGCTTGGATTTGCACGATTTCCGTGTGCTTTCGTGAGTTGGAAACAACCGCATAAGGAGGTTTCTTTGACTGGCGCCAAATCGGCGGAGAAATTTGGATATTTTTTTATTTCCTGTTGTTTAAAAATCGCTCAAGGCTATTTTTTCATGGTCTCCTGAGTTCAAAGCCATTTTATTTCAGTTTTGTACCGAAATATCATTAAAATTTCTTAGGGCTTTAGATCAAAACGAGCTGACCCTCTCTGGCATTGTGATTTCATGGAGTTATAATTTGCGCATTAATCGAGAATTATACGGTTTATACAGTGCTGGGAACATTTTTGTTTCATAGCTGATCAATATTGAAATATACAAATATTATATTATTTATGAACAGTTATTCCTGGGGATCAAAAGTCTCCTGTGATGAAGTGGAACAGATCTGAAAGGAAGCGAACTTTCTAGTTACGAAATTGTTTAGGAATATCAATATATCATTGATAATTTTTCCCTAAAATATTTCACCACATGTGTTCAGGGACTGAAAGTTAAGATGCTGATCTGAAACACAAGGCTACAATCTTAGTTTCTGTTTCAAGGTTTGCCACATGAGTTTTACAAAATGGCGCACAAGTAGAATTAGTTTCAGATAAGTCAAATGTCGAGTTGACTTGAAATTTACAGTTTGTTACCGAAAGAACTGGAAATTGTGTTGATATTAATACAACAAAAACTTCGTCAATCCAACGGTTTTCCATAACCGTCACCTTATCAAACACGCGACTTAACAATATTCTAAAGCAGCTTCCTCGCTGAGCAAAACTTCTCTCGCCTTGAAGTGGAAAAGAAAATGTGAGTGAAAAAACATCAACAACACAAAAATGACGACCTTGAAAAATAAGCAAGACGTTTCCACGAGGTATGACGTAGAAGTCCTTTCCTGAGTTGAAGACAAACGTAAAACATCTTCCTTTATAAAAAAAAAAAGTGTTTACTGGTGATCACTTTAACTGATACTTTGATTCTATATTGGGCAGTTCCGATTTCAGATGCAACTGTCAGTAATCAGTAGAGTAGTATCTTCTCTCGCTTTGCTGACCAGAAAACACTTTTGGGTGACCTTATCAGACTCTTATCTACTTATTTTATGACGTGCCTGAATAGTTCTTTCATTACATAAAATTTGTTTCCTACGTTCTGCTAGTCTAGCGGCCAAAATTTAAGTCGCAATCGTGCCCTTAACATTGACAGTGTTTGCTGGTGTCTGCACAGCCAGTTAGAGTGAAACTTTTCCTGGGGACCTTCAAAAACACGATGGCTATATTTGCCACCCTCTCTTCTGGAAGTCGAATCGTTGTTAACGTAGCAAAACCAAAAATAACATATAAAGTTTATTAAGTTAATATTCTCTTGGCAAAACAAATCTCATAAAAAAAAGCTACACAATCTGGTCTTTTAAACGTCGTCGGATTATTGAAGAGTTAACCAAGACAAATTCGCTGTTCTTACAATGTGACTTGGGCGTGAATCTACGTAACAAGAACTTACCATGTCCCGCTCTGGTATATCAAATGAAAGGAACAGCAATACTCAGATTAAAAGTCGCAAATATTTCCTCACATCACGTATCAGTTCTACGCCCTCGCACTTCAGAGTGACATACAATATCTACGTGTTCCTGACAGTGAAACGTAGTATTAAAGTTTACTTTCAAGAACAAGTTTGACCGAGGATCGCAATGAGTGTAAAAACACGTTTTTCTACCCATTTTGTTTATTAACTTTTATGTGCTGTAACATTTTTTTATCCTTTTTAGGTATCAGGCACAATCCCTTTAGATCACGTAACGTAACATATCCATTTTTAGGAACACGTCACATATACCCTCATCCTGTACACAACACAGACGCCAAAGTAAAGCTCCTCCAAAGCTTCTACGTTGAGGCCAAAAGCTAATCCGCACTCAACGCTTTGATACATAGATCCTTTTTCAGTCCCTTGAGATGCTAACGCCGCTGATTCAATGATACTCTGGCACCTTATAGTTTTCTAAACTACTTCCGTTGATGCTCGGTTTGTTTGTGTCAGGAAACCTCAAGAGTATGCCCCGATCAATAATGGCCGACATCCAAAACTATAACATTAAGCATTCACCAATTAAAAATTTGTGAATACCTTAAGTTTATGGCTTCTGTCTCTACATATCTCGGTCTATCATATTTCTTATGAAAATCGGCAACACCGCATTTTAAGAATTGAGAACTGATCTGCAGCCGTACCAGAGCCAATTCTGGGTTATGCTGGGGTCCATTTTTTTTTATAATCCAAACAAGATCAAGTAATTCTAGCGAATATTTATGGTTTAGCTGTGGGAGTCTGAGATGATCAACAACTTTCGGTTGCTTTCTGGGTTGGCTTGCAGCCAGCGGTGTCTAAAGGAAACTATATCATTGTTTTGCAGCCTACAAGCCCAAGATGTTGCAAATCTCCCTGCGGAAAGCATCGATTTTAGATATCAACTTTCCTGTGTAGGAAAACAACAGGAAGGCGAAGGTCAAAAAATGTCCGATTTAAAGCTGTCGTGACTGGCGAATGAATATTGACATGAACATGTTTGTTAAGCTGTTGGAGCTTATCCAAAAATGAATAGGAAAAACAGTAATTATTCAGGGAGACAAAAAGGCAGACTAAGTAAAATTGGCATCTGGTCTAAATGTACTTCACAAAGATCTTTTTAGGCTGTATTTCACTTTAAGAGTGTTAAATATTCGGATCAGGAAACACGATCAGCTGACGAACGAAAAGAAAATAGAAGTCATAGAATATCTTCACGGCAAAATAACCTACTGACCCATCTGTTAAGAAGTGGAAACATAAAGATTAATTTACGGTTCGATCAGTGTAAGAGGATAAACTCGAATTTGTCCCAGTTAAGATCGACAAATTTTTATCGGTTCATTCACTGGAATACTTTGAACTTGGGAATTAGTAGACTTTTGTTGTTGAAATCAACGGCATTCAGAGGATTTTGTTTTCAGAAAAAGATTACCCAGTTAAAATAAATGAATTCGCAAAGAACAAATAGAATCTATAAATATCAGTCACGATATTTCAATTACACGGCAAATTTTGTTTATTAATTCTTTCAACAGTATTCCTTTAAACAGCACGTAGAGCACGTTCTGTTTATAGAGCTATTCATGATTACCACATAAGCAGCGAACATATTGATGTTTCGTGCAGAGTTTCACGAAATTTTGTTTGTTTAGCAGATAGTATTTTGACCTTTGTGATAATTTATGGCGGCCCTCTCGTGACATATTGTATTTCCCCATGGGCCCTTTACCCGATGGACTCCTGATTTCCGTATTTAAATGAATTTACGGAATTTTACTGTCTTTATTCATTGGATTGTTTTTTTTTCGAACATCATCAACTGCTATCTAGAAAACGTAGGCCAATCGATTCATAATTTAATGAGTACAAAAAAACACAGACAGCGATTTCACGGGAGTGTTATGTGTGTGGTTGGATGTTTAAGAAAATCTCCCTTCTCCGACCACAAGCTCAATGAAAACTCGAACCCGTGTCCTGTAAGTCTAATCAAGGTTCTTTGTTATTCTCTGACCTATTTCTGAGAAAAAAACAACATGAGAAAAATGCTTTAGTAAAGTAGAACGCAACAGTTGTCCTGTTGTTTTTTAACCCTTTAACTCCCAAGATGTGATTTTTAATTCTCCCCACTAGCTGTTCGACAATTCCCTGTAAATTAGTTGTGAGTATTTAGTGTCAGATCAAGACAACCTCGAACTTCTACCTGATGAGCTTGAATATTCTCATTACCTGTTTTCTGGATAATTTATGGATATTATAGGGAGAAGTTACATGTTCAGTGCCGATGTAGACCAAGGGCTTCTTTTCGTAAATTTCTCTTCAAACGCTGCCTCGGAAAATTCCTCATTCATTCAAATCAATATTCATTTTCACCGAACGTTTAATGTGCTGCAACACGTGCAGAGATGTAAACATGTCATTGCAAACTGAATAATGATGTTCTATGGCGACGAGATTACAACCCCAACTAGACTATTACCTCAGTGGACTATTTCTTACAACGGAGAAACACGGGTATTTCTCAGTTTGGATTTAGTTTATTCAATATTGTTCATAGAATTAGCAATCTCTAATTGTATTGCCCCTTGACGAAATTTTCAACGCGAAATTTGTGTGAAATGTGGATTTCCAAAGTGAAAGATGCTAGGATTTGAATTGCACTTGTATTAATTTGGTAGAAACAGTCCTTCCGGGAGTGATCGGTTCTTCGCCAAAAAAACAGTACTCACTTCATGCGCTCAGGTGACGTAGAGAATTGGAACATGGTCTGTCAGAAAGGAGTTGAGAATATAGGTTCCAAGGTGTTTCAAGCAAATTTTCCTACAGTATCCTCAAGATTCAGATAATGTTTTCGTCAAGAATTTTCGTCCAACACTAATGGTCTAGAGACACGCGAACCACGTGTTCGCACTCATTTTCGATGTCTGTTAGAATGTCTGAATAATTATATTGCACGACATTAGCCTGAAGGTTGTTAACTTTCACCCCACACTATTACCAGTCTAATGCATTGTTAACTTTCACATGTATCGTTCAAAGGTCACTATTTCATTCTCAGACCTCGACAAAAACAAGCTGGGCGGATGTCCTGAAATAAGAACGGATGTCCTGAAACAAAACCAAATATAATCGATGACGGTTAAGAAAGTAAAAATAATAACAATTGGAGTTCCGAAGCGGAACACAGTACACATGGCTTGCGTTGAAAACAAAACTTGAAACTCCAAAATCAATAACCTCACATGAAAATGAGATTTTTGTCTCTTTCGGTTTTGATCATCTGTAAGATCCGGTTTTCGGGTTTTCGCACAAAAATTATTTAGTTTTTCAGATTTGATTTCTACTACGTTTTTCGGTTTTTTTTCTTTTAGGATCTTCTATGTTACCTCGGAGTGTTTTCGGTTTTGCGGGAGTCACATTTTCAGTTTTGATGTAAATTTTAGCAGGTTTGTTTTGTTTTATAATGTGGCGTAACAACCTGTCTCCCATTCCCACAGACACTTAAACATTGCTACACATTCGATATTTATCTAACAGTAAGATTCCTAACGCGTGGCACGTGCTTCAACAATACTTATTTCTGCGTGTTTTGTTCACATTCAATAAGGATCCCTTCCTAAAAAGTAATTAGCGAAAACACCTGTAAATGGGTGCCACGAGTGAAAAAACCGCACATGGCACCACAAGCAGGTGTATTGTGTTTGTAAACACAGTATGCGTGACCACAGCTCCTACGAGTAACCACATGGGATGTTCTTAATATTTTAAAGGCGTCAGAGATGAGGAGAGGGGGGGAGGAGGAACCCTAGGATGTACAAGACCCTCCTTTTGGTCAAGCTGAAGGGATAATTTATAGTAGTAAAAAAACCTGTATTCCTCTCAAATAACAGTAAGACCCTAACAGAGGACCCCCCCTCCCTTCCCTTATCAGATTTGTCAAAATTAATTAATAATTCATAAAAATAAAACAGCTGCACATGCATAATTGAAGGACCACACTCTTCGAAAATCCTGCCATGAATTACGATTGCATTTAATGTAAGAGTGACTAGAACTTGACGAGATAGAAACGAGAAGATCCTTGTAATGGTTGAAGAGAACTGTATTCTTAAACACAGGCAAAAATACAATCTCTACTTCATGCAGGTTGACTATAAACAGATATAAAGTACTAATGAGAGGGCGTGTATTTGTAACCAGCCGAACAATTGTACTGATGTACTTTCATTAACGGCAAGGCAACCCTACTCTGAGTGCAGTAAATGTTATCGGATAAGATGACAGCAATTAAATGGCAAGAGCTTTTAAAGGTGCTCTGAGTATATTTAAACAGGGGAAATGATGGTCCGGTGGTAACAATTTACTTTTGGCTAACTGACTTTTAGGGCGTGTTCCTTTAGTGTAGTGTCCTCTGAAAAAGAAAATATTGCCAAGTCTACGTTGCAAGAAAAACGTGGCAGATTCGTGAGCCAGCTTATATCGGAAACTAAAAATGAGAATAACTCTAAGCATAGAAATGTTGATGGTAAATATTTGTTATAAAAGCAAAGGTTTTGTGGCAACCCCCCCTCCCCCCCTCCCTTGCGCCTCCTCCAGTCTCCACTTCTCAAGGTTGCGGCTGAGCCTGCGAATGACAGGTCTTCTGGTCAGCAAGCAGTGTTAGTCCAGGTGGACAATGGCATGAAAAGCCTTGTGGGTAAGAGTCGACAGGCGCCAATAAACAGATGTGACTGCAGCCACCGAGCTGTGTAGGGACATCACAAGGATTGGATCCTGCAAATGAAACAAGACACATAAAACTGAACTTTCGCTTTTCATTCAACTGTGGCTTGTTTTAGAGGGAATGAGTGAGGTTCAGTCAGCAAAAGTCTCATAATTTTCGCAACGTATTGTTCTTTCTATTTTCTAAAGCATTGATTGACTGAGAATATTGCTTCTCCTGGATTTTCATCGCACGTTACCCCCCTGCACGTCACCAGGTTTCCCCTGAAAGTTAGCTGGTACCCATTTACGCTCCCGTGAGAGTAAAGTCCTGTGCACATGAACACAACGCAGCAAGTGACCCTAGCCTTGGATCATACTCTTTCGATCCAATGTCCTGCGCGCCAACCATCAGGTCATCCCAGTAGGTCTCCCCTTTAAGCTCAAATGAATTTGGTACGATTTAGAAATTTCGTAAAAACTCTCTTCATCATTTTCTTCTTGAAATAACAGAGATTTACCAGCCAAGTGACCCTCTATTTTCAGAGCATAACCCTGTGAGCTGAGCAACAGTATTTCACTCCCAGGGGATGGTATGTAAATACTTTCTTAAGCTTTCCTTGCTACACAATCGAGCTCATCGCTTAACTTCTAGCAGTGATCAGGCTATAATTTCTCCTTACAATTTAAACCGATTGCAAAGACCAATCAAGAAAACCACTAACAAGACAGATAAACCAATAAGGTTCAACGAAAAATACACGTGGCCAGCACTATGTAAAAGATTTTGAACTCTTATCTGATTGGTCTACTAAGTGGTTAGACTTGTTATTGGCCAATCAAGAGGCGTAGTGAAGCAAAACCCATGCGATTACTACAAGACTGACTTCGTGTGATTAGACTAACCTACTGGCTGCCTTTGTCGATGAAACACAACAACATCCATCGGCCTTTGCAGAACAACAGCATTTGCAACCTTTCCAGTAAACTTATTTGCAACATGGAGTTTCGATGTTGTCCAGTCTGTCCAGAAAACGTTGTCAAGGAAGACTGAAATCCCAAAAGGATGTTCTAAAGGCGTGGCCCTCAAGAAAACTTTGCGATGTTTTCCATTCAAGTCAGCAGATTCAATGGTTTGTTGCTTGGCATCAGTCCACCAGAATCTGTTTAGAGTGTAGTCTATTGTGATCCCATTAGGCCAGCCTATGTTGTCAGTTACGATAGCTCTACGTGTTGCACTATCACCATTCATAGCGCATCTCTCTATTTTACCTGCGTCACCCCAGTCAGTCCAGTACAGATAACTAGAAAAAGGTGAAAAATGGTCGACAGTCGATCAAAAAAATAAATAAACAATTGAAAAGAAACAAATGTATTCTTGATTACATAGAAATATAAAAGGGGACCAATCATTTATCGTGGGAGGGGGGGTGGAGGATTGGGGGATCACGTGGTTTTCAGGGGAAAACGGAGGGGGGATGAGTTGTCGCTAACAGAGTATAAAAGGAGGGGGGCTATAAAAAATTGACTGAAAACTAACTGCAAATGAGGGGGGGGGGGGTGAGTCATAAGAATTTTTCGGTCCCTAAGCAGCAGGAAGGTACGGGAAAAAAAAATTCCCAATAAAGTGATTACCCAAGAAACGGATGTACTGCAATAGCTCTTGGCTTTTGTAAGTCTTCCTGGATAAGACTCATACGATTTTTCCCATCTAGATCAGCAACTTCAATCTCCGGTGCTGTCGAGTTGGTATTAATCCAATATAACTTCTTGTTGATCCAGTCCACTGCTAATCCTTCTGGTCCCTCGAGATTTCCCTCGATAATCACTTCAATATCACTGCCGTTATCAACCGGTGCTCGTCGAATACTGTCATGACTGTCATAATTCCTATCACTCCAGTAAATATGTCTTGTATCAAAGTTGAAATCCAAAAAAAGGATGTTTGTTTGATCAGCAGAAACTACTAGCTCAGGAGTTAGTGTGTCAATTGAGAATCGGCGAATGTCCATGCGATTTACAACAAAAACAAATCCCTGTGGGCCTGAAATGGTAAAAGATTGGAAGAATTGATAAAATGGCAAATAAACAAATAGCTAAATAGTAAACTGAGGTAAATGGTATGACGTCTCATAGACAAACATCCGTTTGAGCGACTTTGTATGGAAAACTTTAATGAAATTCACGTATATCAAGGAGGCCCTTCCTCTCTGATTTTACCCTGATTTTCTCTTGCTTCAGTAGAAACGAAACATCCCTACCGACGCCGTGATTCTCTCTCTCTCTCTCTCCCTCTCTTTCTCTCGCTGTTTTCCCATACTGTTTTCATAGGACCATGTCCTGTAACGTTCAGATCAATGTCATTATTTGAGCAACTGCGCACCTACCCCTCCCTTAACCCAACTTTAATCTTAACTTGTTATCAGTTGACTACTGTTGGGTGAGGTGAGAGGTAGGTGCGTAATTGCTCAGAAGCTGAAATTGATCCTTATGTTCATAACTCATCTCAGTCGTCTGCTTCTCATGCCTGAGAACTACACAGAGAAGTGACGCATAGGCCGGTCATTTCTCACCTAAAGCTCGGCAAGTTTTGTTGTTTGATGTTAACTCGTATCCCTCGGAGCATTTGCAGGTGTAAACATCTCTGTCAACTGTACAACTTTGACTGCAGTTTCCTCGGATTTGGCAGATTTCCCCGTCTGGAAATCAAAAACACAGGAATGACTTATCACTTGCGGAAGCTAGAGACTGAATCATTCATTAGCACAAGGTGATTGCCATTGTCCTTGAACCCTTAGACTCAACCAATCAATTAATTGGAAAGGTTTCGTTTGAGCACTTCGATTTTAAACCACGTAATACATAGTAAGAAAATGAGCATCTGACTAATACGTCATGTTCTTTAGAGTTTCGGTAAAACGTGAAGGCCAATTCAGGTCACTTTACAATGACAGGCTGCACTGTGGAATGTTTCGTAATTCCTCTCGCTTGACATATTACCAACACGAGAATGAGCTCGTCCCTGGCCCTTTGTGTACTATCTAGAAAACGTAAAACGCGGAGCACGATCGTGCAACATGGTTGCATCTGGCCCACAACACCACCCGCACCGTGCCATATACAGGGAAGGACCCAAGGGCTGCCACTGGGGTTCTGTCTAATTAAGACCATGTAACAAAAGATGGAACTTACAGATGGTGTCTCGCGTATGACACAATAACAATTTGAGAATAACGTACCACAATCTGCCTCATCAGAACCATCAGAGCAATCAGATTTTTCGTCACACCTTTCTTGCACATCTATGCACCTTCCATTCTCACAGATGAACTGATTTGTTACGCACAAAGTGTGACCTAAAATAACGACAACATTAAAGACGTAATGTTTATTCAAGAATAAAGACAAACATTTGATCAAATTTAGCCTTTCGTATTTGCCATAAAGGTAGAGCTTTAGCTCTCCCTTAGCTACAACAGGAAGACTACAATCCTTCTGTTACAACTCACCGCATTCATTCCCGTCGCATTTATTTGGAGAAGTGCAGTTAAGCTCATCTGAATTGTCTTCACAATCTTGCTCGCCATCACAAACCCAGATGCTGTGAATGCACGAACCATCCTTACACTGCAATTCATTTTTGCGACATTGTTCAGCAACTCTAGAACAGTTGACTTCGTCCGAGTTGCCTGGGCAGTCAGAATCACCATCGCACTTCCATGTGTTAGGCACACAACCCCTGGAACCGCAAAGAAATCGATCCTTTTTGCAAACAGGCAAGGTACAGTCCAATTCATCAGAGTTATCATGACATTCATTTAAACCATTGCAGCGTTGTTTCTCTGGGATACAAGTACCTGTGGCTTTGCATAAAAATTCCTCATCTCCACATTTATTTCGGGTGCAGTGCTTTTCATCCGATCGATCAGAACAATCGTCTTGGCCATCACAAACCCATCCTTTTGGTAGACACTTTCCAGATGTTTCGCATGAAAATTGCGAAGGTTCACACGTAGTCTTAGCACAGTTAACTTCATCTGATTCATCCTTGCAGTCTTTATCTAAATCACAAACCCATCTTTCTGGAATGCACCCTCCTGAACTGTTGCATCTAAAGTGTCCGCTGGGACACGAGAATTCAGGACAGTCTGCTTCATCTGAATTGTCTGAACAGTCAGATTCACCATCACACTTCCATCTGACAGGCATACACAACTTGGAAGGCTTGCAAAGGAACTCTCCCGTATTGCATTCAGGTAAGGAACAGTTCACTTCATCAGAGTTATCTCCACAGTCATCCTGCCCATCACAGATCCATGTGGTTAAGATGCAGACTCCTGGGCTGGACTTACATCGAAATCTTTCCTCGCCACACTCAATATTGTCGCATTTTGCCTCATCTGAGCTGTCAGGGCAATGATTGACTCCATCACACACCCATTTTGCAGGGATACATCGTCCTGTTGCATTGCATTCAAACTCATCAGTATCACAAAGACGATCATCTTCACAGTCGACTTCATCCGAGTTGTCTCCGCAATCATCATTACCATCACAAACGACATACTTCGCGATACAGCTTCCAGAGGCCCCACACTGAAATTGGTCGGTAGTGTTACAGGGTGCGGTGGTGTTACACTTCTCTTCATCGGACATGTCTCCACAATCATTACTACCATCACATACAAAGATTTCGTTGATGCATACCCCAGTGCTACGACATTGGAACTGATTGCTTGTACATGTTTGAGTGTAATTACAGTGTTTCTCGTCCGATTTGTCCACACAGTCAGTTTTGCCGTCACAAACAACACTTATCAGGACACAGGATCTATCATCGCATTGAAATTCACTGCTGTCACATTCGGCACCACAGCTGTCTTCGTCTGAGTCATCACCACAGTCATCCTTACCATCGCAAACAAGACTTTTGTCAATGCACTCTTCTGTGATGGTACATTGGAACTGACTGGTAAGACAGGAGCGACTAGACACTGAAGAAAATAAGAAATGTATGAGTTTGTTCGTAGAATACCGCACGAATCCTGCGTATCGTAGCTGGGACAAAGAAAGAACTTGATGATTAGGAATAAACCCAAGACCTGCCAATTGCTGTCGAGATACTCCGTAAGCGTTCTAGCCGATTTCAGTTTTGAATTATGTGTTCTGTTATGATGTGAGACAAATTTTTGAACGCAGCAAGAACGGAAAAACAAAAGTGAAAATACTACTTATTGTCGAAATGGTAAGCGGTGTAACTAAATTGAAAATTTATTAAAGTTTACGTTCGGGATGAAAAGGGGACCTCAAGTCACTATTGTGCGTATTTCACTTGGGGCCATGAACGTACTTTGGGAAGCTAATGAAATTTCAGAATTTAAAACGGCACACAAAGAATAAACTTATGTATTTCGAAGGTAGCAAAGTACGTTTGATAATACTCATGATGATAAGATCTTTCAGTTTTGTTTTTTTAACTCACTTGTTGGCGGCAGAGGGGTGGGTCCCCTCGATCCATTCACTCCAACGCAGTCACTTACACCTTCTAGAGGGAATCGTTCGCAGTTCAAACTCTCTGGCCATTTAACACCAAAACGGTTCAACAGATCTTCACAGCCAAGTCTTGCACTATTACAAAGGGGACGACAGGGCGGGACTGCAGAACCTAATACTGAACAAACTGGCGCGTAAACAGCACAGAGGAAGAGCCCTAAATGCTTCGAGCAGCCGGATTTTACCAAAGGATAAAACTGGTGGACATAAGGAGCAGCTTCTTCTTGTGTTGTGATGTTCAAAAAGTTGGGAAATATTGTAGTATTATAAGGCATAGATCGACAAAGAGGTATCGTTAACGGCTCACAACTGTCCTGTTTCGTTGAGGGAGAAATGGTGGACATGTGTACTGGTGGAAGCGTCTTCATGATTTTTTCGCATCTGCAACTGCGAACAGATAAGAAATGGCTCTCTCAACTACCCTTTTCAGTGAAAAGACCAAAAAGATAACTCTCGTTACTGGCCAACGCAAGCTTTCTTGTACTTCATATTCGAGAATTTGGTATCAGAAATCTATCCTTGGAAAATTTCGTTCTCATGATCACTCGCTGATGTGTAAGGCTGAGCTAAACAAGGTTTTAAGTGAGGTTCCGCTTCCATAAAATCCCATCAAAAAAGGTTCCTTTCTCTTTTATTACATAAGTTACAGTAATCGCTACGAGGACCAGAGACAAGTTTGGTCGGAGATAATGTAATCTTCGCTTCAGAAAATTTAAAGCAGTTGAAATAAATGTTCCTAAACCATTAACCCCTGAGTGAGAGAAGTTTTAATTTATTTTAACAATGGCACCCTTGAATCAAACTTAAAGGACATGAGAACAAAGGAAATTGTAGCCAAGTCAAGTTGCGCTTGATTGTTAGACAAATTTTCCTTGTAAGAACCACAGGAATGTGTAGAGAACAATATGGAAAACTTTGGTACTGATGTCCAGGTTTAGAGGCTTATTAGGACGGAATAAACGTAATTTATTCACTCACCTACACGAAGGAAATGACTGAAAACCTTCGATACAGGTACCTCCACGAACACAACTTTCTTTAGTACACATCAAAGCATCTGTGGAAAAGCGATAAAAAACCTCTCAATTCAGAATCTTTGTAATGGCGACTGAGTGGCATCAGATCTCCCCTCAAGGGTTTTGTTACGTTAAAGTGCAAGCCATGATCAAGCAAGACTTTATTTCTTACTTTGGGTGGTAAGGAAGTAATCAATCGGAAGTCAGTATCATGATAGCAAAGACTGGACTTGTTCCCCTGTGTAATATAGCATTATTACTTTGTCACGGTATTTCTGATCAAGAAATCGAGGGAAGCATTGTACCTAAAGTGGATGAACCCTATTTTAAGGATGTTGCGTCAATGTCTCAGATGGTATACATGTTTCCATAGATGTAGGGAGCCTAACTTTTATTCTGAGTGTTAATCCCATAAACTATTGTTACGATAGTCGGTAAGTTAAAAGCGCATGACATGTTGGGAAAGCGGGAAGGAAATGACAGCCGTAAAAAGGCTTGCAACCATGTGTTCCTTCTAAATTTTGTACTGCGCACGACGTTTGAATACCAAAAACCATCTACATGAAAAGTAAAGAAATATAGTAAAATATCTTTGACAATGGAACGCTCTATTATTGAGCGTCGCAAAAGCAAAACTTAAAATGTCATTACAAGCCAATGGAAACTCATAAGATAGTAAGGAAATGACCTGAAGCACGGGCAATCAGAGAGAAAAAGTGGGGATTGGTTTTGTTACAATATCTACTTGCTTAGGATGCGAGAGTTGGTTTTCGTAGCCCAATTACAATGTTTGGTGCTAAAGCAAACCCAACGCTATTCCAAATTACTCTAGACACTCAACTGAAAATTGCTCTCCGCTCCAAGATCATTCAAGTGTTATACTTACAAGTATCAAGTGACGCCGCCGGTGAGCTTACGGGTGCTGTTGGATTAACTCCAATGCATTCCTTCTCTCCTATTCGTGGAAATCTCTCACAGGATACAACCTCGGGCCATTTGAAGCCAAACTCTTTCAAAGATCTTTCACAGCTCACTTTAGCACTATCACAAAGAGAACGGCATGGAGGAACTGCCGTTTTAGATATAGTACAAATTGGTGCGTAAACAGTGCAAAACAAAAACTCAATATGTGGCGAGCAATATTTCTTCATCAAAGGATAAAACTGGAAGAGATCCTTCGCTGCCTCGTCTTGGGTTCTGTGATTTAACAAGTTTGGAAATATCGTAGTATTGTACGGCATATAATTTCGACAAATGGGCATCGTCAACAGCTCGCAGCTGCCTTGTAGAGTGCTGTTACACTTTTCCTCATCCGAGTTGTCTCCACAATCATCATAACCATCACAAACAAGATCCTTCTTGATGCATCTTCCAGTAGTTCCACACTGAAACTGGTCGGTAATACTGCAAGGCGTGGTGGTGTTACACTTTTCTTCATCAGATTTGTCTCCACAGTCATTACTACCATCACATACAAAGACTTTGTTGATACACACTCCAGTGCCATAACATTGGAACTGATTGCTTGTACATGTCTGAGTGTAATTGCAGTGTTTCTCGTCCGATTTGTCTATACAGTCAACTTTCCCGTCACAAACTGAACTTATTTGCACACAAGACTTATCAACGCATTGGAACTCACTGTCGCTGCATTTAGGAAGATTTGGACAATCTGCTTCATCCGAGTTGTCAGGGCAGTCTCGTTGACCATCACATTTCCATCGGCTTGGCAAACACATCCCGAGCCGTTTACAATAAACCTGGTTGTTTGGACAAACTGACCAACTGCAATACTGTTCATCAGAGTTGTCTCCACAGTCGTTAGATCCATCACACAGCCAGTGATCGGGAATACAACGACGAGGACCCGACTGACACAGAAATAGGGGTCTGCAGAATTCAGTCGTAGGGCACACTAATTCATCTGACATATCATCACAATCTGCATGGCCATCACAAACCCACTTTTCATCAATGCATCTTCTGGTTGAATTGCATCGAAAAAGCTTACCGACACATGAGGCTTCATTGTCACATCCTCCTTCGTCTGATTTGTCGATACAATCCAGCAATCCATCACAAACAGCACGTTTTGTGATACAAGCTCCGGACTCACGGCATTTAAACTCATCGGCTTCGCACGGAACAGTGCTATTACAGCCTTTTTCGTCTGATTTGTCATCACAGTCGTAGGAGCCGTCACAAACAAGAAAGTTTTTCAAACATTCTCCCGTTTCACGGCATTTAAACTCCTTGCTTCCACAATGTGAAACAACGGTGGAATTACCACAGATATCTTCATCTGAGTTGTCTCCACAATCATCGTTACCATCACATAGAAGAGCGTAGTCAATACACTCTTCTGTAGCCTTACATAGGAACTGACTGGCCAGACAAGACCCATTGGAAGCTGAGGACAAATACCAGATGTAATTATGTAAAAGGAATGTCATGAAACACAGGAAATAACTGAATTCATGCTCTAAACCCATAAACTCCTAATTAAGGGCTGGATACCAGTAAATCTCGTGTCAAGGTTAGGAGCAGGAGCCATATAGTCACCTCTCTCTCGAGTTCTCTTTCACTTCCTCCTTGGAGAGAGGAAACGAGAAGAGAGGGAATAAAGAAGGTTGTTACCCTAACAATGCAAAAAAAAATCTCATGTGAAAATAAGAACATTGTTTGGCAAACATTCCTCAGAAATAAGTCTACTTTCTTGGTGTTCTCGATTTTCTTTTCCTTCCAGAAAGATCAATGAGGCTTTAAAACAAGGACTTAGAAGAACGCACAAAGACAAAGCTTTGAGCAACGATAAGACATGTAAAACAATACTTACATTTCTCACCAATCGGTGGCTGGGAGGTGGGTTCCAAGGTTTCATTGAGTCCAACGCAGATTTCAGAGCCTAATTCAGGAAATTGTTCGCAGTTCAAACTCTCTGGCCATTCGAAACCGAAACGTTTCATCAGACCCTCACAGCCGAGTCTTGCACTATTACAAAGGGGACGACAGGGCGGGACTGCAGAACCTAACACTGTACAAACTGGCGCGTAAACAGCACAGAGGAACAAACTTATATGCTCCGAGCAGCCGACTTTTACCAAAGGATAAAACTGGTGGACATAAAGAGCGGCCTCGTCTTGTGTTGTGTGATTCAAAAAGTTGGGAAATATTGTAGTATTATAAGGCATAGAACGACAAAGAGGTATCGTTAAGGGCTCACAGCTGTCTTGTTTCGTTGCAGGAGAAATTGTGGTGGACATGTGCACTGGTGGAAGCGTCTTGATGATTTCTTCGCATCTGCAACTGCGGACAGAGAATAAATGGCGCTCTCAACTACTACTTTCAGTGAAAAGATCAAACCGATAATTCTCGCTGCTTGCTAACGGAAGTTTTGTTGGACTATATATTTTAGAGGTTGGTAGAAGAAATCGCCTATGTTTCCGTGAAAAATGTCGTTCTCTCGGTCACTCGCTAATGCCTTTAAGGCTAAGCTTAAAAGGCTATTATTGATGTTCCGTTTCCATAAAATCCTCATCGAGAAGTGACTTTCTCTTTTAACCAAACATTAAGGTGATAAGAATAAAAGAAATTGTAGTCAACTCATGACACTCTTGATTTTTAGAAACATTCTCCTTGTCACAACCATAGGATGTGTTAGGAGAACAGTAAGGAGAACTTCCATACTGATGTAAGGTGTGTATGGGGCCGGTTAACCTATTGATTGAATAAACACGATTTATTTACCCACCTACAGAAGGGCAATGGATTGAAACCTTCAAGACAGGTACCTCCACGAACACAACTTTCTTTAGTGCACATCAAAGCATCTATCAAAAAACGATAAAATAGGAACCTCCTTGGTTCAGAATCCTCAAAATTGTGACTGAGTTGATATCAGCCCAAATCTCATTCAATGTGTCTTTCCTATAAGCTATGGTTACGATGGTTGTTACGTTCAAAGTACATAACATGTTGGGAAAGGGAGAAGGAATTGACCGTCGTAAAAAGGCGTTAAACCATGAAATTACTTCTACGTGTTCTAGCCTGAACTAACTTGGAATAATAAACCAAAAAACCTACTTAAAGAATAAAGAAATACAGTAAAATACCTTTGAACGGTAGAACGCTTTGCTCTTGAGTGTCACAAAAACAATATTGTTATTTTAAACCAATGTGAACTCACAGTAAAATAAGGAAATGTCCTGAAGCGCGGGAAAACAGGACTAACAAGTTGTGATTGGTATTAGTACAATATCTGATTGCTTGAGATGCGGGAATGATTTCTTAAACCAATAAAAATGTCTGGTGCTAAAGCAAACCCAAAGCTATCCCAAATACCTATCGACACTCAATTGCAAATTGCTATTCGTTCTAAGATCATTCAAGTGTTGTACTTACAGGTCTCTAGTAACGCCATCGGTGAGCTTCCGGGTGCTGTTGGATTAACTCCAATGCACTCCTTCTCTCCTATACGTGGAAATCTCTCACAGGATACAACCTCGGGCCATTTGAAGCCAAACTCTTTCAAAGATCTTTCACAGCTCACTTTAGCACTATCACAAAGAGAACGGCATGGAGGAACTGCCGTTTTAGATATAGTACAAATTGGTGCGTAAACAGTGCAAAAGAAAAACTCAATATGTGACGAGCAATATTTCTTCATCAAAGGATAAAACTGGAAGAGATCCTTCGCTGCCTCGTCTTGGGTTCTGTGACTTAACAAGTTTGGAAATATCGTAGTATTGTACGGCATATAATTTCGACAAATGGGCATCGTCAATGGCTCGCAGCTGCCTTGTAGAGTGATGTTACACTTTTCTTCATCCGAGTTGTCTCCACAATCATCATAACCATCACAAACAAGATCCTTCTTGATGCATCTTCTAGTAGTTCCACACTGAAACTGATCGGTAATACTGCAAAGTGTGGTGGTGTTACACTTTTCTTCATCGGACTTGTCTCCACAGTCATTACTACCATCACATACAAAGACTTTGTTGATACACACTCCAGTGCCATGACATTGGAACTGATTGCTTGTACATGCTCGAGTGTAATTGCAGAGTTTTTCGTCCGATTTGTCTATACAGTCAACTTTCCCGTCACAAACTGAACTTATTTGCACACAAGACTTATCAACGCATTGGAACTCACTGTCGCCGCATTTAGGAAGATTTGGACAGTCTGCTTCATCCGAGTTGTCAGGGCAGTCTCGTTGACCATCACATTTCCATCGGCTTGGCAAACACATCCTGAGCCGTTTACAATAAACCTGGTTGTCTGGACAAACTGACCAACTGCAATACTGTTCATCAGAGTTGTCTCCACAGTCGTTAGATCCATCACACAGCCAGTGATCGGGAATACAACGACGAGGACCCGACTGACACAGAAATAGGGGTCTGCAGAATTCAGTCGTAGGGCACACTAATTCATCTGACATATCATCACAATCTGCATGGCCATCACAAACCCATTTTTCATCAATGCATCTTCTGGTTGAATTGCATCGAAAAAGCTTACCGACACATGAGGTTTCATTGTCACATCCTTCTTCGTCTGATTTGTCGATACAATCCAGCAATCCATCACAAACAGCACGTTTTGTGATACAAGCTCCGGACTCACGGCATTTAAACTCATCGGCTTCGCACGGAACAGTGCTATTACAGCCTATTTCGTCTGATTTGTCATCACAGTCGTAGGAGCCGTCACAAACAAGAAAGTTTTTCAAACATTCTCCCGTTTCACGGCATTTAAACTCGTTGCTTCCACAATGTGAAACAACGGTGGAATTACCACAGATATCTTCATCTGAGTTGTCTCCACAATCATCGTTACCATCACATAGAAGAGCGTAGTCAATACACTCTTCTGTAGTCTTACACAGGAACTGACTGGCCAGACAAGACCCATTGGAAGCTGAGGACAAATACCAGATGTAATTATGTAAAAGGAATGTCATGAAACACAGGAAATAACTGAATTCATGCTCTAAACCCATAAACTCCTAATTAAGGGCTGGATACCAGTAAATCTCGTGTCAAGGTTAGGAGCAGGAGCCATATAGTCACCTCTCTCTCGAGTTCTCTTTCACTTCCTCCTTGGAGAGAGGAAACGAGAAGAGAGGGAATAAAGAAGGTTGTTACCCTAACAATGCCAAAAAAATCTCATGTGAAAATAAGAACATTGTTTGGCAAACATTCCTCAGAAATAAGTCTACTTTCTTGGTGTTCTCGATTTTCTTTTCCTTCCAGAAAGATCAATGAGGCTTTAAAACAAGGACTTAGAAGAACGCACAAAGACAAAACTTTGAGCAACGATAAGACATGTAAAACAATACTTACATTTCTCACCAATCGGTGGCTGGGAGGTGGGTTCCAAGGTTTCATTAAGTCCAACGCAGATTTCAGAACCTAATTCAGGAAATTGTTCGCAGTTCAAACTCTCTGGCCATTCGAAACCGAAACGTTTCATCAGACCCTCACAGCCGAGTCTTGCACTATTACAAAGGGGACGACAGGGCGGGACTGCAGAACCTAATACTGAACAAACTGGCGCGTAAACAGCACAGAGGAACAAACTTATATGCTCCGAGCAGCCGACTTTTACCAAAGGATAAAACTGGTGGACATAAAGAGCGGCCTCGTCTTGTGTTGTGTGATTCAAAAAGTTGGGAAATATTGTATTATTATAAGGCATAGAACGACAAAGAGGTATCGTTAAGGGCTCACAGCTGTCCTGTTTCGTTGCAGGAGAAATTGTGGTGGACATGTGCACTGGCGGAAGCGTCTTGACGATTTCTTCGCATCTGCAACTGCGGACAGAGAATAAATGGCACTCGCAACTACTACTTTTAGTGAAAAGATCAAACCGATAATTCTCGCTGCTTGCTAACGGAAGTTTCGTTGGACTTGATATTTTAGAGGTTGGTATAAGAAATCGCCTATGTTTCCGTGAAAAATGTCGTTCTCTCGGTCACTCGCTAATGCCTTTAAGGCTAAGCTTAAAAGGTTATTATTGATGTTCCGTTTCCATAAAATCCTCATCGAGAAGTGACTTTCTCTTTTAACTAAACATGAAGGTGATAAGAATAGAGGACATTGTAGTCAACTCATGACACTCTTGATTTTTAGAAAAATTCTCCATGTCACAACCATAGGATGTGTTAGGAGAACAGTAAGGAGAACTTGCATACTGATGTAGGGTGTGTATGGGGCCGGTTAACCTATTGATTGAATAAACACGATTTATTTACCCACCTACAGAAGGGCAATGGATTGAAACCTTCACGACAGGTACCTCCACGAACACAACTTTCTTTAGTGCACATCAAAGCATCTGTCAAAAAACGATAAAATAGGAACCTCCTTGGTTCAGAATCCTCAAAATTGTGACTGAGTTGATATCAGCCCAAATCTCATTCTATGTGTCTTTCCTATAAGCTATGGTTACGATGGTTGTTACGTTCAAAGTACATAACATGTTGGGAAAGGGAGAAGGAATTGACCGTCGTAAAAAGGCGTTAAACCATGAAATTACTTCTACGTGATCTAGCCTGAACTAACTTGGAATAACAAACCAAAAAACCTACTTAAAGAATAAAGAAATACAGTAAAATACCTTTGAACGGTAGAACGCTTTGCTCTTGAGTGTCACAAAAACAATATTGTTATTGTAAACCAATGTGAACTCACAGTAAAATAAGGAAATGTCCTGAAGCGCGGGAAAACAGGAGTAAACAAGTCGTGATTGGTCTTAGTACAATATCTAATTGCTTGAGATGCGGGAGTGATTTCTTAAACCAATAAAAATGTCTGGTGCTAAAGCAAACCCAAAGCTATCCCAAATACCTATCGACACTCAATTGCAAATTGCTATTCGTTCTAAGATCATTCAAGTGTTGTACTTACAGGTCTCAAGTAACGCCATCGGTGAGCTTACGGGTGCTGTTGGATTAACTCCAATGCACTCCTTCTCTCCTATACGTGGAAATCTCTCACAGGATACAACCTCGGGCCATTTGAAGCCAAACTCTTTCAAAGATCTTTCACAGCTCACTTTAGCACTATCACAAAGAGAACGGCATGGAGGAACTGCCGTTTTAGATATAGTACAAATTGGTGCGTAAACAGTGCAAAAGAAAAACTCAATATGTGACGAGCAATATTTCTTCATCAAAGGATAAAACTGGAAGAGATCCTTCGCTGCCTCGTCTTGGGTTCTGTGACTTAACAAGTTTGGAAATATCGTAGTATTGTACGGCATATAATTTCGACAAATGGGCATCGTCAATGGCTCGCAGCTGCCTTGTAGAGTGATGTTACACTTTTCTTCATCCGAGTTGTCTCCACAATCATCATAACCATCACAAACAAGATCCTTCTTGATGCATCTTCCAGTAGTTCCACACTGAAACTGGTCGGTAATACTGCAAGGCGTGGTGGTGTTACACTTTTCTTCATCAGATTTGTCTCCACAGTCATTACTACCATCACATACAAAGACTTTGTTGATACACACTCCAGTGCTATGACATTGGAACTGATTGCTTGTACATGCTCGAGTGTAATTGCAGAGATTTTCGTCCGATTTGTCTATACAGTCAACTTTCCCGTCACAAACTGAACTTATTTGCACACAAGACTTATCAACGCATTGGAACTCACTGTCGCCGCATTTAGGAAGATTTGGACAGTCTGCTTCATCCGAGTTGTCAGGGCAGTCTCGTTGACCATCACATTTCCATCGGCTTGGCAAACACATCCCGAGCCGTTTACAATAAACCTGGTTGTTTGGACAAACTGACCAACTGCAATACTGTTCATCAGAGTTGTCTCCACAGTCGTTAGATCCATCACACAGCCAGTGATCGGGAATACAACGACGAGGACCCGACTGACACAGAAATAGGGGTCTGCAGAATTCAGTCGTAGGGCATACTAATTCATCTGACATATCATCACAATCTGCATGGCCATCACAAACCCATTTTTCATCAATGCATCTTCTGGTTGAATTGCATCGAAAAAGCTTACCGACACATGAGGTTTCATTGTCACATCCTTCTTCGTCTGATTTGTCGATACAATCCAGCAATCCATCACAAACAGCACGTTTTGTGATACAAGCTCCGGACTCACGGCATTTAAACTCATCGGCAGCGCACGGAACAGTGCTATTACAGCCTTCTTCGTCTGATTTGTCATCACAGTCGTAGGAGCCGTCACAAACAAGAAAGTTTTTCAAACATTCTCCCGTTTCACGGCATTTAAACTCGTTGCTTCCACAATGTGAAACAACGGTGGAATTACCACAGATATCTTCATCTGAGTTGTCTCCACAATCATCGTTACCATCACATAGAAGAGCGTAGTCAATACACTCTTCTGTAGTCTTACACAGGAACTGACTGGCCAGACAAGACCCATTGGAAGCTGAGGACAAATACCAGATGTAATTATGTAAAAGGAATGTCATGAAACACAGGAAATAACTGAATTCATGCTCTAAACCCATAAACTCCTAATTAAGGGCTGGATACCAGTAAATCTCGTGTCAAGGTTAGGAGCAGGAGCCATATAGTCACTTCTCTCTCGAGTTCTCTTTCACTTCCTCCTTGGAGAGAGGAAACGAGAAGAGAGGGAATAAAGAAGGTTGTTACCCTAACAATGCAAAAAAAATCTCATGTGAAAATAAGAACATTGTTTGGCAAACATTCCTCAGAAATAAGTCTACTTTCTTGGTGTTCTCGATTTTCTTTTCCTTCCAGAAAGATCAATGAGGCTTTAAAACAAGGACTTAGAAGAACGCACAAAGACAAAACTTTGAGCAACGATAAGACATGTAAAACAATACTTACATTTCTCACCAATTGGTGGCTGGGAGGTGGGTTCCAAGGTTTCATTGAGTCCAACGCAGATTTCAGAACCTAATTCAGGAAATTGTTCGCAGTTCAAACTCTCTGGCCATTCGAAACCGAAACGTTTCATCAGACCCTCACAGCCGAGTCTTGCACTATTACAAAGGGGACGACAGGGCGGGACTGCAGAACCTAACACTGTACAAACTGGCGCGTAAACAGCACAGAGGAACAAACTTATATGCTCCGAGCAGCCGACTTTTACCAAAGGATAAAACTGGTGGACATAAAGAGCGGCCTCGTCTTGTGTTGTGTGATTCAAAAAGTTGGGAAATATTGTATTATTATAAGGCATAGAACGACAAAGAGGTATCGTTAAGGGCTCACAGCTGTCCTGTTTCGTTGCAGGAGAAATTGTGGTGGACATGTACACTGGCGGAAGCGTCTTGACGATTTCTTCGCATCTGCAACTGCGGACAGAGAATAAATGGCTCTCTCAACTACTACTTTCAGTGAAAAGATCAAACCGATAATTCTCGCTGCTTGCTAACGGAAGTTTTGTTGGACTTGATATTTTAAAGGTTGGTATAAGAAATCGCCTATGTTTCCGTGAAAAATGTCGTTCTCTCGGTCACTCGCTAATGCCTTTAAGGCTAAGCTTAAAAGGCTATTATTGATGTTCCGTTTCCATAAAATCCTCATCGAGAAGTGACTTTCTCTTTTAACCAAACATTAAGGTGATAAGAATAAAAGAGATTGTAGTCAACTCATGACACTCTTGATTTTTAGAAAAATTCTCCATGTCACAACCATAGGATGTGTTAGGAGAACAGTAAGGAGAACTTGCTTACTGATGTAGGGTGTGTATGGGGCCGGTTAACCTATTGATTGAATAAACACGATTTATTTACCCACCTACAGAAGGGCAATGGATTGAAACCTTCAAGACAGGTACCTCCACGAACACAACTTTCTTTAGTGCACATCAAAGCATCTGTCAAAAAACGATAAAATAGGAACCTCCTTGGTTCAGAATCCTCAAAATTGTGACTGAGTTGATATCAGCCCAAATCTCATTCTATGTGTCTTTCCTATAAGCTATGGTTACGATGGTTGTTACGTTCAAAGTACATAACATGTTGGGAAAGGGAGAAGGAATTGACCGTCGTAAAAAGGCGTTAAACCATGAAATTACTTCTACGTGATCTAGCCTGAACTAACTTGGAATAACAAACCAAAAAACCTACTTAAAGAATAAAGAAATACAGTAAAATACCTTTGAACGGTAGAACGCTTTGCTCTTGAGTGTCACAAAAACAATATTGTTATTGTAAACCAATGTGAACTCACAGTAAAATAAGGAAATGTCCTGAAGCGCGGGAAAACAGGAGTAAACAAGTCGTGATTGGTCTTAGTACAATATCTAATTGCTTGAGATGCGGGAGTGATTTCTTAAACCAATAAAAATGTCTGGTGCTAAGGCAAACCCAAAGCTATCCCAAATACCTATCGACACTCAATTGCAAATTGCTATTCGTTCTAAGATCATTCAAGTGTTGTACTTACAGGTCTCAAGTAACGCCATCGGTGAGCTTACGGGTGCTGTTGGATTAACTCCAATGCACTCCTTCTCTCCTATACGTGGAAATCTCTCACAGGATACAACCTCGGGCCATTTGAAGCCAAACTCTTTCAAAGATCTTTCACAGCTCACTTTAGCACTATCACAAAGAGAACGGCATGGAGGAACTGCCGTTTTAGATATAGTACAAATTGGTGCGTAAACAGTGCAAAAGAAAAACTCAATATGTGACGAGCAATATTTCTTCATCAAAGGATAAAACTGGAAGAGATCCTTCGCTGCCTCGTCTTGGGTTCTGTGACTTAACAAGTTTGGAAATATCGTAGTATTGTACGGCATATAATTTCGACAAATGGGCATCGTCAACGGCTCGCAGCTGCCTTGTAGAGTGCTGTTACACTTTTCTTCATCCGAGTTGTCTCCACAATCATCATAACCATCACAAACAAGATCCTTCTTGATGCATCTTCCAGTAGTTCCACACTGAAACTGGTCGGTAATACTGCAAGGCGTGGTGGTGTTACACTTTTCTTCATCAGATTTGTCTCCACAGTCATTACTACCATCACATACAAAGACTTTGTTGATACACACTCCGGTGCTATGACATTGGAACTCATTGCTTGTACATGCTCGAGTGTAATTGCAGAGATTTTCGTCCGATTTGTCTATACAGTCAACTTTCCCGTCACAAACTGAACTTATTTGCACACAAGACTTATCAACGCATTGGAACTCACTGTCGCCGCATTTAGGAAGATTTGGACAGTCTGCTTCATCCGAGTTGTCAGGGCAGTCTCGTTGACCATCACATTTCCATCGGCTTGGCAAACACATCCCGAGCCGTTTACAATAAACCTGGTTGTTTGGACAAACTGACCAACTGCAATACTGTTCATCAGAGTTGTCTCCACAGTCGTTAGATCCATCACACAGCCAGTGATCGGGAATACAACGACGAGGACCCGACTGACACAGAAATAGGGGTCTGCAGAATTCAGTCGTAGGGCATACTAATTCATCTGACATATCATCACAATCTGCATGGCCATCACAAACCCATTTTTCATCAATGCATCTTCTGGTTGAATTGCATCGAAAAAGCTTACCGACACATGAGGTTTCATTGTCACATCCTTCTTCGTCTGATTTGTCGATACAATCCAGCAATCCATCACAAACAGCACGTTTTCTAATACATGCTCCAGACTCACGGCATTTAAACTCATCGGATCCACACGGAACAGTGCTATTGCAGCCTTCTTCGTCTGATTTGTCATCACAGTCATAGGAGCCGTCACAAACAAGAAAGTTTTTCAAACATTCTCCCGTTTCACGGCATTTAAACTCGTTGCTTCCACAATGTGAAATAGCGGTGGAATTATCACAGATGTCTTCATCTGAGTTGTCTCCACAATCATCGTTACCATTACATAGAAGAGCGTAGTCAACACACTCTTCTGTAGCCTTACATAGGAACTGACTGGCCAAACAAGACCCATTGGAAGCTGAGGACAAATACCAGATGTAATTATGTAAAAGGAATGTCATAAAGCACAGGAAATAACTGAATTCATGATCTGAACCCATGAACTCCTAATTAAGGGCTGGATACCAGTAAATCTCGGTTAGGAGCAGGGAGCCATTTAGTCACCTCTATCTCGAGTTCTCTTTCACTTCCTCCTTGGAGAGAGGAAACGAGAAGAGAGGGAATAAAGATGGTTGTTACCCTAACAATGCCAAAAAAATCTCATCTGAAAATAAGAACATTGTTTGGCAAACATTCCTCAGAAATAAGTCTACTTTCTTGGTGTTCTCGATTTTCTTTTCCTTCCAGAAAGATCAATGAGGCTTTAAAACAAGGACTTAGAAGAATGCACAAAGACAAAACTTTGAGCAACGATAAGACATGTAAAACAATACTTACATTTCTCACCAGTTGGTGGCTGGGAGGTGGGTTCCAAGGTTTCATTGAGTCCAACGCAGATTTCAGAACCTAATTCAGGAAATCGTTCGCACTTCAAACTCTCTGGCCATTTAACACCGAAACGTTTCATCAGACCCTCACAGCCGAGTCTTGCACTATTACAAAGGGAACGACAGGGCGGGACTGCAGAACCTAACACTGTACAAACTGGCGCGTAAACAGCACAGAGGAAGAGCCCTAAATGCTCCGAGCAGCCGTATTGTACCAAAGGATAAAACTGGTGGACATAAAGAGCGGCCTCGTCTTGTGTTGTGTGATTCAAAAAGTTGGGAAATATTGTAGTATTATAAGGCAAAGAGCGACAAAGAGGTATCGTTAACGGCTCACAGCTGTCCTGTTTCGTTGAGGGAGAAATTGTGGTGGAGATATGCACCGGGCTGATTTCTTGACATCTGGGTCCCTTATAATCAGAAGGGCAACTGTGGAGAATAACAGTTTGTTCCTTATTTCTGTTTACCCAGCGTTTAACTGTGTTCCATAGGAAACATTTCGCTGAAAGATTAATCGAAGTTATCACAACAGCCAACCAGAGTAAAGGTTATTATCTCAGGGAACCAATCAGGACTCAAAATAAAAGCAAGAAAATGCTCATAGCGCGGGAAAAATTAAGTGACCACGTCGCCAACGGCATTAGATTAAATCTGATTGGCTGAGAGGTTGGCGGGAGTTTTTCGGATTTATCACGATGTGATTTAAAGCAAAATCAAAGCATTATCGTATTAACCGTGACGCTCAACTGAAAATTCTTCTATTCTAAAATTTGGGATTACTTCTAACAAGTACATCTGAGAACTTATCCCCTTGGAAGTTTTTCCTTGTTCTCATCATTAACTGCGTCTGATAGTGGAAATGAGCGATGTGATAACCGAAGTAATCTCAGAGGTTATAAAGTGTGCGGAAACCTGTCTAGAATAGTATTGATTACTTACTATAAATACCAAAACCTTAAATTGTTTCTGATGCACAGTGTTTGATTTTTCAATTTTTCAAAGAATGCTTGAGTATTTCCTGAGCAGATGAGCTTATTCAATAATGGATCGTGCCAGTCTGTGTTTCAATAAGTCAATAATCTGCTGAAATATCGGCCCCTTAACACTTAAAACATCCCTCTCACCTACATACGGGAAGTGCCCTTGCTTTCTCGATACAAGTGCCCCCATTGAGACACATTCCTTCCTTGCACTTTAAAGCATCTAAGAAAAAAAGTAAAAAAAATGATATTTTTGTTATATTTTAAGATTCCTTGTAAGAGATTGTCACACCTTAAAACTATAAGATGCAGGGGTATGTGGCCACCACCCGTCCTCCCCACCCGTCCCCCCCACCCGACCCCAACAATTCTTAAAATTTCTTATAGCCCCCCTGAATAAGACACAACACAGCGCTAGAGTTCGCGCTGCTGCTGGAAGGACCAGCTTCTTGTGTCTTCTATTAACACATTGAGGCCTACGGCGTTGAATCACCTGTACCTGATTATTTATTATTACCTGAGGACATGCAGGTCTTTTCATCTTGAAGCATCATCAATCCAGGGGGACAGTGACAAGAATAACCTTTTGGATCGAGATCTTTTGGAGCTAGTAAACAGATGTGACTGCAACCTCCGGAATCCACAGAGTCACTGCATGGATTATTGCCTATGCAAAGAAAACACACCTGTAAGCTGTTAAATGGGCTTCAAAGTCACACAGAAAGAAGTAAGCTTGGATCAGCATGATTAACACTGAAGGAACCAAACAAACAACATTATGATAACTAAAAATTGAAAAAGAGAGGTGAGAGAGCGGTTAGAACAACAGAGCGACAAACAGTCCAAAGAACATGAAAGATCAAGAGAATTACCTAATAAACGCGTAAATACCTTAACCCTTCGACTCTCAAGATCTCACTAGTATTTCTCCCTACTCTCTGCCATACAATTCTTGTCGTGTTGATTCGGAGAATTTGGTATTGGATCAACTATTTTATAATCCCCAACAAAGAGCCCATTGACTCTGCCCCTACTTGATATTTTTCTTTATTCTCATCACTTGTCTGCTTCATATTGTATTGATATTGTAAGGAGAAAGTGTGTCTTGCTCATCGTGGCTAATGGATGAAATGAGGATTGCTTGGGTAGGTGAATGAATGAATGACTGACTGAATAAACAAATTTAATGGACCAAAGAAGACCAAAATAATGCCAACAAATGGAAAAGAAAACGTAAAAAATGACTTAAAAAATACACTGCGTAACGTGCAAACGTCTGTACAAGAAGTCACTCGGTCATATTTAAACACATCGACAAAACACAATTCTGACCTGTTCCCGGCTGCCTTGAAGGATGATATACCACAATTCCCCTCGGTCCGTATAGATATCGTAGCAGGGTCACCGATCTTTTGCCCCCAGACTTGTCGACTTTAAGTATCTTACGCCCTCCTTGTCGCTTGGCTACAAAGATAGAGTCTTGAAATAGTGAAATACCGAAGGTGTACCGAGCACGGCTGCTTCGCAAAGCGACTTTCCGATCTCCACCGTTTAAATCCACGGACTCAATCGTGCCGAATCGTGCGTCAGTCCACCAAATTCTATCCTCACTGTAGTCGATTGTAAGTCCATTTGGCCAAATGATATTCTGACTGACGAGAATTTTCCGTGACGTACTCTCTCCATCCATGCTGCATTTTTCAATTTTGGCTGCTTTTCCCCAATCAGACCAGAACATGTAACTAAAAAAAAAATTAATAACTTTGAGCAAGGCTACATGCTTGTCGTACTTAAAGGCCAAAAAGCTTTACAAAAAGGTTTTGGTGGGCGTCAAGTACCTCCTACCCTAAGCAACTGATCCAAAACCCACCCCCTCCCCACCCCGAGGGTTAGTTCCCCTGGGCGTTTCGTCCTTCGAAGGACGAGTATATTAGGTAAAGAGACTACTGACATTTGAGAATACACATCTAGGTTTCTGTGTATTGAAAACATTTCCTGAAATTACAGCTCGCAAATTACATGGCGTCTAACGCACGGAAATGTCACCTTTAGAATCTATCCACGGTGGCTAATTGACTTTATCAACACATTTGATTAAAAACAAATTATCTCAGAAACTTACCCCCTTTATTCTTAAAATTTTCAGATTTTTCATTTGCAATCCTTGCTAGTCCAATCCGTCTTTAAACATCCATGTTCCTCCTATTTTCATTTTTTTTCATCTTAACGAACTAAAATTTTAAGTTAAGGGTAATTTGTCCGACCGAAAAAATTCCTTGAAATATTTACACAACGACTGAGAGAATAGAACACTCTTGACACTTTGACCACTTCGCGTGACCAGCATCTAATTTCTCCCTATAATACCATCAATAAATTCAACATTAACGTCACGAGAATAACTGTTGCTTGTTAAACAAATTCTCCTTGTCGTTACCATAGGAAGTGTATAGAGAACAGTATGGAGAATATGCATACTGATGTTAGGGTGTGAAAGATTAAGGAAACAAACACTACGCTTACCCAGCACTGGGGTGTACAACAATCGCCCTTGGGTTTTTTAGTCCTGTATCAATCAGAACCATTCTATGGCCACCATCGAAACCCGCTACTTCAATTTCATCTGTCCCTGTGTCGGTCCAATACAACTTCTTGTTCATCCAATCGACAGCCAGTCCCTCGGGTGATACAAGACCATCTATCAGCACCTCCGTATTCTCGCCGTTATTAACCGGTGCGCGCTGGATATTGCCTTTGACTACGTCAGTCCAGAAAATAAATCCCGTGTCAAAGTCGAAATCGATGGCTACAGCTGCCATCTGACGTGAGACCAGTGTCTTGTGTGCAACTGGGTTAAGCTCAACACGAAGGATATCCTTACGGTTCGCGACGAGGAGGAACTCAGGTGTATCTGACACAGAAAGTTACAAAATCTTTCAGGGAACCAAAGGATCAATCAATCAGTGTATCAAGTAATCAATGAATCAGTTAATTCGCGATGGTAATAAGACTGAGTGGAGCCAAGTTTGGGCTGTAAACACGAGTACGGTTGGAGACAGAATTGGACGACAGGAGGTGCTGTTACCAATTTAACATCAAAACTATGACAAAATTTGAAAAGGAAACCCGCCATCGATCATATCTTTAAATAATAATAAAAAAGACTACAGATAACTCGGCGAAATGCCCACGCACATGACACTTACACAGGTATAACGCGCAAAATGTCCTATTAGTGCACAAGTTGGGCTGGTGATAACTTTTCACGTCCAAGAATTTTTTTATAGTTTTGATTAGTAAATTAATCAATAAAATGCACTCGTTGAGCCAATCTGCGATATGCTGAAAAACTAATTAACGAGTAACAACTTAAGGTAAATCGATTTTCGTTAGTAATTTGGTGGTCATTTGCGAGCTGAAACACAAAGAACTTCCTGGAGACCTAGTTTTTAGCCCGTGTAGCACATTGGATCGGCAAATGCTGGACTACAAACAGTTGCTTCTAATCTAAGTCACTGTGAATCGTGCGAAGACAGAGCACGATCGTATGACGAACCTAAAATAACCACGGTTTGTTTTGCATTTCAAATAAGAGAGTACCATGGCGCTAAACATACGGAAAATTTGTTTTGATTAAGTTCAAATTACAGCAACTTAGGGTGAAGATTGGAGACAAACAAAGAACTTTTGACGCCTTCTGATGAGCACATACGGAACCAATACCAAAACGTAGATAGAATAAACACAGATTAATGTTTTTTTAATGCCTTCAAGATCCCCAGCTTGCGGGTAGTGTGTCATTTAACCTCTTCATGTTCCAAAAACGTTTGTTGAAGTTAGCTTTGATAACTGATTTGGCAATATCTTATGTCACGCAAGTAACACCATCTAACAACCATATCACACCTCGACCCTAAAAGTTATTTGCACTCGGCTCCTGACTAATGTAATTGTGCTACATGCCATAATACTTAAAACCGTTTCTTGGTAAATCCTCAATTAACGCGAACAAGTTAAAACTGAACAAATGAAAGCTCACCCTTGGCTCTCTCCGTTACTGGCGGCTGAGGGGTGGTTTTATCTGGTATAACAACACAGAAGTCCTTACCATCACGGTCTGGAAAGTTATCGCAGTTGAGAGGCTCCGGCCACGTGAAGCCTATGGTCTTCAAAGGGTCCTCACAATCGCGTCTAACACTGTTGCAAAGCGAGCGGCACGGTAGAATAGGAGTCTGTGACAGCGTGCAAATCGGTGCGAACATGGAACAAAGAAAAAATGCTAAATCATCCGAACAAGCAATCTTCATCAAAGGTGAAAATCGAGAGAGTTCGCGAGACACTCGTTGCTGCATCGTGGGATTCAGTATTGTGCTATTGTACGATAAACCCTGACAGAAAGGAATAGTCAACGGAGAACATCTTTGTTGACCTCGGCAAGGTGTTACCACCAAAATCATTGCCAGAATCACGACCGCGACAAGAAAACGAACAAAACTTGCAGCTTTGAAAATTCCTGCTTTCATTTCGGTTGCATCGGTTGAACTTGCTGGGCAGAAATAACACAATATTCCGTGCAGATCAACGTTTTAAGTATGATTGTTAACCGGATATTGTTGCAATCAAAATAGACACTGAGTACGAGCATGCCTGACTTCCCGCTGGTGACCAAGCGTCAAAGCGAGGATTAGGGCCAGACCTCTTTGGGAAAACCCTCACGTAGGAGGCGGTGCGATATATCGAGGATTGGAGTAATTTGTCTATAACTAAGAAAAACCTTCTCAGCGCTCCTGGTTCCTTCTCAACAGGCTGGTAATAAACGCTGTTAAGTATTTGCTAGTTGCTCTCAGAATTGAAAACCCAAAGGGTGGGAAAAGAGTGGTAACATGAAACCTTAATCCTTCAAAGCATAAAAATTCCATTAGATTCGCTAACCGTATCCTCTCTCACAAGTGCGTTATTCACAGGATATAAGTTAATTCCTGTGTGCAGTGTACTCGTAATCTGGGCAAGTCCGAACCGAGATGACAATTGACCTCATCTAAATTGGGCTGCCCTCCGTGAATTTCCCTTCAAAGTCCGGAAACCGATTACAAAATTCTGCTCTGAAACTTGAGGACGTGGAAAAGTCGATTGACGAACCGTGCCTCAAACACCTCGCGATTCATTTCTCAAAGGAAGGCGCTTAATAGCATATGGAAGTTATCTTAACATTTATTTAATTTAGTAGACCCCTGTCATTATAATTTCCGGTTCTTCATTACAAACCATGACATATAGACAAAATCGGTGTACTAGAGAGGAATAGTTGAACCAAGGGACGTGTTTACAATAAGCTTTCAAGGCGCCCCAAACGTTTCGTCAATGAATTAAATATTTACAATAACACTACATAACTACATCCGAGGAAAAAACTATAAAAACTAAGGAACACGAGAGTTGTGATAGGAAATACAACAAAACATGACCCTGACAATGATGGACTTAACCTTCGATAGCCCATGTCGGTGATGCGACACAAACACACAAAATAAACTACACTTAAAAAGGAGAGATTTGTGCCCATAAGGTAACTAATCACAGAGGATTATAAGCAACAAACGAAAAAAATAAATGAAAAACATTGGATATTCTCTGACAAATACTTGCAAAAGGATTGGTGCTACAAGCGTTTAGCAACAGGTAAACCCTCATTTGCTTAACACTTCGATGGAAGTTGGATATGTTAATAAAACACTTCGCAAGGATGTCCTCATGACACCAAACAAAACCAGTGTTTGTTTCCTCAATTAACCTCTGTCTTTTACAAGAGCTAAATACAAGTTCATTTAATATTAGTCAAACAGAACTCAAGTCCACCAGACAAGGGAATGTTAGATATAGGGTCTTTTGGTGATCTTGTGGCTGAATTCCCTTTAGTTTCTTTACGGCTAAAACTGTCTACCACTACAAAGCATTCTATAAGTAGAGTTCTCCCTACAATAACTCCATACGTTAGAATCCACTTCGAGCCAAAATAAAGAAATTAATAATCAGAGACATTAGTCAGGATAGTTTGTCTTTATGAACGTTTCTTCTGTGAAGGAGAAGCAGCCATCTCTTGTGACGAGCCAGGGTAGTCTTCGCGATCAGAACCCTCCTGTTGAGAAAGAGAGCGATGTTAAATTTCACGCACCTGTTAACCCTTTACACCCTAAAATCAGTGTGTATATTCTCCACACTGTTTTCTATACATTTCCTAAGGTGCTGACGAGGAGAATTTGTTTAACAATCAAGAAATTCTTTGTTTAGTGATCATTTTCTTTATTCTCGTAAGCTTAATGTGTGATTCAGGGGTGATACAGCAAGGAGAAATGAGATGCTTATCACTATTAAGGTGTCAAGGGTCAAAAGGTAATGTTACAACGTAAGTTACCCAATGGATATACGATACACTTTCCAGCACCAGGGAGACAGGAAAAAGAAAAACATCAACTAATAGATATTACTTGATTTAACATCCAAGTAGTTCAGCTAAAATGGACATAGACGTAAGGGAGACAGTGCGTATCCTACAAGTACAAGGAAAGCGTGGTAAATGTACTTGTTTTACAAAGGGAATGGGGAAAGAGGAGAATTTGCAACTGAGTCGTGTTGAGCAAAAATAGGTTTGACCAGACAACTTGACCGGCGCAGACCGGGAAATTATTTCGAGTGTTGAGGACAATTTCGTATCACCTGACTTGCCTAATGGTATTTTAAGTAAGAGAAGTACATTTCTAAAACTGATATTCAGCTAGGGAGGATGAACAGAAAGCAAATAGGAGTATACTCAAAAGGAACGTAGATAGTTAAGAATTGGACGACTACATAAGGACTAAAAATGAAATACTTGAGAGAGGTATCTGATCAAAACGGAGTAAAAAAACATTTCACTCACTCCTTCACTGCTATAGCCTCTCTCCGAAGGTGGGTACGACTCAATTTCGTTGTCACTCGGTTCCTGTCGAATTGAAGGTGGATTAATTCGGGGTGGACGACCTCGGCGCTTTTTCTTCTGCGAAAGTTAAATGAAACACGAAAAGGGTCATTTCAGAACACTGTCTGTTTTCTCGATGAAAAATGTCCCATTCGCGGAGGCTAGATTGCGAAAGAAAAGGCTAAAAGATCGTGAGAGAGGAAAGTTTCAAGATGGCAAGACAGGCCTCTTGCACTCGTAATAGCATTAAAGAGATTTCACCTTACAACAGGAATTGCGCAAAACAAATCTTAACTTACAACGCCACCAAGATCAACCTTGGCTTTTTCCACAGACTGCTTGCCAAGTTTAATGCGCATCTTCAAAGATGATTGACTGTTTCCACCTAAAAAGATCAGACAAGAACAATGTAAAGAAGGGAGGGGTAGGTGAAGTCTTTGAGGCCATGTGACCCATAACACCCAATGCTTATCCGTAGTTTAAATACCATGTAGTGACCATGGACAGAGAAATGATTATTTGATTGAAAAAACCTTTCTCACTAAAAAATTAAAGGGATAAGAGTTAGAAAGCGCTAGGAGAATTTAGATTTTGACCTTCAATGTCTGAACCAACAGACTCTGCCTCTTCACCATCCTGAAACAGGAAATAAAATCACAAAAATTAGGAGAGAAAACTACAAAGCTACTAGAAACTAGAAATACAAAAAGAACAGAATAAGTTAGGTTACAACGCTAGCATTCAGAGAGCCACGACGATGAAATGAATTAAAAAGAAACTTGGCATCTTGAAATCGCAAATTCAAATCAAATGTTGGATTTCCTTTTTGTGTTTACCGCCAAGGGAACTTAAGGGAGAACACTTTATCTATTAGCTTGGCAGAGGCTTTCCAATGGAGTGTCGCAGAACCAAATCAAATGAGTCGCAACAGTCAATGTCAACGAAAATGGATATCACAATGGAGCCAATAGGAAGTCACGAAATACAGGGGAACACACGTCAAGCGCGGGAAAACGCGCGTGACGAAGTCCTGGTTGTTTGCAGAGATACAGCTAAATGTTTGTTTGGGCGGTTAGATTTTAGACAGTCCGCAAGGACACAGAGACACATGGCATTAGTATCTGCGAATATGTTAGCACTTTATCAGCTTTTGCCGCATCCTAAAATTCCATATTCTGCCCAAATCTAGCAAAAGCCCTTCCCATCCTCTTTAAATGCTGTTTTTCTTACCGAATCATTAACATCGTCATCTTCCTCTACTTCACTTGCTTCTTTCTCACTTTCCACTTCCGGTTCCGCAGCAGATGAATGCGCCAGCTGTAAGTCCTCACCACCCTGTATCTTTTGTCGAGCATGCGTGAAAATAGACTAAAAAGAAAAAATATATTACACGCTAGGACTTGCTACTTTCATGAAGGAATCTTTCGATGTTTAAATTTAATATCTGCACTCAAGAAGCTAGAGTTGCTCGAGGCTAGCCTCGAGCAACTCTTACGCATCTTTCGTGCTCTCAAAACTTCCCGCGTGCTTCATATCTCGATGAACGCACGCTGACGCATGAACCAATAGTTAAGCATTCGAGACAACAGAAAACAGATACACTTCTACTTGAAAATTAAAGGCGTCGTGACATACCTGCAGCTTTATGGAATCTTCATAGATCTGAAATCAAAAGAACAACAAGAAATATCGTTACCATTACTATCCCCACTACGTGAATAGCTAGTCAGTCGGTAGCCCTCATTAGCGTTTCGACACAAGCGTTTCTTCGGCCTTTACCATTCGGGCAAGATAGAGGTCTGCAAGGGGTCTGGCACTGATTATGAGTTATTAGTGCCAGACTCCCAACAAATCCCTACCCGACTCTTCTCAAATCTTCCCGCGTGCGGAGAGACGCGCCTAATGAGGACCTGCTCGCAAGCTACTGAGTCGGTTGTGATATGTCTAGCATCTCAGTCAAGACGAAATAAATTTGTATAAGTAATCAATAGCTAAAACATACAATAGAGCCCTCTATGTTATACGTCTGAGCATTCTTGCACATGAGAGAGAAATCTTCTTCCAGGTCATCTAAGGTGCGATACTTGTGCGAGTTGATTCTCTCCTGAAAAAGAACAAATAAATAAAAAAGAAAGCATTAGCACGTGGTACTACCAAAAGAAAATTTTTTTTTGGCAGTAGAGAAGTTCTTTTCATCGAACGAATTTCCTCTGGAGGTTCAAACAGAACGAAATGGTAAGTTCCTCCTTAAAAAGTCCAGTCTGTTTGCCCAAAAACTGGAAAAACCCCATCTTTCAGTTCCGAAAACTCAGTGTCAAAATGGAGGGCAAGTGCAAAACTGTTTTTGCTAAAACGAGTCCATAAGGAAGAGAAAAAAAATCCGAAACCTTTTTTTACATCAGTGGCTTTGACCTTAACCTCATTTTGAGACTGACGCTATCGAAATCTCTGAAATGGTCAGTTAAACCAGTGCAATTAAAACACTGAAAGAATCTTACCCGAATCTTTCTGATGTCCACAGGCTGCTTAATTATCTGATAGTAGTCTGGGAGTTCTTTGCGCGTTGGTAGAACCATGAATATTTCAGCCAGGTTGCGAGAAGTGGAACTGAGAATGACCAAGAAAATTCAAGAGTGATAAGCAACTAGTTTCTCCTTACAATATCACCCCTAAATCAAACGTTTAGATCATGAGAATAAAGGATAAGATCACCACCTAAAGAAACTCTTGATTGTTACACAATTTCTTCCAATCAACATCTTAGAAAATGCATAGAGAACAGAGCGGGGAACATGGGTAGGGTGTAAAGCGTTAATAAGCAGAACTTTCAGTATTCGATCCTGTTAACTGAGCATCATATTATCTCATACTTACTCATCCACATATCTCACAATGTACTTCATCAGTTTCTTCATCTGTTTTGTTAGCTCCGGGGGATTGGGTGCAAGTTTAACTGTAAAGAGAACAGAATCGTAAGTTGCAGGGCACCAAAAGTGATAGAAGTCGGGAAAAGACACATCATACCAGCTGGTGGGCGTCCTCGTTTCTTCTTTATCTAGAGAAGACGAATAAAACCGTATTAACTTTGTACAATTCTGATCAGATTTGAACAAGTTTAAGAAATATCATCTGGTGAACCTACGCTAGTTTTGTGAAAAGCACATATTCAGTATCTGGCAATTTTCCAGTCCAACAGCAAACCAAGAACCTGTTCAAATTATGATTAACTTTAGTGAAAAAGACAAAAGGATTCTAACATGTCAGGAAAGGGCAATTGAGTATTATCAACTGAGTTGATGTTCAAGTGTTAGCCCTTCGCTATTCATTCTGACGAAGGGCTAACGCTCGAAACGTCAGCTTTGAAACTCTTTACGGTGGCCAATTTACGTTATCAACTCAGTTGATAATACTCAATTACCCTATTACACTCTCTCATTGACGCAGTACCACAGTTTCTTTAGAAACTTACATCATGAAGCTTTACGTTCAATATTCTTACCTTCGGCACGTCTCCTTCTTCCCCAGGATCATGTTTTCGTTTCTTGGATAACTTCTTCACTTTTTGTTTTTCTTCCACCTCATCCAGCCTTCCGTCTTCTATGGCCTACAGTCAAACAAATCAAACAATAAATAATTGCATCCTGCATTAAGCCAAGTAGTCAGCCATAAAACCTATGGCCTGCACCACCGGATCTCATACCAGTTTCTGTGGCATCAGGCCACCAAGAGGTTTGGTACTCCTCCCTAAATGAGATGTTAGTCCATTGTATTTGCATGTTACCCCGCCCCCAACCCCTTGGAACCTCTCCTGGTATTTATTGATTCTTTTTTATGCTTTGAATACCTTCAGCCATTGTCTTTCTGTCAGATGCTCACAGTAAACGACATCTTTTCGGACACGTGACCCACGTCCAAAAATCTTCTCGCTTTCTTCCTCCCAAGTCAAGCGTTCCACCTGTTCAACAGAAAAAGAAGGTACATGTACCAATGTTACACATTTCCATTATCCTTATACAATCAAAGACACCTCTATAATAACGGTTAAATATCTATTTCTGTGAAAATTATATTTTGTGTACCAAGGTCTATTGTCGTCAAACACCAATCATCGAATTTCAGTTTTCTGTTGGTGTCAGTGAGACCTTGGGTTACTATCGCACACATCGTACGCCTGACATGCATGGAGAACTTCTGCCAGGTTCTAGCAGTGCGCTGAGAGATATTACAAAAATTAATTCAGATTTCACGTTCATAATGCAAGAGAACTTCAGTACGATTAACTCGACACAATGAATTATCTCATTGAGCAATTTTTAATTGAGCGTCAAAAGTAATTCGGGATTGCATTGGTCTTTGCTTTACTTCGGGCTGTGATTGGTTCAGAACACTCTCGGCTTTCTCTTGACCAATCAGATGCAAAACTGAAACCAATTGTGACTTGGTCCCCTGCGTTTTCCCGCGCTTTCCACAGTTTATTTGTTTTTACTGTGAGTTCTGATTGGCCGTTGTCATTGCTTTGGCTTGGCTTACGTCACTCAATCAAAAAGCGCTCAATGACGTATCAAAGAATTCATAACATGTTTCTACTAAGCTCTCACCTCAGCGTCATCTTTGACAATCCAGCGAGGCAGCTCATTCGTTTGCATCAGTCGAGGGCGACGACGAAGTGAACCTGCTTCCTGATGAGACGATCAAAACAAATAGAGACTGAGTTACATTTTGGATAACTCAGAAAGCTTGTGGTTGGGTGAAAGAAGGAGGGGAGAGGAAAAAAAAAAAAGGTGGTTAACTCCGCAGCTGGCGTTTGATCTCGTCACGTGTTGCGAGACAAGACAAAACAACAACTGCAAAGGAGACGACTAGGGTAGTCCCAGCGTTAGGGGATCGAGGGTGGTCCATACATGATGGAGTCTATACTGTCATTGAGGGCAGAGTGTCTTTCCTAATTACACAAAATGAGTGACGCTGGCTAGAGCTCACACAGAGACTTGGCAGACTCATCATTTAATCTCTGTACCTCAATGCTGTTGGGCTGCGTATGGAGACATAAACAGTGTATCCCCTTCCTTGCTATTGTTCATTTTTATTGTTACAAACTGCTCCACGTAACGAATGCCATCTTCTTCAAACGAGATCTTAACTCTTTTTATCTATCTATTTATTTATTTATTCATTATGATAAAAAGTGAGCCCTTCTGAGTCATTCTTTATTCTCCAGCAAAATCAGGACCTAGATAATAAACAATAAAAGTTACTCACTCTGACTTCCTGTCTTCGCCTTTCCATGTCCATACGCTGTAAGATAGAAACAGAAAAAAAAGATAAAAATTAACACCCATGTTGTCAACGCTTTCACTCCCAAGATCTCATAACGGATTCTTCTTACTGTCTGCGAAACAATTCCTATGATGTGAGTTCTGAGAATTTGGTATTGGATCAAGTATTTATCCACCAATTGTTATTTCTCTTTATTCTCACCTCTTGTCTGCTTGGTATTTTATAGCTAATTGTAAGGAGAAATTCTGCTTTAGTCAATCATGAAGTGTAAAACAAACTGATCCTACCTGATACAACTCAAACTCTTCTTCTGTCCTAGCAATCATTTGATTGATGGTTTCATCATCAGGCACCTCACTTTCCTCCTACAATTTCAAATAAAATTAATGATTCTGAACTTTGGTTTGTTTGTAAAGGGATGGGGTAAGGGGGGCTGATTGCTTTTGACTCATGATTGCCACAATTGTTTCAGAAGGCCATCACAGGTAAAGCTAACACTGAAAATATCGGCTAGCCATGTTTGAATTCTGGACAGACTACCAAAATATAATTAGTTTTTGTGGAGCTTCTCATACTTCTGTTTGTCTTTGCAGCCCGCTGATTTGGTTGCCTACCAATGAAGTCTAAGAAACAAAAATAAAAGTTTATGTGAATTCAATTCCAAACTTGCTTTGTTGCATTGTGTTGCTACTTCCACAAATTCATAATTATTTTAAAGAAATGCTCGCTGAATTCGGCAATTTTCTACTGCCACTCCTCTATAAAACTTGGCAAACAAAGCCAATTCCACTTCAAGGCAATTCAGTTGGGGCCACTGTTCTTTCTGTAAAGCATGAACATGCAGAATGGGTACATTACCTCATCCTCGTCATTCTCTGTGTCGAGAATGGCCATCAGAAAAGCTCTTCGTTCACTTGATGTGGAGTTCTGATTAAACATGCCAGCTTGAATAACCTATGCAAAAAAAAAAACAACAACACAAAACACAAGAAGCAATTCAATATCCATTCCATTCCTGATGTTACTTTATAGGTTAATTTTAAATAATAGAATCATGCCAAAAGATAGATGTTTTCTGAACATTTTCTTCGTGCATGGGAAAAAGAAATATCTGAGGATTCCAAAAGCAGCCAGGTCCAATTTTATTGTTCACTGCCCCGCCAACTGACCTGCAGTGAACTCAGTTGAGTGTAAAATGATGTGTTGATTTAAAACTGACCTTTTCATCAACATTAAGCTTATATCTTGCGGCAGCCAGGATCTTCTCTTCAACACTGTTCACTGTCATGAGCCTCAGAACACGAACTTCGTTCTTCTGGCCAATACGATGAGCACGATCCTGAGCTTGGAGATCCTAGAACAAGAAAATAGTCGGAAAGTTCAAATATATTCATTACGACTTCTTGACGGCAGAGAGGCGAATAAAAAGATTGGCCAGATTTGTTAAAAAAAAAAAATCCAATGATAGTCCATTGTAATCTACAGTACAGCTTAGAGGTACTTGTCCCTTGCAATTTTTTCAAACGCACTAAAAAAAACGCGCGCGAAATACGTATGAAGCGGTCTTCTGTTTTACCCTTTGTTAACTTTGAATGCTGTGTTAGATTTATAATAAAGGAAGGATTCCGATGTTGGTGACATTACGTGGTTTTGTCGCGAAGCGTTTAGCGTCAGTTCATTTTCGTAATCCTTCCACCAGATTGTCCTTGTAAATATATGTGACTCAAGGGGCAAGGTAACGAATCCGGATTCGTTACCTTACCCAACTCAAGTTGGTAGTCCAGTGACAGAATATAAGACAGCATTTCTGCGAATATAAGACAGCATTTAAGGCTAACGCAAGACGACGCGAAGAGAGCGCGAGGCGAACGCGAAGGGCAAGTCATGCAAGAGAGATAAAACACACAAAATTGACGCACGGGGCTCCTCCCCTCAAGCGTGTTTCCTCCCCCCTCCCTTGCAATTACATCCGCTCAACTGAAAATGCAAAGTTTATCCCTGTTCAGCAGGCTTGTCGCAAACCATTCAATTACGCACTAAAATAACTAGGTCTGAAAAAAAACCACAGTAACTTTAAATTCTATTTTAAGGGTGATTTTAGCAGCAACAAACCTGGTGTGGGTTCCAGTCACTGTCAAAAATCACCACTGTGTCAGCAGCTTGCAAGTTCAGCCCCAGTCCTCCTGCCCGTGTACTCAGCAAGAAAATGAAGTAAGGTGAGTCCTTGGCATTAAACAGGGACAGCAGCTGACCTCTGTCCTCACTTTTAGTTGTACCGTCCAAGCGGAGGTAAGGGAATCCTTAACAAGTTAAGAAAATTTAGAGAAAAACGATGAACATAATATACAAGGCCAATCTCTGCAAGGTCTACCATACATTACTCAAAAATTTAACTCTAAATCTTGTAACAAATCAAACTACAGCTGTACAGCTGTGTCTCCAACGTCAATATTTTTCTTTCTTCTCGTTGCCTTTCTGCTAAGCAATGTATCGACGTTCAGAGGAAATTGGTGGAGAAGGAATCTTGTGGGTCTTTTTAATTAAGTTCTGACTTTTTCTATAACAGACTAGCATCAGTTTCCACTATACCATTCAGCAACAGGTACATGTACCTTTCCAATTGAAATAATCCTCGAGAATTGTCATCAGCTGGGTCATTTGTGAAAACAACAACACCCTACAAGGGAGCAATAGACACAAGTGTAAGTGACATATAAATCAACAAAATTGACATTAAGACTTCTAAGCCTTTTTGACACAAAAATAAATTGCAATATGTGAAGAAAATGGTCACATAAAACTATGGAAGAAGCCTCTTCTTAACCCATACATGGCCTACCAAGCTAATATTTACAAAAATTTCAAATCTGTAGTTTTAAAGTAAATTGTGTTTTAGACATGAAGTACAACTGTACATCATACAAGTCCAGCATCAATGCTGTCTGATACTTGGCTGAGGGCAAAAACGTGCAATTAATAAAGGGAAAGAGCTTTAGGTAGGGCATGTTTGCTGTTTTGTTTTGTTTTTTTGCAGGAAAAAGCCATAACATGTAGATCATGCCATGTGTATATTGTATGTTAACCCCTTGATAGAAGAAAACTACAAAAGACATATACCTGTGGTTTTTCCTTTTGAGCTTTGGCAAAATTCTGTCCAGAAGATCAAACTTGCCAGACACTCTTACAACATCAGGGCTGTTAGAACAGAGGGACAACTTTAGTAAAACATTGTCAACTATATATTCCATTTACAGTATAAAGTGGAAGGAACTGAATATAGAAGGAAAATTGCTCAAGAAATAATCACCCTTGAACAATTCCACTTGGAAAGCCAAGATGTTCTGCCATGGATTCCTGCAAAAGCAAAAATCAATTTAAGAAAGAAATTCAAGGAGACATGAAGACAAAGTAAACAGGTGTTGCCCCAGAACTAGAGGAGAGAAACTTGCAACTGAGTTGAAACTAAGAGTGACCAGCATCTTATTTCTCCTTACAGAAATACAGCTGAATCATGCATTAAGGATCAAGAGAATAAAGGAGATTATCACTTAAGAAGCTTTGATTGAAAATGTATAAAGAAGAGTCTGGGGAAAATCAATACTGATGTTAGGGTGATAAGGGTTAAGGAATTGATTCAGAGCTAAATTTGAGTAAAAACAAAGTACTGGTGTATCAGACGCATGCTTACCTCAATATGTTGAAAGAGGAAAGGGTGATTACAAATCTTTCTTAGCTGCATGATAGTGTTCATCAGAGTCTTGGTTCCTCCTCTGCCCTACCATGATTACATGAACAAAAACAGCCATGTCAGCAAGGCTTCACATTTCAATACATGTATGTAAGCTTTACAATGATAATGAGATATTCCAGAAAGAAAATATTCCAGGTTCTACCACCAAACCCACTCAAAGTGCTTTTTAATGCTCGAGAATTCAGTGTAGCCCTGGGTTTGAATAATGTAGCACACTTTGTACACCAATGATTCAAGAACATGAATAACATGTTGTTCTTTCATGGTTGAAACAGTGTGCTAATGTATTTTGAATAAAGTTGCTCTTAACTTTTAGGAAACAAAACATCACTTCATAAATATAAATTATGACTTATTTCTTTGCTTCTTACATACTTAACTGTGTGATCCATAACTTACACACTAGTTCTATCTACAACCACTTGGTCATTTAATACCAACTGACAAGGTTTTTGTAGATGAAACTACATGTACATGTTATGTGGATTTAAAGATTGAGTAGTTCAGTGTGTATTTAATTTTTCCTGTCCATCCTAATGAACCTACTTTACTAAGTAAGGCCTAAGTGCAGCAGTTCTCCCCAAATAACATATGTAACACAACAGTGAATACACAGACCTTTTTGTCCTTCTCTGATCCATCTGTTAACAGTACTCCTGCCTTGTGCATATGGTTATAAAGAATACGCTGAAGTGATGACATGTCACATTTGACAACATATTCCACCTTGTTATGGGGACAAAAAATGTTACAGGTATGTTAGGCAAGGAAAGTTTTGATTCCAACACTTTTTTTTTACAAATGGACAAAAAATATCTTGGATTGCTGAATGCTTTTACCACCAAGATCTCTACATAAATTCTTCCCACTATCTGCTACAATTTTCTTGTCATTTTAGCTTGAGAATTGATGCTACATATAAATCAAACAAATATTCTCTGTTGATACTTTCATTTCTGCTCATCAAGTTTCTGCATCAGACAATGTATCAAATCCGTAAAATGAAATTCCTTCTCAGTCATTTCTGGGAGTGTAAAAGCTAAAATGAACAAGTAGGAAGTCTTTCCAGTCCTCTTGTGTTTGATGCTAGACCATCAAACAAAAGATGTTTCAAATCTTTTTTCCTTTTTTTTTTTGGTTTTTTTGTTTTTTTGTTGGTGCCATTTACATGAACATACCTTTTCTGGTAGCTGTGATTCTACTTCCTTCTTGAGACGACGCAACAAGAATGGCCTCAAAACCTTTTGAAAACAAATTGAAAGTTGGTTGTTTGACTTTAAGGAAACACTATTTCTACAAGTATGTCTCTCACAAAAAGGTTTTAAGAGGGGTGTTCATTGCATTAAGGACGAGAATTCTTTGTCCAGATTTTGAACCTCATTTGGATGTGGAAAATAATCATTATTACATTTCTTAAAGAAATCCTTTTTAAAGGATGGTTGATTTTACATTACCAAGTTAACAACTCACCTTATGCAAACGGCGAATAATCAAAAGGGTTTCTTCACCATTAAGTTCAACCTACATCCACAAAATACACAAAGGTGGAAATTAAAGCAATGTATTCAAATACATGTAAATACAAATGATGGGTTCCAATAGAATGGACAACAACAAGAAAGCTTGAGAATTACTATTAATAATGTACATGTATTTACCTTTTCACCAGTCATTGCAAAAGGTGCATTGAACCATTGTTCAAAAGTGCTGCAAGACTTGAAGATTGTTGGAAGCAAGAAGTTCAATAGTGCCCACAGCTCTGGCAGACGATTCTAAAGTTTAAGAAAACAAAAAACCAGAGAAATTCAGAAAAACAAAACAAACAATAAAAATAAAAGAAAACCAGGACTGTCATTACATTAAATAGTGTCTGTGTAATTGTCAATAATACTTGTTATGTACAGTGGTGTTCCAGGTTCTACTATCAAACCCCACTCATCAAGAACTGATCTTTAATGGTGTTAGCGAAATCCTGGTTTAGTGTTGCACACCTCCGACACCTGACATACACGTTAGTTTCCTGACAGGTCTTAAAAAGTGTGCAGTATAGAAGATAGGACTTACTACCACCATATTTGACAGAGTTCAAATGTCTAGGTATAAAAAAATAGAAACATCAAGCTAATCCTATAATATCATCTGTATGAGTGGCCTACACTTAGGAGTAAGCAAAGGTAATGGTCTGGAAAAAAAACTTGCTGATGGAAAGCATTGCTACAGCCAGAGGTAAAATGGGGCTTAAACTAGTAAAAACAAAGAAACAGACCTGTAAGGGAGTCCCAGTTAACAGCACTCTGTGAGGTGCAGCATAATGTGTGTTTAATATCTGAGTCAATTTACAGTGATGATTCTTCATTCTGTGGCCCTCATCCACCACCATATATCGCCAGCGCACCTGATTTTGAACAAAATAATTTTATAAGTAAATTTGATTTGCCAAGATATCTTAGCAATGAGAGCATCTGAAGTTACATTAGAGGAAATCGTCTTTTCTTCAAATAAAACAACTCCTTTTTTTCATTACATACCACACACACACAAAAAAACTAAGTACTTACAGAATAAATAGATGGCTCAAAACACATTCCCAAATTTTCAGAAACTTTTGGTCAATACTTTTGACTAGGAGGAAAATAACCCAGATCTTAACACTGGACAGAATGTAGCCTACCTTTGAGAGGACTGACTTGTCTTTCATCACATACTCATAAGTAGTAAGTACAACATTGAACTTTCCTCCCCTGATTTGAGATGCAGCTGAACGACGCATGTTGGGTGAACCCTGCAAGAAAACATAAGCTGAATGATTAGCCACCTGAAACGCTCAGGTTGAAGAACAGTGGACTGCCATGCATGGGTTTGAGGGTTCAAACTCCAGACAGGACCAACAGTTGGGTAACCAGAAGTCTTTGAGAAATTTAGTCTCACCTTGTAGCTTACGACAATAATTGAAGGTGTCCATTTCTCAAATTCCAACAACCAGTTTGAGAGTGTCCTGTAGATCACACAAATCAGAAGTGATCAGTAAAAATAAAACAAAAGAAAAACACTTCACAAGATTCTGCAGCAAACACTGTACTTACGAGAGAGGAACAATAACAAGGAATGGTCCATTGAGCTTTTTGACTTCAATAAGGTAGGCAAACAAGGCAATTGTCTGAATAGTCTTTCCAAGACCCATCTCATCTGCAAGGATACCATTCAAAGCATTGTTGTGCAATGAGACCAGCCATTCAAGACCTCGCATCTGAAAAGAAGGCAATATTTATAAGCATCAGATAAGCCCAGAACAATTTGAGCTGTAAATTTTATTTTCCTGTATGCAAAGTAATGCAGTGACATTATAACATTTGAACTCCATTAAGTGCAAAGTACATGTGTACTCCAAGTGATTGTATGTTAACCCTTCAAACCCTAAGAGCAACTAGCATCTAATTTCTCCCTACAATATCACTCCTGAATCACATATTAAGGTCATGAGAATAAAGGAAATAGTCAGCAGGGAAAGAACCTTTTGACTAGAAAACAAATTCTCCTTGTCAGCACCTTAGGAAATGTATAAAGGATAGTATGGAGAATATGCATACTGATGTTAGGGTGTAAAAGGTTAAAGAGCATGTTTTATTTGAATTATTTGGAAATCATTGATTTACTCAGCCCTACTAGCCTACAGTACAAGTGCTATAAAACATGTTCAGGGTTAAAAGTAATTTTCATTATTATTTTTTTTCCTTTATAAATTATAATCTGACCATATATACTAAAGGAAACAAAGGCAATACACCTAATAAACACTGAGTTCTCAGAACTAACATCAAAATAAAAATGCATGTTGAATACTTGGGAGAATAAGCACTTACAACTAAAGATAAAGTGGTTGACTTTGGCTATACACACAGCCTGTAACGCAACTGAATCAAAGCAATTGATATGATTTTATGGTATTGGATAATATTTTATATAAAAAAAAAAACATACCTGATATTCTTTGAGTTTTCCACCAATAAGAATAGTTGGCTGCTCAGTGATATCCTCCTGAAAGCTATGTGCAATTTGATAATACTGACGGCTTTCCAGAACAGTTGGATCATCAGCTCTGTGGGCAACAGAAATCTATGGTTAAGGGTACAGATCTTACAAAAAACAATATAAAATTCTGAAAGAATCAAATTAATCTCCAAGACAGCATTGTCTTTAGGCTAAAAAATATACAACGAAGTGCAGAGAGGCAATCAGTATATTTATCATCACTCTCATTAAAACTCTATACTTAATACTTACTCTTCCTCAACATCTTCTTCATCTTTGCCATATTCTTCTCTCTTCTTTTCTTTCTCGGTTTTCTTCTCATCTGCTTCTTTTTCAACCTCGTCATCACCTTCAGCATCCTCAACTGATCCCTCTTCTTCTTCTTCATCATCAGATTCCTGTTCCTGACGAGGAGCCACTTGATATCTGGTAAATAACAAAAGAGAAATTGGACATGAGATCTACAATTCTTCATAATTGATGGTTAGACTGTCAGCATTTAACAGCTCTCCACAACTTCATGTTTTTTTCTTTGGGACAAGAAGATACCCGTGTAGTGCAACATATCCATCAAAGACCACAATGGTGACATACCTGCCAGACTAAACTATTTGCGACAATAATGAACCTTTTGCTTGAGATTAGAGATTGGAAAATTCTCTACCTCAACAGTATGAGCTACTCATGATTCAGACATAGAGAATATCCTCTTCTTACTTCCACAGCTACTACATGTACATTTAATAACAAAAACCTTGCATACCCTGGATGACTTTCCAGCCACGAGTCCAGATTGTCAGCTATGGGGGCATCTTCTCCTTTAAGCACCAAACCAGTCTCTGTATCAACAACAGGCACATGCCTGTTACCCTCTGGTGTCTCATCATCATCATAGTCAGACTTTCTCCTTTTCCTGTTTTCTTTTAACTGTTTCTTTCTCTGTTCTCTCTTGTGTTGTTGTACCATCTTTGTAAGACTGGCTACATACTCATCAGTCTGTCCCAGGAGATAAGCTAAACGCTTATCTTTCTTTTGGTCAATCAGTTTTCTGTAGCCTTCTTCATCTTCTGCCTATAGTCACAAAAAACACCATGTACTGTGTACATTATCATTCATATGATGAGCTGAATTACACACACATCATGATTGGTTCCTAATTATGATCTATTGGAGAACAGATGCACACATGATGTCACCATAAATAAACGTTTGCTTTGTTATCATATTACACAAAGAGAGTGTATGTTGAAAAAGATGTTTTTCATCTTGTCATGAGCATGGGACAAAGAAAAAATTCTGAGTCCCTATGAGGAATCGGATTCCGTGCTCTGATGCTCTACCATTGAGCCACAGAGACTCTACAGTGAGCAAAGTCTATTACAAAGTTCATATGACACGTATCCTGCATACTGCTAGGATCAGCCATGTCAATAGCATCCTGTTTGTAAATAGAAACAAGAGAGCGAATAAGTTTTAAGCTGGGTACAGTAATAAATTACAAAAGGGGTTATATAATAAGAACATTAGTAACACTCTCAGCTACCTCTTCTGTGCCACTTTTTAGTTTTAACCATTTACTGTTGAAAATTGTGATCTACTACTGATGCACAGCAACATGAAATCCATTTGTGAATGTGAGTACAATTGTGTTAATGAAACAAATGAAAAAACCTTTTTACTGCTCTGAGTTTGCCTCTGAATATGGAAAAAAGGATTCCTTAAGAACTTAAGCGATTCAACCTAATTTGAAATCATATCAATCTGAAGTTTCTTTGAAACTACCCATCTTTAACAGACTCATAACATTGTAATTTCAAATCAAACATTCCATATAAATGATTTTGGCATTAACCCTTTAACTCCCAAGATCTCATTAGCAATTCTCCTTACTGTCTGCCATACAATTCTTATAATATTAGTTCAGAGAATTTAGTATTGGATCAACCAATTATCCCCTAATTGATATTTTACTATATTCTCATCTCTTCTATGCTTGATATTGTATTGATATTGTAAGGAGAAATTCTGTCTTGATCACTCATGGGAGTTAAAGGGTTAAACACAGACCAGACAAAAACATACCATAAGTCTCCTCATTCTCTCTTTCTCAATCCTCTCCTCTTCCTTCTTCTTCTCTCTGTCTGTAATGGAGTGATAGCTCATTACAGCTCTGTTAAGCTTCACCACCTTGGACTGGATGGAACGATGATATTCTCTGAAGTCACGGGCATGCTGCAATATTGTGTTCAGGTACTCCTGATGCTTTTGTCTACGTTTGCGTTCTTGTTCCATCTTCTGCTGCTTTTCAAGTTTCTCTGTAATCCTGAAGGACAAAAAGAATGATCCATGGTTATATCACAAGAAAGAACCTGCACATTCTTAACAGAAGCTAATAAAGACCGAGTGTAGACATGACCATAGACAACTAATTGTAGTGTTTCAAAGATAACATTGATTTAGCAAATTCAGTCTTGCAATAATGTGTAATAATAATAATGTATTCTCAAAACATGAACAATTCAGTATAGAGATTATTTTAATTGCTTGAGGACGGTTTACAAACATCTTAAACGATGCCTCCTATTTATATCTTTTATTTTTGTGTGTGTGTACATATTGATATCCATGCCCTCCTGTCATACATACAAACTGTACTTGTATCTCTGATCATTCAGCTCTAAACCTTACACATTGTGTATCCTGTGTTATATCCTGTCATGTTAAAGAATACCAAGATGATGATAGAAATTGCAGGTATCGAACATACCTTGCCTCACGTAGGGATTGTTTTTTACTTCGTTTGTATGCCTTTGAATTAAGAGCTGTCTCCAGTGTAGTGTCTCTCCTTGTGCAGGCCACAACTTCTGCTCTTAACTAATCACAAAAAAAAAATTGATTTGTCAAAACCTTCTGTTAACCCTTCACACCCCAACAGTGACTTGCTTCTAGTTTCTCCTTATAGTATTGCCAATGAATCAAACATTAATGTTACAAGAATAAAGAAAATTATTTTTAAGTCTATTTAACAGTGGTTACAATCTGCACATACTGTAGCTAGTGGCTACATGTATGTGAAACACTTAAAGGCAACACTTCTTTCCATAAAACATTACAATACTCTTGTAAGCAAACCTGTTTCTGGAAGTTAAGCAGCCTGAGTGCTCTCAATTCAATCATTGCTTTCATTCTCAGATCATCAGGAATACTCCCTGGTAGACCTTCCAGATCCCTGATGCGCTGTACAATACGGGCCTGTATTCTGAACAAATAATGCAAGGAAGATGTACAAAGAAATATTAATGTGGGATACACTTTAGTAAATTACAAACGATTTACATGCTTCCTGTGCAAGAGTTACATGCACAATGCTTGTCAAAAAAGTGAATTAAAATTCATCACAGTGTACTCAGTACAATGGAGGCAAAAGAAAGTTATTTATCAGATAAATCCATCCTCAATTATTGATTAGTAAGGTCACACAAACTAAACCACCATAGGGAATAAACAAAATTATCTGAGATACAATTATTTCCCTCCCAAAAAAAAAAAATTGTACCAAAGAACTACTTATCAAATCATGTGAAATTTTACAAAAATAGCAGATATATACATCTGTATCTCTCTGTGTCACTGACATGAAAACCTGCTGTATGTATTACATGTACAAATGCAAGTTGCCCTTTGAAGTGATTTTTTAAGGACTAAAAATTCATAAAAAGATTTGCTATGAAAAAGGGCTTAAACTATATACATGTAATGTAATATCAGTATTATTCTTTACCCATTAGGTTTTCTTTTAGATTACATGTATGAGGAAAAGGGTGTAAGTTAATGCATGTAGAAACCTGGCTTTGTTACCAATCGTATTTTACTGTCAATCTTGACTGAACACCTTAGCCTCATCAGAGTCAATACCTTAAGTAGTTAGCTGAACCCTCTGATGGCTCCAACTTCAACTCCAAATCAGTTAATACAAGGGCTGGGAGCAGTCATACCTGTTTTCTCTTTCTTTCAGAATAGTAACAGGATCAAGTCCAACAGGTTTAGCCACTGGTGCCAAGCGAGGCTTACTAGGCATCTGTATCCCTCCTTGAGATGTTCCTGGAGTCTGTGCCTTGCGCTGCTGCTGCTGCTGTTGTTGTTGCTGCTGCTGTTGCTGTTGCTGTGCAAGTGCTTGCCGTTGCTGCTCTTTGAGCTTATGCTGCTGAGTTGCTGCTGCAATAGCACTGGCAGCCGCACCTTTGGCTGCCTCCCATGATGCAGGTGTTGTTGATTGGCTGGTTCCTACCGCTTGTTTGCTCTGTAGCTGTTGAGCTGGTTAAAGAAGATAAAATTGTCATTACCTAATGTTGAGTTTCAGTGAATTATGATTCAAACCTGATTCAAGCCAATTCTGTTACTCAACCAACTAAACCAACTCAACCACAACAGAGAATCTGTGGACAAGCCAGACCCTGTACTAGGCTGAGGTGATGGTCTTCAATAACCCTTAAACTCCAATGAGTGACCAAGACAGAATTTCTCAGTACAATATAAATAAAAAACCAAGCAGAAAAGTGATGTGAATAAAGAAAAATATCAATCAGGGGATAATAAGGGGATACAGGGGATGATGAGTTAATCCTATACCAAATTCTCCAAACTAATATTACAAGAATTACTCATAAGATCTTAGGAGTGGAAGGGTTAAGAAGTGAAAGTGTAAAGTAACAAGAGAATTCAAAACACATTTTCTTCAGGTCTAAATAGAAGACAGCTCTGGACAATGAATCACTGATGCCTGATGAACACCCATCCCTGCATGTCTTTATGATAGATTCATGTCTGACAAGTGTTCTTTAGAATGCTACAGGCTTAGAAAACTTAAAGACATCCTGAACAGAAAGAAATGCAGAGCATTGAAGGCAATAAATTTTCAGCTTAGTGGCAGAAGATAGATTTCTTGCAGTAGGTGCAAGCATATGATTAAGGAAACTTGAGTCCCAATGAGGAATTGAAACTCACCTTATTTATATTTCAAAGATTCATCCTTTTGTCAAAGAACAAAATTAATTGCAATTAATTTAATTGAGATAACACCCTACCAGCTGTCATTCCAGGGACATTATAAGCTGTCTGATTAGGCACAGGACCAGCAGGAGATGTTGTAGAGCTTCCAGCACTAATATTTGCCTGACTTTGAGGTGCTGACTGATTTCCAGGTTGATTCTGAGTCCTAGAAGGTAACTGACTTGACTGAGGTGGAACTGTACTACTGGGCATACTTGACCCTGCTGGTTTAACAGACGGTGATTTGCCTTGAATGGCAATACGTATGTGTTCAGGAAGAGGCTGATTACGAGCTAAGAGTTTGTAAGCCATGATCTGTGCTCTGAGCTGTAACAACTGTGGAGAAGAGAAACCATGAGCTTTCTGCGAGGCTTGAGACATTAAATTTGGAGCTGGAGAACTTCTTGTTTGCATGTCTCCTCCCATTCCAGTCCCTGGTGGTATATTTCCTATACCCATCGGCATCGAAGGAGGAGGAAGTTGAAGGCCATGGCCAGCATCTGACATGTCAACAGATGTAGGTTTTGCTCTAAGCAATGACATCAACTGCGCATAGCGTGGATCTGACTCCATTCCTCTATCTTGCATAGTTTGCAATGCCTGAGAATGAAAGAGTTGTGTTGCTTTAATTTAATCAATTAAGGTACAGTAAAAATAAAACAGATTTTGTCTGTCAAAGGTCATAGAGACAAAGGTGCTGGTAAATTCAATTTTTTCATGAAGCTTGCTTTTAAAATTTAATATTAACTGATATCAAACCATGACAATGTCTTTGTCCATAAACAGGCCAAAAAATTTGAAAACCTATCTAGAATTTTGACTTCACATTTGAAAAAAAGATCAAGTTTATGTCACCTTTTCCAGCCTTTGCATGTTCTCCGGAGTGTACTGAAATCCTGCTAAGGAAGCCATCTTTTTGGACAAAGTTCCTAAAAGTGTTTATTCCTATTCCTGATAAAACCAGACAGGAAGAACTTAATTAATTATCACTAAATTCAGTTTTTAATTTTTCATTTAATTAATTTATTTACTGTTTAGTGAGAATAGCATACTGAAGAAAATCGAAATTGTACAAGGTAAACACGACTAAAACCAACTGAAGGAATCCTTCAGAAAATTTTTTTTTTGAATGCCGATTTTAACTAACGTTACGAGTCGTTACAGGGTTTTTGTATTGTCCTTAAGGTCAAAAGACCGTATGTATCGAAAAAAGTAACAATAAATTCGACATTCAAAACTACGACCCAAACATGCGGTGAGCAAACAAGTGGTATCCTTCATGATTCATAATTCCTTCCGATCTTTACCAGTATCACTAGAAAAGAGAGCACGTTTCTCAAAAGGGTAATAAACCAAATGTAGTGAAACAAATCTTATTCATCGATCCTTTCGACAGCACGATTCAACTTGATCTGATCTGACAAAAACAGAATCGGCTTACAATTTCAAATGAACTACACAAATATTTTCAGCAAACAAAAGGCGATCGGAAAATTAAACTTTTATAAAAGAAATCACCGGCAAACATTCGCACTTAATTATTTTTCATGAAATGTTTGGGTCAGTTGACATAAAACGAACTAAGTTTACCAGACATACACCGTATGGCGTACCGGCCAAAGTGATTGCTTGTGCATTGATAAACAAGACTACATTTTATCACGGACATAAGCGGAACAAGAAAGTAGAAAGAGACGTAGGACGCACTATTATTTATGACCAAACGTTTCTGGAGGGTAAATTCGTCCATACCTGGTGAAACAGAGCTACTTTTGTTGAAAAAACAGTCTTCATCTCCTGATCATGAAGTCCCCGCCATGGTGCTTTGTCTGTAAAGCGCATGTACAATAGCCTCGTCTTGAAGAGCTGAAACAGGGCCAAACAACTCCTTACCCCACCCTAGCCACTACTTGTTTTGTAGTATTTTCGGTCTTCTCGTAACCTGATGATGCTAAAACATTTATTAGTGACCAGGGAAAAGATCATCGTTAAGGAATGTGAATTAATTTTCCTTTTCCGCAAGATAATCGGCTTACAAAATTCATATTTATCTTAAGTCATTTTATCTGAAATTAATTACAATCTTCAAGAAAACATCGATACCGTAGGGCTTAAAATTTCGTTAAACCTCTGGACTTCTTCACTTCTGCTTCTGTACTGATATATCTATTCGCATGTTTATTTCTTTTACTGACAGCAAGAGATAGATACCTTGAACTCAAAAGTTAAACTTTTCAATGAGGAACCAGAAAGAAAAAAAATTAGATTACATATCACTGTCCAGTGGAGGCTTAATTTTGTCTTCTGCAGGTTGTTTTCAAGAAAAAAATGAAAGCACAAGCAACATGTTATACATTATTGATGAAAGATTTCTACAGTTGTTGATATTGAGAGTTACTACATGTAGCTCGAAGTCTGAGTCGATTACTTCAAATTAAGTTACGTACAATAAGTTTGACTAGGATGATAAATTTTATGATCTTGTTCCTAGGATTATTTTGGCTACAAGAAACAGTGCAGGCGCAGGATTTCCAGCCTCCTGTTCAAGAAAACGCTTTCAGTGAACTTTTAAGACTCGAAGAGAAGTTACTGCCGGAATTGGATGCATTCGTCGCAAAAAAAGAAGATTACTTGAAAGAGCTCCACAAGATAATACATCAGATGGAAATTTTAAAGAAACCTTCGAATAAGAGCGTGCAAAGCTTCCTGGGAACTCCACTGAATCAGTACTTCCTTATTAAGCGATTTATTGACAATTGGGGAACTCTCGACGATTATCTTCAATCTGATACTTCAACACATGGTAAGTTTGCGTCTACATGTATTTGTGTTTCGAATTGGTCAAGGAAACGCGTCTAAGCTTGAGGTAACAGGCCAAATAATGACTACAGAGTAGACGCCTTTTTTATGAACGCATGTCGTAAATAAGGCGATTGTAATCCGGTGCAACTCATACGGCTTTCTCACGCACATGCGCAATTACTATTATAGAAGTGAATCTAACCCTGTCTCGAGGCGTCTCTATTTGAGACAAGTGTGAATAACGGCGTAACATTGCGTATAACTATGCGTTCGGCTATTAATTTCGCGCCGATAAAATTCAAACGGCTGATCGTGGATTATAGCGAGTGTTCGGTGTGTCAAATCCCGTGAAATGCCAATTTTAAGCGATGCTTCTCATCAATAACCTTTAATGGATGAAATTTGTCTCTGTTTCAGATTTACTCTCTCAAATAAAGCTAAAAAAGGACGCGATTCCCGCTAAAGCCAAACTCAACGAAAGATTGCGGGTCCTAGAGGATACACATAACATCGATCCCGAGGGATATCGGGTCTCTTTGTGATACATGCTCATAAAAATAGAATTCTGTCTTTTGTTGTGAGCAAAACTGACTACACACATTAATAGGGTAATTAAGTATTACTGACTGAGCTGATAACGTAAATTGGTCACCGTAAAGAGTTTAAAGGCTGACGTTTCGAGCGTTAGCCCTTCGTCGCTCTGACCAAGGGCCAACGCTCGAAACGTTGGCTTTTACACTCTTAACGGTGGCCAAATCACGTTATCAACTCAGTTGATAATACTAAATTACCCTGTTATACTCTCCCACTGACGCACCACCACAGTTTCCCTAGAAACTTACCCCCTTTACGCACATTGATAATATAACTTTTAGCGATTCATTTTTTGTTTGTTTGTAACGTGATATTGGCACCGATCTGTGGCTAATACAGAGGGGATTCATAATTGTGACAAACATATATATATTTTAAACAGCTTGAAAGCCTTCCGATCCTTCAGCTTTCTCCCCCTCAAGATCTGTTTCGCACCTCTCCCATCTGACTGTTATCTATTTCTAAGTTAATCAGTCAAGTAATTTGGTGTTTAATCGAGTTGGCATTATCAAGCTCTTTCGTTTATTTGTTCTTATTGACCGTTTGTGGAATATGACAGAAAACGACACACCACTGTTTGATTTTGTGCAAGGTTTTCTTTAAAAAAAGGCGTAAACATTTGAAATTGAAGGACATTAGCCTGTAATCTGATTTCAGTAGATTCTCTCGCAATAAAGAAGTACACATGTAGAAGTACTAGCTGTTTTCTGTTTTCATTTCATTCTCATGAAAATCAGGGATTGTCTCTAGCGGCATGGATTAGTTATGTAAAAATTTGCTCGAGCGGTAAAGGAGTAAGAGACAAACATTCCAGTGGCCAAGTGAACCAAAGTCTTGGTTCTTGGCGGTTTTAGGTCCTCTCTGAAACATCGAGCGGCGGAGCCGAGAAAGTTAGCCAACCGAGCCGGCGGGGGGCTTGCGTAGCCGGCTCGTCTCTATCAGCTTTGTCATACAAGCCGCCCGTGGCGCCGCGCCCATTCGTCTGCTTGTATGTCAGGAAAAGGTTTCTTCTCAGGGATTGATTTAACTCCTAGGGACAAAATTGGCAAATCGGCTCGTTTCGCGCGGCTTAGCCATGTCATGATGAAAGGTTACTTCTTAGGAGGCTCATTCAAAGCGCTAAAATTTAATGACTTAACCACTGACAAGCTTACGAGGCAAAAATAACCCAGGAGCTGTTTTTAATGTTGCGCTGATCACCGCTGGCTAACTTGCTACTTACTTTTGTCTCAAGATGTTGTAAGTGTAGAGGGCTGGAGTGAAAGATGGAACTGACCTTTAACCGGAAGGGGGGTGAGGTCAAGGCTCTAACTGCTTTTTGTTTTTGGGCATTCAAGGGCACAAAACACTGGTGTCTTCATCGTCTCTCACCATTCCAGTCTTCTCTCTCCTGAAGATCTCTTCATATCGAGCAGAAAGGTTTTCCCATATTGATAGTAGAGGCCCTGAGATGTTAATACGAGACTAAAAAAACGATCATTGTTTCAAGGGTTAAACTGAGGGTTTACAAGCGCATATCTGCGCTATTTTAGAGGGAAAGGGGCTGTGGCAGTCAACATCAGCAGACGCATTTTTGCGCAAATTGCGTTGTAGCAAAAAAATAAGATACCGACACGAAAGCACTCTAATAGCTCTTTAATTGCGAAATTCACGAGGTTCAATCACGTTCGATAACAAACACTGTGCAACTTTTTTGTTTTACCAGAGGGCAATAAAAACTCGAGGAATAATTCGTTGTTTTCGTTGATAACTTGCACTGAAATATTTCAATGGCTGTGAAGGTCGTCTCAGAATGTAAAGATTACTATTACTTGTCCTAGTAACACCGTTTCATCTAAGTTAACCCTTTAACTCCCGTGAGTGACCAAGACAGAATTTTTCCTTACAATATCAATACAACATCAACCAGATAAGTGATGAGAATAAAGAAAAATATCAATTTGGGGATAATTAGTTGATCCAATACTAAATTCTCTGAACTAACATTACAAGAATTGTATGGCTGACAGTAAGGAGAATGACAAATTTGATCTGGGAGTTAAAGGGTTAAAGACTGCAAAGCTGTTTAATCCAAAGTTAACCGAGAATATCCCTATGAATCGCTGTTCTAACACTTTGGTCCAAAAGGCTTCATGTAACACGTATACTTAGGCTTTATCAGATAATATCAAATTGCACGAAATTCAAACAGAAAATATCCATCAGAGTAAACAAATGTATCATGTATTACGAAGTAAACATCTCCTTATTTGGTTTGTGTGTAATATCGGGTGTGGCCGATATTAGATTCAGTACAAAAGTGTTGACTAATCTTTCAAGCTTCCAATTATACTTATGTTTACGTCAAAGAAAACATTTACCCTGCAATTTGGCTATTTTTAATATATTATTTTTTCCTCAGTATTTTTCAGCCTCGGCACCACTTCCTTTAGAACGGATTTTAGTTCTAATCTTTCAATCTTCTACTTTACAGCACTTCCAATCTTTTACGTCACAGCACTTGCAGTCAACATTCCTTTTCAGGGCTTCTCTCGCCCAAATATTAAGACCACATTATCAACTGGTAATTCTGGGTTCAAACTACTAACTGTATACAACGATTTTAGCCATTCAGCCGTGCGATCGGAAAAATAACTCTCTTATCCGGCTACTATGCATTTCCAATATGGAATTAGAAAAATAGCTTTTTTCTAGTTTATAAGTGATATTGAAAATTACTTGTTAATCATTACAGGGAGATTTAGGGTGAACCGAAGGTTTAGTCATTGAGATATCACACTTAACTGCTAAAAATAACTCAAAAAGAAGCTCAGGAATTTAATTCAAAATTCTGATGAGATTTAAGAAACAGCCATTCTGGTCATTCTTATTGGTCCGGCATCCGCCCTATTTTTCCATTTTTTGTTTTCAACAGTTACAATCTTTTCTATCTCCAACCACTTTTCTTCATCTTAAATCAACAGAATACATCGTCAGGATTTTTTGATCTGTGAGGAATTTTGAGTGTCTGAAGGCGTAGCTTAAGTTAGCTGATTGCTTAGTTGACAGTTGTGGTAAATCCACGCACCTCTCGAGTTCAAACATATTAGAGTGCTCTTGAACTTCGGTATTATAAGTGTTAATGGAGTAGTGAGCATGGTCACATACTCACCTTTCTTCTGTGGCTGATATTTCCATGGATCAGAGCATATGCTCCAGCAGAGAATATTTGAAATAATTTTCATATTTTTCATATGTCTCGAAAGTTCATGAGCCAGTTATTGCATTAAATGGCCATAACAAGAGAGTATAGATAGGCTGATACAGTTGTAACCAGGAATGTTATGAGACAGACATATTTTCATAGTTAAAATGACAAATTGTAAGATTGAGGAAATAGAAACGAACTTCCTCACAAGTTTGCCGCGTTAACCCTTTACACCCGAACATCAGTAAGCACATTCTCCATACTGTTTCCTATACATCTCCTAAGGTGTTGATAAGGAGATTTCACTTAACAATCAAGAGCTCCTGTACTTGTTGATCATTTCCATTATTCTCCTTACCTTAATGTTTGATTCAGGGGTGATACTGAAAGGAGAAATTAGATGCTGGTCACTCTAAGGGGTTAAAGGGTTAAGGAACACGGGAGTGTCACGTGTTATAGTCTTTGACATCGTCACATCTCCTTCACGTGCTTTGTACCAGGTTTGTAATTTGAGCCTTAGAATGTTTCGGGAATTTCAAGTGGGACAAGGTTTTGGTTTGTTATCAGTGTATACCGGGAGAAATGCTCCATATTGGACGATTAACATTTTCAGCCAGGCCGATCTTAATATTCAACTTTATGACTTCTTTTGTCCGCGAGTTTATGGAATTTTGCTGTAATACACGTATACAATTTTCACCCCATATACGAAGTCTAAGTGATATTCAGAGAATATCAGTTTAAAAACAAGACGGAGCCTGTTAAACTTCAGTTTAGACTCCGCACGTCATTCCATCGAAAAGAAATCTTCCTCTTAAAATCTGAGACAAAGGAATGAATAAAACTCATTTCACTAGTTTAACAAATCTCTTACCTCTTCTCAGTTTTGTCTAAATTTGCGAGTCGCGGTGTCTTCAGAGATGAATTATTTTTTTTCTTGGCGAGAGAAAAGTCTGCCGTGATGAATTTGAGACAAAACAATGGATACAATTTATTTAACTAGTGCATTCGAGAGCCTCTAACTGTTTTTTTTTGTGTTTGTGTCTCATTCTGCCAGTCACGGCGTCTTTACTAAAGGCCTCTGGGAGGAGATTTTTTGCCGCATGTACACAGGTACTAAGACTGATATCATGAACTGTTATTTTTTGAGAAGTTTAATTAAGGAAGGGTACCACAGCGTCGGCTAGGAAGTCATTTTCAGTCTTGGTCTAATAGCTGATAATCAAGATTGAGTTTACGTTTGTGTTCTTTTATCTCTCAAGGACCAACACTGTTGCACTGAAGGCCTGAAAGTTCGTTTAAGAGTTTTACGATATTCGGCCCCCGACTTGGTGAAGTTGTTAAAGCACTCGAAAAGATTAACAGTCAAAATATTTCCACAGATTACAGTCAAAAGTCGTGTACTATCTTCAGTATATATTGCACAAATGCCATGATACTCGTGTCAAGATCTAACCGCGCGCGTTTTTTTTTTTTTGAGTTACAAAAACCAGCTTTCACACGTTCGACATGGTCTCAGCACTTAAGGAATTTCGTCCATGCATCGCAATCTATGTTGAGGTTAACGTTTTACGTTAATTGTTATCCTTGCATTGCAAGAGTGCCATTCGTATTATCGCGGTTCGCTTTGGAGTCTCTGTTTTCCCTTCGCGATCGGTGGATAGTCGCTAACTTAATAATTTACAGGAAAAACAACTAGCAGACTTGAAGCGCTGGGAAAAGATCAAGAGTCGTTGAACGCATGGCAAGCAGTCGTGTTTCAGCTGTGTGTTGTGGAACTAAAAAGTTTAGTATCTTTTTTTTAAAATAAATCCGCTGAAAGAACAGGAAATATTAAAGTGTCCGCTCAGATTTGTCAACAAAAAAAATTTGGCGTCTCGCTAGGAAGCTTAAATCTGAATTTTTTATTTCAATATAACAAACTCCGGAACTCGTTCTGCGCCATAAGCTAAGGGCGCTCAAACTAATTCAAATCAGTTTTAATTTTAGTGTCCTCTTTTTGCCATTGTACAATATAAAAAATACCAGCTTTTTTTTGCCATAAAAGGTCAGCGTAGACAGGGTAGAGAAGATTTGTTTTGGGTCACGATTTCCTCTGAGCTAAGTATATTGACATTCATTTTTAAGGTTTCTTGTTGTGTAAGATTATGCAGGAATTCTGACTGTTTGAAGGGCCATTTACGCACTCTGTTAGTCGGCAGTAGTTTGATTTTTGTAGGGCTATATTGGATTGGATAATACCTGGTACTTCAGCGCGACAAAGACTTACCGGCGGAGTAGTTATATCCTGCTTCAGTTGATATAATGGGATGATCTTCAACTGAAATTTCAAGCATTGCACATGCAATTAGTTGTTTCAAGAATCGCTCGCGTTTATTGAAAAGGGAAGAGTGATTTCAGCGGTTCATATCCCCTCATATTCTCTCAGCAAATCATCAAATCATTCATCGGGTGTTTATCAGTTAAACCTCAAAACACAATCGGGACACAGGTCATTGGTTTTCAACGCGACTGGAAAGCTCCGGCGAAAGTACTTTCAACGTTCAGGTATGTTTGAATAAACAAAACCAAGAAAGTTCTTCTCCTGGTGTGATTTGAAGTAAAAACAAATTGAAAAATATGAGTAAGCTACAACTTAACTTGATTTTATAAAATTTTCCCAATTTTTGTCGTAGCCTGCGCAACTTAAAAATTTAGGCAAAGTTAAGTTTCACGATCCGTATTAATCCTTTCCATTTAGAAACTTAATTGAATCATTAAGGTTACTCTTATCCGATTCAATGTTTTTGTCTGCTTTGAAATCAACATATTGTCATTTCCTTCACGTCGAAAACGATAGTTTTGTTCATCACAACAACGGCATAAAATTAGATAATTGCATAGAACCGTGTTTCGCTGTATTTTCCCTATTTTTATGATTAAAAGATTTTAAGACTTTTTACACTGCTGTGAAAGCGAATACCACAATAATACGAAAATTGTTCCAGCCTTTTCTGTATGTTTATATGTATCTATTTATGTCTTCAGTATGTTGTTTCGAAATTTTTTGGTATTGTTTTCTGAACGATCAGTAAAACTCGATGCAACCTCAAATATTTATCAGCTGCGAAGTTGAACGTGTACATCTTGTTTTCATCTGTAAACAAAAAGCTGATACTTTCCTATGAGTCAAACCAACAGAACACTGATTTGAAGTATTTTTAAAGATAATATTTGAGCATCGTCTTTGGAATTTTTTTTCAAAATTCTTTTAACGCAACGACTGAGAAATTTCAATGAAACTGAAAGCAAAATCTGTGAACTGAAAAGTAACCGGGTAAAGTGCTTAGGCCGCTAAGCTTTTTTTGCAACTTCATCTGAGATACTTACGGTAAAACAATTTGTGAACACTTAAAAAGTCACTTAAAGCGATTCAATCAGAGTTAAGTCTACAAATAAATATCGAAAATGACCTATTATAGGCTAAATTGATGTTTCAGTGTTAGGTTATGGTAACACCTCTGTCCCTATATCAAATTAGCCCTAAAAAACCGGAAATTACACCGACCAAACATTTCTAGGGCGGAACTCGCTATTTCTCATGTTAATAATTTTAAGCCGGAGGTATTTTCGGCAAATTCCCTCTCTTAAAACGAAACTTCCGGGATCAATATCTTCAAGTTAATGGGGTTTCTTAATTTAGAAACGGCATTTCTTGCCTAGAAAGGAATCTGACGTCACCAGATAAACATATGAACCAATACGAACCGAATTATCCAAGCTATGTGGGTTACACTATAGTTGACATGTACTTCAAATGTGACCACTTTGTACTCTAATTTTCATCTTCATAAGCTTAGATAATTTGGTGAAATGGTCACTCATTAAAGAAATTAAGTTTATTGCATCGTATCACGTTCTAAGGATTGCAAACCAGTGTAAGAAATATGTATTTTCGCGTAAGATTTTAGTTCAATAGTGTGCATCTGAAAAAAGAGCTTCCTAAACAATAATATCTTATTCTGAAGGAACTTTGCTGCAAAACTTAGCAGTGTTTGGTGTGAACTTCTGTAAGGAGGAATGATTGGATATGAACAATCGAATATTGACTCTTTCACTCTCAAGATCTGATTGTTAATTCTCCTCTCTTGCTGCTACACATTTCCTATTAAATTCGTTACAAGAATTTGGTATTAGATCAAGATAAAAACTTCTACCTGATAGGTTTGAGTATTCTCGTTACCTGTTTGCTAAATACTGTATGAATATAATAGGGAAAAGTTACTTGTTAATCACTTCTGGGAGTTGAAGGGTTCAGTTAATCAGTAGGATAGTTAGAGCTATTGAGGACTATTTACTAATACGAACTTAGCACATGTGCAGGTTATACAGCGCACGTGCTTTTATTGCGCCAGTGCTTCTCAGCAACTGATAAGGTTGATAAAGGTCCTAACGTCTGTCACACGCAAAGATCTGAAGTCACGTAAGGACGAACTGGATTTAAATAGAAACAAAAGTAGTTGAAAACCCTCATTGAATTTCTGTTGCTTTTATTTGTGAACTTTTTTACTATTTTTACATCATTAATGAAAAAATACTGGCCCATTCTTCATACACGCACAAAATTTCGTGACGTTTTCCAAACTACTTCAACAACTTTCTGATCAAGTTATTTATCAACAAGAGAAGAACATGACCTCAAGATCCCGTGGACTGTATGGAGCCAAATCTTCTGTACAGTCGTTGCAAAATCACAACCAAAAATTTACATAACTAGACCCTGTGAGCAGGGTAACTGGGATACCTGGATGGTACTGGATCCGTGGAATCAAGTGTAGTGATACTACGCGTGTCGGACTAGTATACTGAAATAGTGAGCTCAAGTCTGGCCAAGGGCATACACCTGTCTCAAAACATAGCCATGCTATGCATGCAAGAGTTATTTTTTGTAGGGTGGGTGGATTACTTGAAACATTGTAAGTGGTCTACATTCTTACAAAAGAAAAGAAGATTATTAACGCGGGAAAGAATGAAAATGTCGAATTACCTCACACACAGGTATTTTGTGGTAGATTATGTGTGTTGTGCGAATAAATGTAACCAAAAATAAACTGTATTTGTGCCACGGATACCTGTTAGTACAAAATGTAGACAGAAGACTGCAGACCGGATACAAAATATAGACTGCAGAGTGAGTACAAAGTGCAGACTGAGAATCTGAAGAGTTTTTACGTCTGGTATATAATAACATGTCATCTTACAGCTTACCGAGCGTCACGCAATCGCTTTTCCGCGATCAGCCTTCACGATTATTTGCACTATTGTGGAAAATTCCTGGCTCATTTCTTGATGAAAATCGATCGTAATATAATTTCAAGCCTTCAACATAGTCTTCTTACTTTGCGCGCGAGTTGGTTGGTGTGATGTCTGTACAGATTTTACCAATGTAATAAAAGTAGATGACGTGAATAATAGTGATGGTAAAGCAAGCTTAAAACGGCAACAATCGCCAGAAACTACAACGGATACACAGGGTATGAGTAAGTTTTATTGATTTTTCGAGAAAAATCTTCATATTTCGAAATATTTATCGTTATAAATCGACCATATTTCGTTCCCTATACTTTTCCTTATAACGTGTTCAAATTTTCAACGGTTCCTAGAATAACTTACTCTGAGTCACACAACGCGTGACGCGTTCGTGAATTAATCGTTGGCTCTTTCTCGAAACGTGACCTTGGGTCGCCTGTGACAAGACAATTGCGTAAACAATACTTGACATAATAACATTATACACAAAAAACACGGGATTTTGGATCATGTATTTATTAAAAAAGAATATCCATACAACTACAATGAAAACAAACATAAGATTCACCTTTCTGATCGTGAAATTAATACCATTCGCACTGTTATCGTAGCTACGTTCCCTGGCATCAAGTGAATCTAACATGACATGTTTCTTCACTAGCAGTTTGCATCCATTTGAATTTTGTTCTTCAGTCTCACGGTAGTAGTGTTGTTCAATAGATTGCATAGAGTATATGCAGTTTGGTTTCAGATTTCAGATTTTGCTTTTTACAACGAGTTTACGTTTTCAACTAAGACATTGGCATACTTGGCATACAAGACATACAAGGCATTCAATGCTTTCATGGCTTTCAAGCGTTCGCGATTCTGTCCGATCCAAAATTACCGCTCAATAACATCTTTTTGTGTGGATTGGCCGCGAACAATACGAATTGTGTATGCGTCTATAAGTATTTTGAGCGTTTGCCCCATAATGCTCCAGATGATCGTAATCCAATTACGTTGAAATACAAAACGACTGTCAAAATAGTTTTATGGGCAAAAATCTCGTGTTCGTCATGTGACCCGGCCATGTCCGGGCATGACAACGTCAATCATCATCAAGATAACACGCGTGATCAGTATGTGAACACCTCATTGGATCACAGTTAGTTGTCATGGTGTTGAGGGCCCAATGACCTCTGGGTACTATTGCGCAATTTTTCCATTTTGTGGCGGAGGAAAAAAAAAAAAAAAAAAAAAAAAAAAAAAAAAAAAAAAAAAAAAAAGACGACAAAAAAACAAAGGCATTTTATGACTGGGCTACCACAGGTATCCCAGTAAAAAGTTCCAATCACAGCGCTATATTTTAATTAAATTAAGGTTCTATTTTGGAGATTTCGTTTAATTTCTTTACAGCGAGACTGACACATTAAGTACAACCGTTTTAATCACAAGATTACCAAGGTGTTAGTAAGAACTTGAAGAGGAAATTACCAATTAAGAATGAGGAGCTTGCTGCGGCAATCATGATCGATGTTGGACGTTTGACTAACTGTCGTAATTGAATGAATTAAAATCTTAAGCCAATGAGGCTTCATAGCTAGAACTTGATTACTATTTTTAACGATAGAAAATAAATCATTATAATTTAGTGGGAAACGTTTTTCACACGAAAGAAATGACAAGTTCTCAGCTCTTTCGTCCAAACAAAAAAAAAAACGACATTTAAATTTATTGCTTATTCAGGGATGGTTTAAGTTGATATCAAGTGTATATCAAGGTTACTACCAGATTGTGACCAAATGACGAATACACGATAACCTCCTTTTTCGTTTTCCTGATGGCCAACCTGTCTATCATAGGCTCAGAGCAGCTCCAGACATTTTGCCTAAAGGCAAAAGCACTCGGCCCTTGAGTTTCTTCGGATTTTGAATAGTATTTTAAATTAAAGTTTATTTATTTGTCCTAAGCAATTAAAAATATCTACTCTCATTTTAAGCATGAAAAAATCATTACATATTGCATTTGAGATGAGTTGGCAGAACCACATATTGCATCAAACTCGTTAACGGCTACTCAGTCCGTTAATAGCTTTCCTCTTTGCACCGTCCATTATTATAAATTGACCCACTAGTATTGTAATGGATAAGAAATGACTAAGCATGGTTTCAGCTGGGATACTGCTGAGTCACAGCTGGAATGCTTCAATTTATTGCCTTCAATCGATCATCTTCAGTAAAGAGGCCTGTGATTAACGTCTGACAACCTGTGGGAACGTCATCATTAGAATCAAGTGAACGGTTGTACGTCATTTAACCAAACTCATATCTCTGGTTCTCACAAATAGATAGCATTTGTTAGATTTGATTAGTCATGTTAACCCTTTATCTCCCGGAGGTGATTGAAATGTAAATTCTCCCGATAATATCCATAAATTATCCAGAAAAAAGGTAAAGAGAATACTCAAACTTATCAGGTGGAAGTTGCTATCTTGATCTAACACCAAAGTCTCGTAACTCATTTACAAGGAACTTTGAAGAAATTAGAGAGGAGAATTAACAATTTGATCTTGGGAGTTAAAGGGTTAACAGTTGAGAGAGGAGACACTTTAAAATTCGTAAACGAGGCTTCGTGATTTTAAACTGAATCAAACCTAGTATTTCGTGATTTGATAAGTTCTCAGAGAATGTGATCTATTGCACGTTCAAAATTTACTTTGCCCTCTGTGTTTCAGAAAACGGATTACCTTTAAGTCGAAATAATGATAAAAAAAAACAGAGAAAATCAAAATATTTGTCTATCACACAATTAAAAGCGCCCACAGGAAAAGAGGATGATAGCGAACTGGATTAACATGGATTAAAGATTAAAATTTATTTTGCTCTTTTTAAAAAAGCGTGACATTCGTGACATTTGAGCTAAGCTTAGCATTCAAACATCCGCCTTCTTCAGTTAAAATCACGACAAACGAACAAGCTGCTCACGCAAGATTTGTTATATTCAAACAAGTTTCAGAACCTTGCAAAGTAAAGAGAACATAAATGTAGGATCACTTAAATTTTGACAAAGAAATGTTGAAGATTTGTTAAAGTTTCCCAGTTCCTTTACGCTGGATACGCTCTCTGAAGAGACACTATTCGAAGGTGGAAGGAACACGTGATCAGGACCTTGGAGTTGACTTGTTGACAAAGCAAAATGGAACCAACAGTAAAATGGCACGAAGCCCAAATTTAAGCAGACTTTTGTCCCTTTTCTTGCGGAGATATTTCTCCGTTTCAGCTGCAGTATCACATGGGGATTAACAAGATCATGCAACGAGCCACGAAAGCGTTCAATTTTCAGTTGCGTGATTTGGTTCAGCTATCGTGATTTATATAGCTACTATATAGCTATTTTAGGTATTATTGCAAAGTTTTGTCATAATGTGAAATTTCATTACAAAAGAACTAACAAACTTTGAAACAATGAGGACAAAAGAGATATTTCTGGTTAATCTTCATAATCCCTCGCGACTTAAGTTTCAATTGGTTGCTTCAGTGAATTTTGTTCTTTGTTGCTAAAACTCACGCATATTCAAGGCTCTCTTTAAGAAACCCACATGAAAACATTAGGCACTTGGATGATTTTTCAGATCTTTACCCTGCTCGTAAAAGTTCAATTAACCTTTTTTGACAGGGCCACGTGAAGGTTGGACTGTCTTGCTAAGTTCAGTTAATCTACAATTTTATCCCAGAATTTTTTATTTGAACATTCCGGTTCAATCTTCTCGATCGCCCGTTCAATTCAGTTACCTCTTTAAGGTCCTAATACCTCTGCCTGGTAGTCTTATTTCAAATATTTCCTTCTTAATGAAAGCAGGTTTTTCTGTCACAAAATAATTTACCAAAGCGTTGCAGAAATCAAAGTCCTCGTACAAGTCTAAAGCCGGTATGAAATGTTGAGAGGAGAGAAGTACTCGGATCTCACTTCTCAATCGCATTTGAATATACATGTCAACTCTTTAACTTTAACAAATCAGTCTGAACTCTGATACGAATATACAGAAATAGCATTAATACTTCTGTACGATATTGCAAGCTAATATAGTTTGATAATCTCTTGTGGTGAAAGCTAAACAATTTTTAAAATATTTTGACCCGTTTTTACAAATAAGTTTTCTCATTTTCCGCTGAGCGCCGCCTAAATTCAATTACAAACAGTTCAAAGTAACCCACACAGGACGTAGAGTTTCAAGAGACGTGATAATTTTCTCCGTATGTTTCCCACCCACGATCCTGCCAATTTCCTTTGTGGAGGATTACGAGACAGGAAACAATTAACAAAACTTGAATGGCTGTAATACGGATATCCATGTTTGCATTAATTTTTAACAGTATAAGAGTTCTGACTTCTGGAGAGACTAAAGCAGTCATTAGCAGTCTCAAAATAGTTACAAACGCCTGTTTTCAGACAGACAGGGTGGGTTAAAGTGCGAGTGTATCTGTTTTTCAGGAAAGAGGAGAAAAGAGGCTCAGAGATTGCTGAAATACCGAAACACAAAGGAACTTCAAGAGCCTTCACTCAACTGTATTAAACACTACCCTACAAGGTTGGTAACACGTGTCTTTGGTTTATGGGATTTTGCACGATTTGCTTTTAACGTAAACAGAGGTGGACTATCATATCTCTATAGTTAAAGATCTTTGCTTCTCGTAATCGAACGCTTTTGATATGTAAAACAACCCAAAAAGTCAAAAAAATATTCAGAGAATGCAAATGATTGCGTTAGCTTTCATCGAGTGGTTCAATTTTATCAGTCGGCCAACGCTTTTGTCCAAACTTGCACATGCGAAAAGATCCTTCTCTTGGCAAAATTCCCTAGTTTTATTATTTATCCTTTCATGTAAACTGATATATAGTTACATTGATACATTGCTCACTGCTGTGAGATTGCTATCATTACTGATTTCATATGGACCAAAACACACTAAAATAACATTCCAGTAATTTGACAAATTATTCAAAGCCTGTTTCAATGGTCACCCTCTTAACATCCGTTGAAGACTAAATATCACAATCGAAATTTATTCAACCGCATACGAGCACGCGGGCATTGCAGTCTGATAACTTCAAGGTGAGCTGAACTCAAAAGCTTTTTGTCCGTCAAGTCCATAACTGGCGTCTTGGTCACTTAATCGCGCTTACGGCTGAGGTTTAAAACTCTGTAAGTAATGTCTAATCTTAAGTAATTACCGTTACTTTTTCCAAAGTTTATATTCAAAACATGAATTCGGCGGTCATTTCAAATTGTATCAAATGATCAACAAGGGATAAGTGCGATTCGATTTAATTGTACCAAGGCGAGCGAGCCACGGTTGAGTAAAAATGCTCAGCCTGATGGTTTTGCGCAAGAAGGAACTATATGAGGCAGGCAGTTTAACAGATTTACAAGCCTGATATCATCTATATGGGCTGCTTAGCTTCTGAATTGTGTTTTTATGCTCTATTTGCCCATAAGTAGTCGATTTATCGAGTGATTTGGGTTATTTATCCTTCCTGCGATCGATTTAAGTGCTTTCGCATTCATTAAAAGACCCTACAACTGCACACACGTGAGCAGCCACCTCAGTCTTCTCGCTGAATACCATCGCAGCTTAGCACGGGCATAAAACAAATCTTGAGCGGCTCAAGACCTTCTTGTATACTGCCATCCCGCTGGATTCCTATCATTTTTGGAAAATATGGCGTCAATGAGAAAATATGGATAGTAAGGCAGGTGCTAATGTAGAATGACTTTTACCTGGATTAAAAAAACGCATGAATTTGCATGGTACGAATTATTTTATCGCCTAAAGGTGAATTCCTTTAGCCATGCAACAAGTTATTGCTGGTGAAATGGGTCTAGCAGCGAATATCATCCACTGAGCCAGTTATTCAAAGACTCAAAGTATCGACGAAGTCATTACGTAACGGAACTAGGTCTGACAATAGAGAACCACTGACCCCATTATTTCGACACTCTGTGGTCAGGATAATAACAACATTATTATAATGACTGATGAAACCTACCATTAGAGTGCATAATTATCGAAATGTTGCTAAATATAAGTTCTTGAGACGTAATAAGTACTTAAAGTTGTATAATGGGTGATATTTTTATGAATAAAGGGAGGGAGTTTCTATAGAAACTGTGATGCTGGCGTCGGTGTGGGGTAATTTAAGATAATTTGTTTTCATCAACTGAGTTGTCAATGTAAATTGGCCACCGTAAAGAGTTTCTAAAGCTAACGTTTCCAGCGTCAACCCTTCGTCAGCCGTCAGCATTAGCTCATGTTCTATAATATACGAAAAGTCTTGATGTTCCTCAGTTTCCTGGACTGGTTCTTGATGAGCAAAAATGAAAGTGGCCGGCCCTCTAGACCTCTTTTCATCACGGCAATTCTCTGAAAAAAACCATTGGTTTGATGCCAGCAGATGAACGCAAAATTTCGAACTTTTTGAATAAATGTTTCACATCGTTTAATAAATGTTTTATTAATATGAAACTATCTATTTGCGGTGGAAACTTTCCGTTAGTGATATAATTTACGATTCAATGCGTTCTGTTAGAAAATTCCGGTTTGGTTTCGCGGAGGTCGTTTATCAACAGCTCCAACAGTTTTTGGCTTTAAGTCAAGTTTTATCCTTTCTAGTAATGAGAGAAACATGAGAACCGCTGTGATAAAAAAAGTATTACAGAGTAATTCCATATGATTTAGATTTGGTGCAATTGTAGACGTTAAGAGATTTTAAGACACACACTAGGCATCATGGAGGTAATACACGATGGCTTTGAGGGGGTGTTTATTAATTATTGCCCAACGGATTTTCCGGTGTTTAGTGAAAAACAAAGACTTACGGTTCGTATAAAGATCAAGCTTTGGGGAACATAATAGACACAACCACTTGGGAAGGGAGGGTAGGGCTCCTTGAAGCTTGAACCCCGTAGCGTTGTTTGACTCAAGGGGATGTAGAATCTAGTGGATTTGTTTTGTCTTTGACACAATAAATGATTGTCACGCGGTCTTAATCTTGATAAAATCCAACTACAAAAGACTGTGTGTCTGTTCACGTGTATCTGTTATATCCATGATCGGTTATGCATAAATCACATATCAGTTGCTCATTGGTGGCAAATATTACATTAACGCAAATGTTATATTGTCATTGAACAACAAGGCGCACGCTGAGCGAAATAGAGTCTTTCAGGAAGTGATCCAGGAAATGGCTTAATCGCCTGGCGAGATTCATTGAACAGTGTGCATAGGATTAATTATGACACTTTCTTGACAGTTTTTTTACGTACTTTAGCTGCGTACTTTGTTCCGTTGTCTAATTAGCTTTGCAAAGTAGTGCGCTCGGCTTGTATATTCGGAGAAAGCACTTTATAATCTACTTTTAGGCTATTGTACTGTTTTGAGTCTGTTTATCATTGACTGCGTACTTTTATTGTGCGCCTAATCCATGCAAATAAGTTTTATCTAAGCAGTGGAGGTTTTACTTAGATCTGTGGTAAAAAGTGGTTTCTAGGTTAAAGTTAAACCGCGAGTTTTATATGATTTTCGTGTGCTGAAACTCTTCATAAGAAACTTGAAGCTCTTCTCCAGACAAACTGACCAAATTGCCCTCGTCACGCCCGACCCATTCGGCCCGCGGGAGTAGTCAGAGTCAGTCTCCGTTTTCTCGCACAGTCGTTTAGTGTAAACCTCGTGGACTTCTGCTTCTGGCTATCGATATTTTCAGCGCGGAGGATTCTAAATCAAACTCAGTGAGTCTCTTGTTTCTCAAAGCATCTTTCGTTTGTCATTGCTTTTCGTTTTCGCCCCGAATACATGAAAACGATTTACCCACATCTGATTTGATTGTCTCGATTGCGCGACGGTTTTTCTTAATTAGAATAACTAGCCAAGTGTCTTATTCTTTATTCTGATCAGTAATTACTGTGTATTGTAAATAGATAGCTGTACTAATACTACTGTAAACTTATGCTTCCTTATCTGTTTGAAAAAGGCTTGTGTTCTGCTCAAAACACTGATTGTGCGCGATTGATTCAGTGTCACACAAACAAAAACAGTTGATGTGATTCTCAGACATATTTTGTCTCTGCTTACGCAGTGAATCAATCTGGAGACGCCACCCCTCGGTCTGAATCAGTGCCGGGCCTTTTTAGAAATACTAAGAGTCTTGAAGGTATTTTTTGATTGAAAAAAAAGTTTTCCGCGATACATGCAGGCTTTTAACTTTCCTTTATGGCGCTCAACAGTAGCTCGAAAAAGTAGCCGAATGACACAAAAAACAGATTCAGACAATTCATATGTTTAAAGGCGATATTTTTGTACCAAAACCCAATGAACATTTTCTCAGTCGTCGAAAAAAACAGTAATCATTTTAGCGCATTCCTAAGCATATGGAAGAGTTTGCAATCGCAGGAATGTAAAGATAAAGAGTTCGAGGCTACGCGAAGGTCTTTTAAGTGGTGTACTGTGGAAGGGTGGGTCTATGGGGTTGCTTTGTGAGGCTTAACACTTACATAAGTATAGTATTCAACCACTTTAACGAGTGACAAGTGTTATCCGAAATATGGCGCAATTGTTTTATTCGACCTGTAAGGACGTTAGAATTAAACCACGTACCCTCTTTGTGAAGTATTCATTTGTTATTTACCTTTGACTAAGCGGTTCATTGAGCTGTCAGCTTTGGCCAAATCATTTTGCACAGCAGGGGGCAAGGTTCTGACACGTGAGTCCTCTAATACAAAGGTTTTACAGTTTTCCCGTTCTCATGTTCAAAAGCCATTACTCCAAAGAGAACCTTTGAATTGTTAACTAAATGGTCCCTGTTTATCTTTTATAGATAAATCGAGCAGAAATATGGCGTTGGAGTTAATAGTTCTTGCAGCGCTGGTCATAACCGCTGCCCTCTTATACAGTGTACTTTCACATCGAATGGAGAACCCAAAACTCCCTCCTGGTCCAGTTCCTCTCCCAATCATTGGCAACATGCTTCAAATGGGAACAAAACCGCATCTTGGCCTAACGAAACTTGCAAAGAAGTTCGGCAAGATATTTCGACTTACTGTCGGGATTCATCGGATAGTGGTTGTGAACACCATCGATGTTGCTCGTGAAGCACTCGTAAAGAAGGCCAACGACTTTGCAGGCCGACCGCGACTTTACACGGCGGATCTCATTTCCCGAGGAGGCAAAGACATTGCATTTAGTGACTTTACTCCCACATGGAAATTGCAGAGAAAAATAGCGCATTCCGCGCTGAAAATGTTTGGGCAAGGTATCAAGCCCATTCAGGAGAAAGCATGTCAGGAGATTAACGAACTTATCAAACGGTTTGAGTCGGTCGAAGGGCGCGCGCACGACCCTCAACATGACATCATCTTGGCTGTGATAAACATCATCTGCGCATTCGTGTTCGGTTCGCGCTATGATTTGGATGATCCTGAGTTCTACACCATTCTCCACTACAACGAGCAGTTTGTTCAAGGATTCAGAGCTGGAAATCTGGTGGATTATTTTCCGTGGTTACGCCACTTTCCTAGTAAGGGGGTAACACTCATCAAGCAGGCTGTCAAAGACCGCGACACCATCTTACAGAGGAAGTTTGACGAGCATAAGAGCACGTATCAAGATTGCGTGACGCGTGACCTCACTGATGCCTTGATTAAAGCCATGCACGAGTCTCATGCTGAAAATCCCGGAAGGTCATTACCAATATCCGAAGATCACGTGGTTTTAACCATGAACGATATCTTCAGCGCAGGCCTAGAGACCACCTCCACATGCGTGCTGTGGGCGCTTGCGTATTTAGCTCTGAATCCTAAAGTGCAAGAGAAAATCCATCAAGAATTGGACGACGTAATAGGGAGGGAGCGCCTGCCAGAAATGTCAGATAAGCCAAACTTGCCATATTTGGAGGCTACTATATATGAGGTGTTGCGTTACAGTTCTCTGGTCCCGTTACTGTTCCCACATTCAACAACAACTGATACGAATCTCAATGGATTTGACATTCCTCAGAACACAATTGTGCTCTTCAATGTCTGGGCTATGCATCACGATGAAAGGGAATGGGACAAGCCACATGTATTTGATCCTTCACGTTTTCTCGATGACGATGGCAAACTTATTTGCCCTGGAACTCTAAGTTATCTGCCCTTTTCGGCCGGACGACGCGTGTGTCTGGCCGAATCACTCGGGAAAATTCAACTTTTCCTGTTTATCTCTCACTTATTACACAAGTTTCGCTTTAGTGTTCCACACGACTCAAAGGCCCCGGATTTGGAAGGAATCTTTGGTGCCAGTTTATGTCCCAAGCCTTACAGTCTATGCATTGAGAGACGCTACTAGACTGGCACTATCTGAACATGAATCGACGTAAACCGACGTGAACATTCTGATTATAAATTCAGATGGTTCCATTTATCGCCTGAATATGATACATCGCTTGATCGGTAACAGACAATCGGTGTTAGCCGGGAAAGATTGACTATTTGTCACGGTATTTACATATCTGAAAGTGACACAATTGATACGTTAACTAACGCAAATTTTCACAATACGAGTCCAGATGGATCTAAATAACGAACATCTCTGATCGAATACTTGATCAGTCGGAACTAAAAATCAATGCAGAACATAGATTAAACTTTTGTGACTGTCTATTTATTAACCTCGAATGAGAAAAAAGGGAAAGAATTCCTCTAAAAGTTTTCAAGTAATTTATTACCAGAATAGCATAATAACCAAACACATGACAAATATAATTCATGTATATCGTGATGCCAAATTTTGGCAAATTTTCAGGACGAATTGGGTTTTTCAATGATAGAAAACAAGAAAACTGCGTGTAAACTGACCAGTACAGTCATGTATTCATCTTGGGAGAGAAAAAAAAACTGACTAACCACTCAAGTAGACAAGCATCAAACCTTAAGATTGTATTCCTATAAAACAAAGAAAGTTTGATTGCAAAGTAAGAATGAATATATATTCCAATAATTTATCTCAACAATTCAGTACGCCAAGAAATTAGTAACATAATCTTTTGAATCCTTCCTCATTTCATTGAATTTTGGTAAATTTCTTCGTCCCAATTGACATTTTCATAAATGTAACAGTGTTGTAGTATTGTATTTTAAAAGAATCTGACGGATAAAAGGTACTTCTTTAATTACGTAAAGGTTCCAAGTTGTTATAGCCACATCAAGTGAAGACTTATTGTTGGTTACTTTTTAAGCACTCTGCTGAAAATCACTGACTTCCTTATACCAGTTCATGGCATAGTGAGGCATTGTACAAATAGTGCAGTCCAAGTGAGTTTAAATTCCTTGAGGACAAGAGCAACTGAAATAAACTTTTTATATATGTTCAATATCTATTTGTTTGATCGCCTGAAAAAAACATGGGGTTGAAGATTGTTGCCAAGAAGGAATGTAGAGAAAAGACAAGGAGTCCAGAAATGCTCTTCATCCCATGAGGGGGAGGGGATGGGAGCTAAGCTAGGGGCTAAACCATTTTCTCTCCCAAGCGTGATGAGAAGAAAAATATCAAGAAGACTTGCAAACATAAGAAATGTACTTTACATAGTATGGAGAAGCATTATCCAAGTCTTGAGAGTGAAAAGGTTAAGAGCAAGAGACATCAGTTTTGTAGATAAAAAGAGGTTAAGTTTGCATTTGAACCAATTGTTCTATTCTGCCAAAACTCATCTTGTTTTCTGTTGCATGAAGGGACTAGGAGTGTGGTAATTCCCCTTTGATAGGATGAAAGTCCACCATTTTGTCACCCTTCCCAGACAGTTAACCCTTTAACTTTCATGAATGAGCAAGACAGAATTTCTCCTTACAATATCAATACAATATCAACCAGATAAGTGATGAGAATAAAGAAAAATTTCAATTTAAGGATTATAAGTTGATCCAAGACTAAATTATCTGAACTAACATCATAAGAATTATATGGTTGACAGTAAGGAGAATTACAAATTTGATCTGGGAGTTAAAGGGTTAAATAAAACCAATTTACATTCCTGACTCCAAGACAGAGAGAGGCCTGGTGAGAGTGAAGTGCATTGCACAAGAACACAACATAATGACACTGGCCAGGTTTCAAAACTGGATCTCTCAACCTGGGGGGTCTGGGACTTGGACCAGTACAGAAACTAATGTCAATACTGTGGCCCCTGGGGTAAGGATAATGTAAAGGATGAAGGGTGGGGACTGAAGGTTGATCTCATAGAGTAATGCTCTAAAATATTTCAGGGTTGAATTGTTCCAAGCACAATTGAGCTAGCCAAGGGTTAACCAACAAATTTTTATTAGTTTTGTGGCTTTGCAGACAGTTTTAATTGTTTATATTTTTCCTTCAGTTTTGTCTCATGCTAAGGGAAAACCCCTTTAAGTATATGCCCTGTGAGCATTTTATTTCAAGAGGAGTCAGAGAAAAAATACTGTAATAATTTTGATCCTGAATTATTGCTAAACACCTTTAGTACATGGTCCAGAACATTCTAGAATGTTTCACTGTTTACCTGTTTGGAGTTATTCATGCATACTTATTTACAAAGAGGATTTTATCTGGTCATTTAGAACATTCTGGATTGTTGAGCACATCTAGGTATGTGGAGTGCATATTAAACTGTTGTTTTTCTTTTGGTAAGTTGTTAATAAAGCTGTTTGTTGCAAATTGTTTACTAAGTTTTGAAGGAGCCATTACATAGGAGATATCACCTGTAGCAGTATGATACTTGCCTAGGTGTAACCAAAGCAAATGAAATCTTCACTTACAACTCTGGGTGTGCTCAGCCATAACAACATTACAGGTTTTGGTGCTTAATGACAGCACTGACTACTATAAATATATCTCTTGACCTCTTCATATAAGGGTGTTCAACAGGGCTGGCCTGATTTTGTAAAATCTCACCCTGCTGCTCTTTATTTGTACATCATATAAGAAGGTGGACAAACCCACATAACTCCTTCAAAACCAGTGTATTATTCTCTATCATAAGTCCTATCTGTATATACAGTATGCAAAATCAATTATAACTAATAATATTTTGTGTTCAAACTTTTTAGATTCTTGCAACCATTAAATACATCTGGATGTTCTTCTGGAGTTCTATCTTTTGGAAATTTAAACCACTCTCTGCCAAACTGAGACACTAATTCATCTTTCTAGTTGTTCTGAACTGAAATTGCAAACCCTTCAAATAGTAATCTCTTCAAAGGATATACATATCTTAACACAAGGGGGAAGACAAAGATGTCAATTGCATCCGTGTGCAATACAATAATTACAACAGCTATTCTATCTCATAGTCTTGGGTTCCATAATTTTTCGTATAAAAAAAAAACATGAAATAGTTACTTGGAAACGCAGGATCACTCATTGAATTTAGAAAAAAAATTGTCTGGTGGTAAATCCTTCGCTGCAACAGTACTTGAAAAAATTTGACATAGTCATCTAAACGTATTTGAATATCACTATATACATCCCAAGGTATAAATCCTTGATGTCTTGCAGCTTCCAGTAAAGTCCCATGTGAAATCCAGTTAAAGATATTATGCTTTTGTGCGAAGAGGTTGAAAATGCAAAACATTTTTGTCATGACAAGTTGTCCTTGTCGATACAGAACTTAAGACTAATTACGTACATCAGGACATTGAAGATGACCAACTATCATGTCGCATTTTCCTCCAAGTTGTGTGTATAACTTCAGGCACATCTCACCCCGGCCAGTCATATGTTTTCTAGTAGCAGTGGTTTTCCGTTCGATTGACATAAAACGGTATATCGACTTCCATACTATTGTAACGATATCTCGTTGAAAAAGACAATATCGAGTCGATTTGGAAGACTGTTACCTCTAGTAGACATAACATGGTTACTATTAAAACGAATAAATTAAATATCGCAGCTTTACGCACCGTGGAGTGCGCACAGTGTAAGTGTCACATGACTCCCTCGCCAGCGTGAGCTCTACTTTACGGAATCACGCAAATCGTCAGCCGAAATTATTTGCATAATTTTCAAAGAGTATTTTTCAGTCAATTAATCATTTACAACAAACTATTGTGTAGATGGCCAACTCCCACTAACCTTTCCCTAGTCTTCTTTTAGCAAAGGTCGGATAAGATGTGAAATGTTAGTGAGATAAATGTGCGACGTGTCCATTAAAATTTATTTCTTTTACAACTGATCACCTAATAACTTCAACTTCCTCGAATTTTACACGACCCTAATGTGGTTTTCCGCGCTCTATTCAATTGACGCAAATGAGTAGAAAAGTTGGAGTTATGCTGTGTAAGATTTGCTTTACCTCAGAAAAATACCAAGGATGCGATGGGGGAATAGAGATTTCGGGAGATGAAACTTTTTTCAATTCATTTTTATTTTTTACGCGATACTCCCATATTCGTATTTTTCCTTGATAATTTACTTGGATTTTTTTGGTGGTACAAAGAACATATTTAACACGAAACAGAAGCACATTGTCGTTCTGCAGGTGGTTGCAGGTGGAAAACCATCCCGGGGCGACACATTACCATATTACTCTCGGCCATACAAATCAAAGATGGCACCTTCTTCGATTGAGGACAGCCAATAATAAAACACATGCAACACTGCTATTGCTACTGGCCGACAGCTGTTGGTGATAAGTTACTGATATCAACCAACAGTATCAGGAAAAACCTAGAGGTCTTAGAGTCTGTGTTACGAATATGGAAAATATCAAAAAAATTAATGTTACAATAGTACAAGATATTATATTTTGAATAATTACATTGTTATTATTATTATTATTATTATTATTAATATTATTATTATCATTATCATTATTGTTTTTCATATGATTACCTTCCATTGCCGGCGATGTGTGCGTGCTTCTCTTTGTTTTGCCTTGTTGTTCAGTGAACAGCTAACAAAAAACTCTCATGACTGACCAAGACAGAATTTCTCATTACAATATCCTTACAATATCAAGCAGAAAAGTGATGAAAATAAAGAAAAATATAAATTAGGGGATTATTAATAGATGCAATACCAAATTCTCCGAACTAAAATCATAAGAATTGTAAGGAGGCCAGTAAGGAGAATTACTAATGAGATCTTGAGAGTGAAAAGGTTAATAGATTATTTTTCGAGCAAGCTGCTCATTCCACAAGTAATCCGTTGAACTTTTAGGCAACTATTAGCGAAGGAAGGTTGACATGGCAAGAGATTAAACTTTTATTTTATTTAATTCTCCTCCTCAGGGACTTTGGAAACGTACAATACATGCCTAACTTTCTGATTTAACATTTAAAGTTAATAACTTTTTCAAGTAACATAGAAAATTGATCTTTTGAATTTTATAGCCTAGGAAACGAAAATTACAAATAAATTTATCCGAAGCGATTACTTGCAATAATTTGAATGAGCCGTTGCCACATATTTCGTCCTTGATAGTCCGCTTATTTACTAAAGCTTCATAGTGCGACAAAAAGTTGTCATTTGGGAAGCAACAAAATTGACACAGCTTGTTTTTTTGTTCCGTAGTGAAGGAAAACTTCTTTACGCGCCTACACGCTTAGTGATGGAGGTTCATCATTGGGGAACAATTGTATTTAGTGCTTCTTCCACTGAGCTAACATCACCAATTACGATGTTGTACCATTAAAATTTTTATAACCTAGAGCTACAAATTTTCAATTCGAACAAGCGAGTTATATCTATCTCTCAGTCGATTTACCGCAGCCATTTCTTTTAAAATTGTTTTTGTTACTTGTCATGGCGAACATCTGATGTAATATGCCAACTACGGTATATTTATGCAGACGAAAAAACAATCTAGGTCTCTAAGTTATGGAAATACCCCGTCAACATAC